CTCGCAAAAATCTCCTTCTCGGATCGGCCTGCTTACCTTACAAGAAAAAGGTTTCGCGAATTCGGAGTATTTTACTTGAAATCGCCTGAGGTTTAGTGTTTTAATTCGCCCGCCCCTCCATGTTTGCATTAGACGACAACCGACCAATTCCGTTAAAACTAGACGACTTTTTTTTACAAAAGAGAAGGGCAATACACATAGTATCAGATCCCTTAGCTGACTAGTCTCGAATTAACCATGGACGAGGGAGGGGAGGGGAAAGAAAGAGAAATGTCCCCGATCCCCTCTAAAAACAGCTGTCTATCGCTCCATGCCGGAAAATTTTCCCCTTTGCCGCATCAAAACGTGCCAGATGCTGCAAGTCAAAGTTTTTTTCGGCCTGGTATACATGGTATAATGGCCCACTATCGAAGCTAAAAGACCCTGGAGACCAATTATTATCCATCCACACTAGGTACTTTTAACCATTTACTTCTATAGATGCCTCACAAAATCGATCATACGGCAAATAATGTAAAAGATAATGTTAGGTCGAGAGCTTCCCTTGCCCCCTCCCTCACCTCCAGGCCTCCCCAGTCCAGACATGTATGCATGTATGGTTGAATCAATTGGTCTTTAATTCTGCGTCGCATGCGTGGTAATCAAGAGGCAGGGTCGGCCGAATTCACTGTTCTCTTGGCTATAAACCATCGCCGTTATAGCTCACCGAAACATTTGTTTCAGTGAGAAGGCGAGGGCGCTGCTACATACTCCATATGTATACCACCATATGCGTAAGTATGTACTAAGTACTATCTGGTATGTAGCATGTATGTACGCCAGGACACACACACACACACACACACACATCTTAACACTGCTTGTATTATTGAAACCTCCCATGATCTCGCTTTTTTTGGGGTCTTATATCTAGTATTGTTTTACAATCGGATGGGATGGGATTGGATTGGATAGTGCGTATACGCTTGTAGACATTTAACTTCTTAGAGCAACCGAAATACGATTACAGGCCCCTTGTCCGCAGTACTTACATACATACGCACGTACACAATACATGCAGCGCTATACTATACTATCGTACTACCTCGAAGCCCTCGCAATCATAAGTTAATTCTATTGTTTTTTTTTATCCCGTGTCCTTTTTCCGGCCGACGAAGGAAAAGGCACTTTAAAATTTCGCTATTCGTAATTATGGGGAAATAGAATAAATTCATATTCGTTTTTTAGATACTGATTTAATAACTTACCATGGTTGTGATCACGGGTACGGTCGGGGAGGTTGGGTAACCTGCAAAAGAAACAATAAACGGGCTATAGCTATAGCGATAACCTAATATTACGCCTGACTGACGCTGTATGTAAGTCAATACGTATGTAAAAATCAATTACAGCATCCAACTAATCCTCTTACATCGTAGATATCTTTCTTTTTTGTTTTATGTGCCTGAACCTTTTCCAAAACCAGAAGAACGGCCATTATTATTTATTTTTTTTTTTTTTTTGTGGAGAGATGTTCTCTAATGTTAACTATTCCGGTGTACGAAGGGTGGGCCTGGACTGTGAAGACTTTCGAATGTGGATAGCTTCCGCAATCAAATTTTACATATGCAGCCATCTTTGCAGATAAATGTCGTACCACCCTTTTTTCCTCCCCCTTCCTTCGCAACTCTAGCTATCTCGGTGTTAGTTAGGTAGTTTACGCCCGCGGAATACATCGGCGCATCTCGATAAGACTTAGTGTTTCATGCAAGGTTCAAAAAAAGAGACAGGTACACAGATACCAAAACATATATTCTCCGTAGATAGATGAAAAGATATTGTGATATATACACAGATCGAAGACAAATATTACCATCGGTAGACGCAAGTTAATTAAATCCACGGTATAGTAGTAACGTAACCACGATAGATTACATAGAAACCAAAAACAAAAAGCCAATTTGCCCGCGCAGGTACAAGCCATCCAGCCGGCCCCCAGCCCAGTTAGTGACCTAGGTAGGTAGTTAGCACTGCCCGTCGACCCGTCTACCCTGGAAAATAGTGGCAACGGGCGGCGGACCAAATAATAATTTTGAGCTTTTGCGGTGCCTTTTTTCGTACCTACAATGTATGTACGTAAATATGTACATGTAACATGTACATTTACACATTACATAGATAGACGTTCACGTTCGGGGGCAGGACATAAACCCTTGACGCCTCAAAAACGTGGCACTTCTAAGCGCTACTTGGTATTTTTTTTCTTCCCTCTCAATGAGATTGACAGATGCCTGAAGAAACAAAAAGGAAATAAAACCAGGCGTGAACGACAATCACATCTTACCGTACAATTATAGCCGTGTGCAATCAATCTGAAGCCCCCCCGGGTATTATGTGAATCTAACTTTTTCGTTAACATGCCGAATTAATTACATGTGTTGTTAATAACTTGTCACAGATAAACTAGCAGGCTGGTCTGGCAGGGTAAGGGAAAGGGAAAAAGGGACCCAAATCTGAGTCAATGTCTCGAAATATCAAAATGGTCGAATGGAGTAGATGCCTGGAGAAAAAAAATAAGGCGTGTAGGCAAAATGTAGGAAGAATGTACATATGTAGTACCAGGCTGTGAGGTGGAGAGTACCGATCACTACCCTAATTATCCTACGCATACGGATGGGCATAGGCATGGGCATGGGCATGGGCATACATCCATGGGGTTCAACAGGGCTATTGATCTATTATTATCACGGTAAAATTACTATGTGTAGATTCAATACTTAATTACTCTACGTAACCAAAATTCAATCAATCAGTCAATCATACTCCAAGACATTTCTATAGGTTGGATTCTCCACTGTATATGTATGATATGTATGATCATGTATGTATGGTGCTGTGTCACCGTGCCCCAATCTCATACGTGAGTTAGGTATACAATAATACATAAAAGTAACCAAGTAAATAAGTAAAAGGCAGCTAGTTAATAGTAATAATAAACCCGTGTTATAGCCATATCGCCAAAATTCTCCAAAGCTTGAATGAAAGCAACAAAAAAGCACTCGGATACCTAATTATAATGAACAAGAACTCCTCAAAGATAGCAGATCACTTCCCGATATTCGTACAGATGGGTATAACCTCATAGCCCTCGTGACCATTTAAATGTGTTCAATCTAGTATTTTCTAGCAAATTCACTCTTTCCCCCCCCCCCCCCGCCAATCCCCCCGGTTGCAGGAGAGCTCGATGGAGCTTTTCTGCCTATTCGGAACTTGCCTTTGTTTCCCTTCCTCTCTAACTCGTTTTCGATTCCCTTCGAGCCGAAATTTGATATTTGTGTTCGTGTTTTAGTACCCTGCAGCTCTCTATCGTGATCCAAAAACATGCGTTTCAAGAAGAGGGAGCGATTGACGTCGGTTAGCCTTCCGGTGCCCTTCCCGTTTTCCCATTTGTGCTCAGATAGTAGTAGTAGCAGCATGAAAACAGAGGGAAAGAGAGAGCAAACAAGAACGATGTGATACGGGGATGATTGAAAGGTTCAGGCAACCAATGTCGCGCGTTAGGTAGACAATCCTCTCTCGTCCAATTGGGGTTTGACAATCACACCCAGGATTGGGAAACAAAGGACAAAAAGAAAAATCCAACACCAAAAACGCATACGAACGCAGCAGAACAACGGCGAGGTGAGCAAAGGAACGACCAAAAAAACCGGGTTTGAAAGAGGCACTGACAATGCCGATGAAGAAAAGAGGGAAAGGGAAAAACAAGGGTGTGTGTATGTGAACTGTGTGCGCATGTGTTCGTGTGCCTGCACAGATGCTAGATGTGAGTTTTCAGATGACATGTCTGTTAGAAATCGGCGTCGTCATCATGCGAATCGCCGCAACCATCGGACAAACTACAAGGAAGTTCCTGGTAGTTTGAGATGTCAAAAAATAGCATCTAACATCTTAGCTTAGCGTAGCCGCATGCAATGAACCGAACCTGCATTCCACGCACCACACCCCTTCCGTCTACCTGAAACGTCCAGGAATATTCGAATTCACCAGAAGGCAGATAGAACATAAACATAAAATAATAAAAAATAAATAAAAAAAGCGAAAGCCAATAAAACAAACTAAAAATCAAAGCGGAAGAAAATTTTAATGCGCAAGGAACAGAGATGTTTGAAGTGAGGAAAGACGATTCAAAACTTACCCCGCCCTTTCTCCAAAAATCCGAAACCGCATGAATTTCCCCATCCGGGAGCTTGTGTATAGCTTGAATCACGCTCCCGATCATATCTAGTCTTTCGGTTTTATGACCTCGGGCCTCGAGGCCTTGTATGATATCTTCCCTGAGTCCCTTTTCCACGAAGGCTACCTCGGGAATGAGCTGGTGATGTACTCGCGGTGTGTGAATCGTATCCAGAAGACTATATCCCCACTGGTATATCTTGATAAAAGACAAGAATACACCTGTAACGATTCTACTTCCACCACTCCCTCCAATAATCAAGCTCGGATAGCCGTTGTAAACCGTTATAGTTGGCGCCATCGACGAAAGAGGCCGCTTATACGGCTTCACAAAGTTGTATATCGAAGGTTGTAGCTGGAAATAATTATCCGTCCCCGGTATCGAGAAGTCATCCATTTGATTATTTAGCACAATCCCTGTGATATCAGACCGGCCACGGGTCCCCCTATCCCCATGCCAGGGGAGAGGGATCGTAAACCGGGTAGACATATTAGTAACGAATCATCCCGAGAAACGTATTGAAATATATGCCTCAAAATCACAAGACTGAAGAATATTTCTTCACCGAAAGGAACCCATGTTTTTTTTTTGATAGTGGCGTCTGTTACTGGTCAGAGTCGCTGCTGCCTGTCATATTTACCGTCGGGTATACCCTTGATATCCGGGGTAAGCAGAACGAAAGCGACAACTCCACCCGCTTTGACAGCTGCAACAATATATCCCGAATAACGGTCGTATCTTGTCCCGTGTTCAGACCTGGAAGGGAAAAAACGACAAAGAGTCCGGTTCACGGGCAAGGCAAGGCAGAAAACCCTATAAAATATAAAAAGGAAAAGGAAAAAAAGCAGAAGAAAGACTCCGAAGGCAGCCTTACCGGTTTCAGGATCACAGATCCGAGCTCCAAAGTACAAGTTAACCGTTGTCGTCAAGGCTACCGCCATCCCGTCCGAGTCAAGTGCACTCATATGACTCGTGCCATGGTCTTCTTTGAACTCATAGCTTGGATTGTAGTGCTTCCAACCGTATGTCCGTGTATCGCTAATATTACGCCGAACCATGGCTGCAAATTGTTTAGACTGGATTTCTGCGACACGAGCGACGTTGGAAACGTCGGAGTCGAAGGGGTCCCCTAGCTCTGTTCGGCCGGCTGATAACCATTTCATAGTCCTGTTTGCATCCAGGGTCAATGATCGTATTCACAAAAAAAAAAGTTGGGATCAAGAGCTCAGGGAGCTCGTGTTCGGAACAGGGCAGGGAAACCAAGATGTCAACCGTTATCGACAGTTACACCCGTGGCTAGGCATGGCACCGGACGGAAATTACTTTGCGCCATATTAAATGTGCCGAGACAGCCCCGAGGAGCCTGGGTGTGGGGTGGGGGCGGGTCTGGGGACATACTCGATAATACGGTGAGTGACCAATCCAGATCTATCGTTGGACATATCCAAACCTTCGGCGATGTTAAGGCCCTCAATTAAAACGGGTCCACTGTGTATCATATGAGTTTGTCAGCCATCTAGGTCTAGATTTTGTGTAATATAAAAATAAAGATAAAAATAATCGGATATGCATGTTTCGAGATCGCGATCAGATGGCAATGGATACAATAATGCGAAATGCATGTTTTTTTCTTTTAAGAAGAAAAAGCCCAAGCAGAACATCATTAACTCAATCGAGTTTCACAAGTCAAAAATAGAGTCGTTGAGCTTCAGTGGGAAAATTGACACCGATGACGTTTCGTATACACGGGAGCAAGGGTTGGGGGCAATCACCAGCGGCCTCGGGTAGAATGGTAAAGCAAAATTCATCGAGGCAGGGTTTAAATCAAAAAAAAAAAAAAAAAAAAGGCGGGGCCTGGGTGCTGCGGCTGCTAACTTAAGATAGTAAACTTTTGATATGTCTGGGATAGATGTATATCAAAGATGAATATATGACCTCGATTGGTGGTACATAGTTCGCCCGAAAGGTGGATATATGGCCAATGCCGAGGTCACGGCTTACGATCTAAGGCAGATACAACTGACGGCTCGGCTCACATTTGTGATATCCAACTTAGGAACACCTCCAAACCGTCTACAAGCCGTCTCATGACCTAGCCATCCAGCCGTCTGCGAAGGGTCGCCCGCCTGCCTTGTGAATTGTGGCATGTGCTTCACCAAAAAAAAACCAACAAACGTGAAGAGCTCGAGTCGCGTTTCGGGTGGTTATGACACAAATACGTCTCACGACGTCGCACAACTTAATTCAGACATCGCCATGTTGTACAGATCTCCAAGGCCAGCTGGGTTTTTGGGGAGCATCTGTGTTTCCATAGACCTGGCTCGCAATATACCACACCTCAAAATGCAACAACTTCCAACTCAGGTGGTCATGTTGGTGCCGGACTTAGAGTAGCACTGGTCTGTTGCAACAGGACGGCGATATTGTGTCGACCTTCCTGTCATAATAGGGTCTAGAATAGTCCCTTTTGACCGAGTACATCAGTTCTGGCTCGGCCAGTGTCTTCTGTTCGGGACCAACCGACTCTGTACCGTCTCGAAGCCTTTTGTCGTTTATGTTGAAGTTAACGACTCACCCTCGAGCTGCCAGTCAGATATTCGAGCTGTAGAAGCGGAACATGACGGCCTGGTAAGTAGTAAAAGTAAAGACCGCATCCATAACCCAGAAAGCGTTATCGTGAGAACCGATGCTAATGATACTGGTAAAAAAACGACAAAAAACAATATCAAGCAAAACCACCAAAGGGACCCCAAAAACCATACGTCAAATACATACCTACAAGGCGCCTTACACGTCAATATCTCCCTCCCAAAAGCCCAAGCCTTCGCCGTCTCCTCAACATCCGATTCATAAACCTCCAAATCTTCAAGCGTCAATATCCCACCTTTCTTCCTCACAAACTTTACAATACTCTTCGCCACACCCCCTTTATAAAACCCATCTAACCCTTTCTCCGCAATAACCCTCAACGTCTTACCTAAAGCCGGTCTATACATCACCTCCCCTTCCTTCAAGAACTCATCCGTCCCGTTCCTAAACAGGAACCCCCATTCCCTCTTATCAGCAGACCTCAACCACCGGTTCTCAACCTCCATACACCGTGCCAAATACCGTGTCACCCTAACCCCTTCTTCACAAAGCCTAATACTAGGCTCGAACAAATCCTCCCACCGAACACGTCCATACATCTTCCAAGCCTTCCAATACCCATCAATCTCCCCAGGAATCCCAACCGCCAACCCACCTCTCTGGGCAAGCACTGGGTCGGAATTGTACATATCCTTCCAAGCAGCTCCGGGGGCCATTTCTCTAAAATTAACTGTCTTAGAGCTTCCGTTCTGATGACGGACGACCATGAACCCTCCACCACCGATTCCAGATGCGTACATGTTTACCACACCGATACAAAGCGCGGTGGCGATTGCAGCGTCCACGGCAGTTCCATTTTTGAGTTTTAAGATATCAACGCCGATGGTGGAGCAGACTTCGACGTCTGAAGCTACGGCGCCGTTTTTAGCGGTTATAAGGTGGTCCGAGAGGTTTTGATGGCCGTTGTTATTATTATTATTGTTCTTATTGTGGGCCGGATGCTTCGTAACAACTAAGTATATCAAAATGGAAAAGAAGAAGACGCTTAGGAAAGCTGCGAGGGTGGTGGTTATGGTGGTCGCTACGGGGAGGGCACGGATGCGTCGTTTGAGGCTTGAACGGTGAATGGGTGTTTGCTGGTCGATGTTGTTGGGGGTTAGCAGCGGGCTCGATTCGGTGCTACTGGATGGAGACGGAACAGCCGTCTCTTCGTCGCCTTCTGCTGCGGAAGAGCGTGAGGTCGTTTGGACCATCTTTCTATTACCCCGGAGATCTGGGGGAAGGCTGTGAAGGGTGTTGACGTGGTGAACGGGTTGTGACCACGAGACCGGATGGCCACCCAGTTGTTTGTTGATGCCGAAGGGCTGGCGATTCTCTGTGTATGCAAATACCTATCTTCTTATCATATGAAGATCCGTCTATATCTAGTTCAAAGGAAAGAAACAAAACAAAAAAAGCCCCTGAAGAGAAGGAGAAGAAGAAGAAGCGAAGAAGAAGCGGAAGAAAATAAATCACATGGAACAAAGTTTTATTATAAAGGCAAGAAATATGCAAGCGCGGAAGTTGTCACAGCACATAAGCTACAAGTTACTTACCTACTAGTTACTTGGATTATGAATCAAAACCTACGGAGTAGGTAAGAGCAAACTCACGTTTTGGGTCCGACTTGCAGCCGAAATGGGTACCTTAGCGACGTTGTGATAAGATTTATCCTGCAGGGGTCCCGGCCATGGCCAACAGACAAGTATCGAATTAACCTAGCCTGGTCATGCAGCAAACAAAAAACCCAATGCCGGTACCTCAGGCCGAAGTCTGACATAAGGTACTAGCATAATAGCTTAGCTGAATAATTACTCCGAGCTCTCGTGGTCGATGTATGGTTTGATGCGTGACCTGTCCGGCGTGACCAAAAGCTTGAGCTCTAGCTCCTGCACCCTGGCTTGATGCAGATCCAGCTTCGCAGAGCACATTCCATTGCACCTTGATCGATCGATCAGATCTAATTTGTTCTATAACTTGTACATGACGGTATTAAGATTACATGAGGTAACTGTAGATCTAAATATGGGTGATACAGTCTGTCATCCAAAAGGGAGAAAGAACGGGAAAAAAAAAAAAAAAAAAAAAGGGAAAAAAGGGTTTTATATATATCTGCAAGAGAAGTAAGAGAAGAGAGGTCCAAAAAGGTGGATCTAAAAGTACAGGAATTCCTGAAAAGAACATTTCATCTCTCAACAAGGAAAATGCGCTCTTCAAAAATTGTCTCCAAGAAAGACCAAAACGACGACCCATATAATAAAAAAGGGTAAGGTATCAGGATATCAAGACAGGGGAGACCGAGGAAACATTACAGCAGGCAGGTCTTCAGAAGTGCACCCTTAAGGTCAAAGGAAATCAAAAGAGAAGGAGAAGAAGGAGAAGAAGAAACAGAAAAGAAAAGAAACAGAATCCATACAAACCTGTCTCCAAAAAACTCCTCGGTCAATCACCAGAAACAAAAAGGCTCAGTTATTAAATAAAAAAACAAAGCATCCGAAGGTACCAAAAACCAAACAAGTATATCTGAACAAAGATGTCACCAGTCGCACATCTGCGCAGGCTGATCTGGTTTTTTAGTTTTCAATAAATAGTAAAGGGCTATAAAGGGGAAGGGGGGTAACCTTAGTACATACATGACCCGGGAAAATACACTCGTTATAAGGAAACATAAAACAAAACAACCGTGCGATGCAACAGTCTTTCTCTATCCTGCTGTGGGAAAATAACGAGAAAAAGATATCGGCGCCCAAAGGGAACACACAAAAAACAGCGAGTACCAAAAAAAGGTTGGGAGCCGCTCAGTGGTCGATGGGACCACAGCAGAGTACATGATTATTATTTCTGGGAGGCCAGATTGGTCGTAAAATATCGTAAACGACATCAATAAAAGTATATTTACCGATATCTGGCAACATTCCTCCCTTTCTTATTCGCGCTATTGTTTTCTTCTTCTTTCGACCAGGCGATCAGGGCACTGCAGCGAGGTAGAATCAAAACCCAATGTAATCTAGTGCTTCCTCGCGCTGTGCCTTCGAGATTTGACGCTTAGTAGCTGCGACTTTGAATGTGTGTCGTCGGTCAGTGAAGGCGGATAAAGTCCTCTAGGCGTCTCCAACTCCACTCAGCTTCTTTCGTCTCATCGTTGGGGGCACTGGTGGGACTGGAGGTGCGTTCTTATCAGTAAGGTTCAGACTGTTTAGGCCGCCGCTAACTCTTCTATAACTGGCGGACATGCTACCAGCGCCTCCATGAATGGTTTGCATACTTTTTCTCCTCGGAATAGCACTGCCGCCTGATGTAGAAACAGCTCGGCTGTGTGCTCCTGACTCTGTCCGGGTCAACCCTCTCCTTGGTGTGGCGAAAATATCGTCATTGAGGCCACCGATAGAGGACCTGGGCTTTGAAGCCGGTAGGGAGGAGTATTCGGGAACAGGGATATGTGAAACATTGCTGGTACTAGCTCTTGATGATGGTCGACTGACGCCTTGTCCCGCAGTAGAGTATGATTGTCTCGACGATGTCCGCGACGAAGGCCTCGATGATGGTGTATCAGTCCTAGTGATTGCTTCTACCATATGGCTGCCAAAACTCCTCGACAAACTACCAAACCTTTCCTCAATGGATGTCGATGTCACAGATGAAGTTGTTGAGCCTGGGTTTCTGATATTTCTGCGAAGGTTGATAGAACTTGGTGGCAGAAATGCGGAACTGCCAAGGTGGGGCGACATTCGCCTTGGTGGGGTTTTGGCTGCAGGTGGCGGCATCTTGGATCGAGCGGTTTGAACCCTTTTCTCCAATCTTTGCATCTGTCCTATCAGGCCACGAATCTGAGTAAGCGACTTGGAGTTCGGGCCGGGTATGTTGGTGTTGTTCTTAGCAGCAACGGCCGCATTTCCAATAAGCTTCTTCCTAGCAGAGTCACTGAGATTGGCCATTGATGGTGTTTTCTTGGGGGTGCCCTTTGGAAGACCTCTTCTATAGTGAGAGGCCTTCGGGGTCATCAAATGGTCCTTGTGTGGAGTGGGTATCCTTGATCCTGAGGTGGATGTTTCTGAGATTGGTGGCGAAGGAGGAGTAGGAGATGAGAAATCAGCGCTCGGCGTCGCTCTAGACAGTCGAGGCGTAGGAGATACAGAAGTGGGTGTTGTCGGAGCATCGGGCATTGGTGACTGGAATCTGGGGTTCGAAGTCCCGCGTCGGGCCATGCGGTACTTCTCTTCCGATAGTTCGGCCTCAACCTTCAATTCTGCCAATTCATCCTTGAATCTCTGAAGCTCAATTCTCAACTCTTCTCGCTCCTGCTCTAGCATTTGAATTTCCGACTCATTCATTACATTTCGTTCAATCGCCATATTGTACTTGGACTCCAGGTCATCAAGGGAGGATTTAACAATTCGCTCATTTCGTTCAAAGTCGTCGTTGGACACCTCCATTTCCCGAATTCTGATCTGGGCAGTGCGGTTCTTTTCGCGAAGTTCGGTGATTTCCTTCTGGAGTTGGTTTTGAACATGATTGGCTTCCTCCTTTGAGGACTTGAATTTGGTCTATTACATAAAACGAAGACGTCGTCAGCACTCTCAAAATTCAAATTCTTATCATAGTGCTGAGAACGCTCCACCGCGGATTTGCGCAGTAGATTTTTACGTCAAAGTTCACCAGGGCAAAAAAAAACAGTAAAGGGTCATGCGACCGCAAAGAACTCACCTTCCACTCATCAACTTCATACTTCAACCCCTCATTCTTCTTCCTCAGGGTGTTGATGTTCCTCTCATGACCTTCTACTTCCTTCTCCAACGTCTTCAACTCTCTCTCCAGTTCCGTCTCCAGTTCCTTCGAAAAGGTCTGGAATTCCAGAAGTTCCTGTTCCAAACTGGCATACTGGGACTTATACCATTCGACCTCCTCCGACGGGCTCAGCCAGTCCGGCTTCTGTGGAGAAGCCAAGTCCGCAGCCGCCATCATTGCGAAAGATATTCGTCAACGATGAAATCGAGGGCAGGACGCCGAGAGGAGGAAGCGACCGAGTTTTGAAACTAGGAGTAGGAGTAGGAGGTAGATGAGACGGCTGGTAAAAGAGAGAGAGAAAGAGAAAGAGAGAAAATCTCTTAAACTAGAAGGAAAAGAGATCGGTGATAAAGAGAGAGAGAAAGAGAAACAGGTAGGATTGCATGAAAAAGCCCCCTCCCCTTCTCGTCTCCTTTCCGAATTGGAACGTCGTTGCCAAGCGCCACGAAATTTCCGGTAATTGCCTAGCTTGAATGGAGAGTGGTTTTTTTCTTCGATTTATATAGCTTTCAAGCTTTTCTCGAATAGCTATTTTGAAGCTGGCAGTTCAGAGGAATCTAGACAGTGCGGTCGGAAGGTAGTAGTCACTGTCTAGTAAAGAGAAGCGAGGATCGGTGGGAAAGGAGGCGGGAAATGCGATGGGTCTGTGTCTACTGGAAAAGCGATGGTTCCAGTAAACTTTAAGTGTGTCTTGTCATTTCCCACGGAGTGAAAAAAACGAGAAAACCCGGGAAGCTCTTTAGTCGAAGTCGCACAAGCAGGAGTATACCAGTATATCCCAGAAAAATATCGGACGGTCGGTCGGTTAGGGTGGTGGTTAGTAGTAGGTAGCAGCTGGGTAGTGGCGTCAAGATCGAAAGAACGAGAGAGGTGTCGTTACCGAGTACTTGGCGGGCGAAAAAGCTGTCGGGAAAAGTCGAAAGGCAGGTCGGAAAGCCAGAAAAGGGAAATACGTTACCTGGGTCGATAGTCGAGGGAGGCTGTCGAAGTTCCCGGGAATATGTCGTCGCCGTCGCTGGTCGAAGATATGTCGGTGGTTGGTGAGGGGCGACGACGACTTTTGCTCTGGTCGGAATGTCGGTGGTGGAGGAGGTGGGTGTGATGATGATGAGGTTGAGAACGACGAAACAGAAAAAGGCCTCTTTGGAGAGTTTCGGGAGGGTGGGATGACTACGGAGTACATAGCAACAGAGTGCAGACCAGCCAGCAGGTTTCTTTGGCTCGCTCGCTCGCTCGCTCCTTTCCTTTTTCCCTAGCCAACCATGCATTGGACTGCTTCCCCTGTCACCGACTTCTTCTTCACCTCGCTTTACCTCACTTTAGATGTAATTCTCCCTCACTTCCCAGTCTAGCTGGCATCACATAGTATGTAACATGTGTGTACCTACATACACTCTACATAAGTTGCCGGAAGTCTATGCCTGCCTACATACATAGTACATACATTACATGGACAAGCACATGTATTGTATCCATTTTCCTCCGACAGCCAGCTCAGAGGGCCCGCCAGCCAGCAGGGGAGCTATCAGTGACTAACCCAGTAACTATTAGTGCCGTGCAGCCCATTGCTTGTTATGGCGATAAGCGAAAACAGTAAACAACGCATCAGGCAACACCCGCACGCCCTTGGATACCGTCTATAGACACACTAACAGCCCAAGTAGACACTCTGTTGACATACGGCCGGCATGCATACATACATGTATGTATGTATGTGTGTACATACCATCTACAGATACTTACAGGACTTACTCTTAAAGTAGGTTAGGTAGGTACATCCATACTTACATATGCACCTCATAAGGACCGTGCATCATGAATGATGTAGGAAACTGCGTGGGTGCTTGCTGTCCCCACACATTGATTGAAAGAAATTCTGGTTAATGAGCTTGATGCAGGCCGGGCAGCCACTCCGCATCGTCCACCTTGCTAGCCAGCATTCCTCGCCCTCTACATCTGTATACATGCGGCACTCAAATGTTAAAATTACTACCCCTCCGCCCGCTCTCCTTGAAACAGTTGAACGGGTCCCTGCCCGCTGTCTAATTAAACTCGAAAAAATGTGAGGTCGAGGTTCATTCCGTATGAAGATCAAAAATAGGCAGGGCAAAAAAGAAAGCCTTGCACGGAACGACCAGGTCAAAGGGTTCGAATTATGTACTTACGTCAGGTGCTGATACGCTGATAACAAAAAAACCCTACATCAAGTGCAACGTGGGACAACCGATTACGGCACCGGAGATATTGATATAACATGCAGAAAACCCCATACCACATTGTAAAGCAATACACACAAAGAAACCACAAAAGAACAGAGAAAAGCAGACAGAAAGGTTACAATGCAATTATCTTTTTTTTTTTTTTCTTAAAAAAAAAAGACCATACGCCTCCTCTTAAGGAAGAAAAGGAAAAAAACAAAAGGCGCTTTTTAGACAACAAAAAACAAAGGAACATCATGATCAGAGCTCAAGATATCGTCCCTAAAGTTCATCCCGAACTCGTTGTGCCGCGCTCTTTACTTTCTCCGTAGCACTCGACGCAGCGCTTGAAACAGAACTAGCCAATGGTGTCGAGGTTCCGCTAATGACACTAGAAGCACTCTCACTGATCACACTGGCAGCACTCTCGATACTCTTACTAGCCTCGTTGACAATCGATCCAGCGACAGAAGTAACTGCAGCTGCATTCTCGCCAACTACATCCGTCGCTTGAGCATATGCCTCTGCCAATGTAATCGAAACCTTCTCTCCAAAGCTTAGCTCGGTACCATAGAACATCTCGCTCAACTGTGTTCTTGCGGATTCCAATGCAGAGTCAAGTCTTGCCTGAGCGGATTGGGCATATGTCTTTTCCCTTCCATAAAAGGCGGCGGAGACCTGATCACTGATTCTGGAATTCAAAGAGGATGCAACAGACGATGCCGATGACGCCGAGTCATCAACATAGCTGCTGGCCGAAGAAAACCCCTCCTTGACAGCTTCACCAGCAGCAGATGCACCTTCTTTGACGGCATCACCAGCCTCAGCAGCACGGTTTCCAACATAGTCAGTTGCCTGACTAACAGTTCCTCCGATAGTTTCAGTAACCTTTTGGAAAGTCCCTTTCGGTGTGCCGTAGATTGCAACGCTGATCTGTGTTTTAGCCGTGGAAAGAGCATCTTGAACTTGTGACTGCACCTTTTCGGCTGGTGACAGCTCACGACCGTGAACGGCAGCTGAAACCTTCTCAGCAGCTTCAGAATACCTTTCAGCAATCTTGGAGGTAACAGATTCGACAGTACCGGTCTCTGATCCATAGACTGCAACAGAAGCCTCGGAGACAGCAGCAGCGATCTGTAAATTATCAGCCATTAGCCAAAGACCTATTCTCTGACATCATTTCTAAAACACTGGGGATACAAACCTGTGAGCTGGCAATCTGCAAGTAGCTCTCTATAGCAGGTGGAGGAGTCATCATGACATCCGCCGCAGCTCTCGTGAATGAACCATATGCATCGGCGGCAGCATCTGTAGCTCTAGCAACAATGGTAGGTTGGGTATACAACGAGTTTAAACGAGAGTATACAGATTCAGTAAAACTTGGAGGTTTGCCGGAGACCAGTTCGCTAACCAAAGCTTTCATCTGCTCATATCGTTCGTCAAGCTCTTCTGATGCAGATTTCGCAGTTACAAGGGGGGCTGCAAGAAGCAGCAAGGTCGTTTGTAGACGCATTTTTTTGAGATCTCTTATTTTCTTTTTTTTTGTACTGAAGATAGAGGGTGTGAAAGTTATTTGAGTAGTATCTTAAAGAAAGCGAAAGGATGATATCGGTATTAAGTATATCAATATCAACTCTACACCAGAGTATTGATATCGAATGGTCGACTTTTGTGAAACGTAGTGGTGAGAAGGAAGAGGAGAAGATTCCAAGCAGGTAGGAGATAAATTCGACAGATGGGACCTAAAGCCAGCTTTACAGGGTTGGATAGCTAGATAACACCACTGGCCTGGAAACAGAGTACTTATGTCATAACCAGAAGATCCACTGTCGCCTTGACTACAACCATACAACCCGCTCTTGCACAGGGTTGGACTTTATGTCGTCATAGCGCATCACCAGATCCAACACGCACCCTGCGTTACTAGTAACAAGCTCGAGATCACATGACTTGGCTTCACATCTCAACTCTCCTCTCGAAGTACCTCTTGAGTAGCTCTCGTAGATATAATCTAGCATCAAGACTCAGCCTATATAAACGGCAATATATCCCCTCCATACTCCAACCACTCCCACTCCCCCCTCTTATCCCCGTCCTCCAACCCCTCCGCCCTCGTCACAACAGCCAAACAATACCCCCCTTCCAACCCCTCCTTAACCACCCTCTCAACCTCAAAATACCATTCCCCCGCCCTCCTCTTCTCCCCCGTCCCGATCCAAACCTCAACATCATCAACCCTCTCCCCGGCTTCAACCCTCCCCGCAACCCCCACCAATCCAAACTCCACAGCCGTCAAATCAGTAACCAACCCCGTCCCAACAGCCTTAACATAAGCTTCCTTAACCACCCAATTCAAATGTACCGCTTTAACCACCCCTTCCACCTTCTTTCCCTCCTCATCTTCCCCGCTTAAACCAGCAGCAGCAGCGTAAATAACCCCCATCTCCCTCCCAGTAAACACCTGCGCCTCTTCAAACCCCCCAGCCCACTCCCTCACCCCTTCCAAAGTCCCCTCTACATAATGCGGCCGTTTCTCATACTCCAATACGTCAACCCCAACTCCACCACCTTCATCCCCACCATCCTCACCATCCCCACAATCTTTAGGCGGTAATAGTCGTGATATAATCCCAACTACACTCCCATGATGTGAAACATTATATTCAAGTCCTTCAACCCCATCATCGTCATTACCGATAAATACCGGTCTACCACCAGTTATACCCCCAAAGTGTTTGACAATCCGGACATCACGGAATGGAATGTGACGGTATCGGCATACGATCAAATGTTGGAGGAGTTGGGAGCCTAAAGCTAGTTTTCGATCGTTAGGTTGGTGGTATTTGAGGATGTTCTCGTGGGTTGGGAGTGGGAGGTGGTTTAGTGCTTCGTTGAACTTAAAAAAATGGTATTCCCGTTAGTTTTTCTCCCAAATTGATGGGTTGATGAAGAGGAGGGGGGAAGGGTTTAACTTACCTCCTCAGGTGTATTCCACAGAGGCTCTACGTTCAATAGCCATCTTATTAGAGGCATTCGGAGCGAGATGGTTTCTATGCAGTCTGTTCTTTTCAAGAGTAAAGAAATAGAGAATAGAAAACAAGAAGAAGAAGAAGAAGGAAGCGAAAGGTACCTAGTCAACGAATCGCCGAAATCCACAACCAACACAGAGTTCGCCTGCTCCACCTATAAAAGAGAATGCATGATATAAAATTGTTCTAGTGAAGTGACTACCACAATAACAATGAACAAGTACAAGAAGAAGAAGAAGGGGAGGAAGAAGATGAAAGTGAGAGAAGAAAAGGTACGTAGAGGGTATGAAAAAAAAAGAGTAAAACAGAAGACGCATCTATATACGAAAATCACCGTCTAAACAAACTCCCATCATCCCCCCTACCTAAGTACCTAGGTACCAACCTACCAAATCTCGACAATTCAAGATTCTCTCTCTCCTTTAAAAACGTTACAAAAAACGCTTCTTCTACCCTATGCGCATGCCAAAGAATAAAAAGAAAGAAACAATCTACTGACTCTTCTTCTTATCCCCCAACCCCATCCCCTCCAACTCCTTCACCATACTATCCCTAACCTTCTCAACCAACTTATCAACCTCCTCTTTCGTCCCTTCCAACCCTTCAGTCTCCACCTTCTCCAAAATCTTCACCCTAATCGTCCCCGGTCTAAAAGTCTTATCCTTCAAATTCAACACATGGCTATAATTCTGAATAACGACAGGAACAATAGGAACCTGTGCTTGAACCGCCAGATGGAATGCGCCTTTCTTGAACGGCAGCATTATCGTTTCGGTGGTATACGATCTCGTACCTTCCGGGAAGATCCATGCCGATTGACCGTTCGATTTCATCTGCTTGATGGCGTTGTCGAAGGCGGAGAGAGCGGAGGTACGGTTCGCACGGTCGATGAAGATGGCACCGCTAGCTTGCACTATAATATTCGGGGTGGCAATACGTTAGATATCGATCGAGTAGGTAGCTCGGATAGGTTGGTTAGAAAGAAAGACATACTGAACCAGCCAAGGAATGGGGTATGCTTCAAACTGCTCTTCGCACTGACACTGCAATACTGAGGAAATATCTGTTGTAACCGTCCTCACATTAGCATCGTAACCTTTTCCGTAGACAAGTGGACTTGAAATTGCCATACCCTTCCAAGAATCAATAAATCCAATTCACTAGACAAATAGCACCCCAATTAGCCCTCAAAACCACTTCTAAATTATAGACCTTCACCAGGAGATGGGAAGAGGGGAAAAAAAAAGAGGACACCCAACATACGACTGATGATTCCCCACAAAGACAACCGGTCTATCCTTCCACATGCCTTCCTCATTCTCAACCTCAAACTCAACCCCCAAAGCCGGTCCCAAAGTCCACCTGAACACCCTCCCAACGGTCCACTGCGTAATCGCCACATTCTTTCCAAATGGTGTAAGCACAATGGCAGCTGCAACACCATATAGCGCACAGAAGCACATAATCATATATGCGATGAGAAGTTTCGACGCAAAGGCCGCCAGTTTGGAGACCGTACCCAGGAGGGCCAAGGTCAGCGTGAGGAGGGCGTAGACGGCCATGAAAATTGTGAAGTAGTAGAACATCCTTAGAAAAAAAAACTAGGTTTTTGGACCTTTCTTTTTTTCCTTTTGGAACTTAATGAGGGTTTATATGCGGGGTTTTGGTATAAAACGTTAACCGGTGGTCGAGGGGAGTAGAGTAGATAGGTAGCGGAAGGAACAAGGTGTGGGCCTTTAGCTTTCGGTGTTTGTGGGGTGGAAAGACGAGGGTCGGGTGGTTTTTAGTGTTTTTTTTGTTATTTAGCTTTTTTTCACTTTGTTCCTATCTTCGTTTTTCCTTTGGTGGGTGTGGATGAAATCGCGGGGTTTGCAGTGCAGTGTCGACTAGTACGAGAAGGCTAGATTGGGTCATAGGAACATCGATATCTGTCTAGAAGGGAATCCGAAGATCTCAAGATGGAGGGAATGAACGAATGATATAAGAATAAGTATCATCTGAGCCGATGGAAAAGAGGCTGCTGTCAGGAACCATCCCGGCCATAGCCAACCAGCCAACCAGCCAGCTGCCTGCCTGCCTGCCAACCTGCCTGCCCAGTGCGACAGGTGCAGGTGGGGTGCATTAGTTACCGAGGTCTCGCGCATAAAGAACAAAATTAGTACGGTTGATATAATAATTACCAAGTACTCTTAACATGCTGGCGCTGTATTTATTTTAGTTCCCTTCGTGAATTCAAACTGTCATTAGCTACTAGATTTAAGTATGTATTCGGAAGGCCGAACCCGCGGCAAATCGGCCACAATTCGATTCACAAGATCACCATCTGATTTGATTGATTCCGAGTAATAGTTACTTCATGGAAGTACTGTGTGTAAGTACACAATGTATGATGAAATGGTTGGGTCCATCAAACCACAAGACCTGCCTGATCTCAGGGTCGGCTGCTCCTCCCGAACACATGCCGCCGACCAACCAAGACATCCAGATTTCTGTTGGGCTTGCAGGGAACAGAAGCTTGAACTAATCCGGGAATGTCTCCAGTTTCATTTGGTTTGTTCCAGTTCCAGTTCCAGTTCCAGTTCCTTATCGATCTTGCACTTGCAGGAATGTGACCGCTTCTACATACAACAAACCCAACACAATCAAAAAAACGTTAAAACTAACATGCATAAGGACTCGAATCCAAGGCGTCTTAATCAATGATAAAGGAATACTACAAGCCCTTGTTCTCGGGCTCATTGATCGATAACAACTTTAGTTCCAAAGCCTTCGGATGGACACTCTTATGATCGGGTCCATGATCAACATATGTCGTCGCCGCATTTCCAGTAAACTCTTTGGCTACATTAATAGCCCCGGAAACCCATGCAACCCTCGAGAGTCTTGCGTGAAGATCGATCAATCGTCGGTCCGGAAAACCTTGACCCTTTTTAACAACCACTCTCTTTTCGAAGGGCATTGACCCAGGCCCGAAGATTCCCCTGGTCTCTCCTGCAGGCGTGAAGATATACTCTGTCTCATTCTCCTCGTCGAAATCGAGCCACATCTGCAAACCTGTAAAACGGCGGTGTACCTCCCTGCTCAACGTCAAGCCGTTGCTGATTTCGTCAAGTTTCGGATATAGATAATCAGAAATACGACTGGTGTCATTTGCGTCGAACATGTCCAGGAGATTCCAAGTGAGTCGGTTCCTCGTTTCCTGTGTTTATCGATATTAGTGATACATCCTAGCTTCAACCCGTCTAGAACTTCGCTGTATATTCGAATGCATACTCTATAGCGGGAGTAATCCCAACCCAGGCCCCATGGGATAATATGTCCAGCTCTATAAGCCGAAGAAGTTGTACCTGTTTCCGCTTCAGTATCAAATATGCCTGTGAACGCACACGTATAATTATCCCTAGTGAGCACCTGTAATCAATTCCACCAATATTATGACAGTTAGCATATGGGCCTCAACCTTTCAACCTTCACTGCAAGAACCTCCTAGTAAGCTTGCATAGAATTCAAGAAACAACCTACCGCCAAAACAAACTCCGCATATTCCGATACTTCTACATTTGTCATTCCGGGCAAGTGGCTCCCGTCCCCATCTTGAAACGCCGAAAGATTATTAGGCGTATAAGTACCAGCCGTTCTATAAACTACACTCCCCAGTAATAAAAAAAAAAAAATCAAATCAGCCATTCAAACCACAGTGTACACCCTTAGTAAAGAAATACTCACCCGGAACAATCATCTGCATAACCAAAGAATCCGCCAACCCATTCAAACTCTCCCAAACAACCTCCAAACTCTCCCCCACCCGACGCATATACCCCTCAACCGCCGTCACAACATCTCCCAAATCACGCAACCCTTCCTCTCTAAACACCGTAGGAACCGCCGCAGCAAGAAAGATACTAAAAACAAATATCCTCTCCCCTTTCTTCGTCGCTTCCATAAGAATAGCCTCTAACAACAAAGACCGATTATATTTCGTATCCAATTCATAACTCATCGCATCAGGTCCAGCTCTAATTTCTTCATTATATTTCTTGATAAGCGTATCTACTATAGCACGTATTTTATCCGAAAAGTCTTCGCCGATGAGTAATTCGGGGCCTTGTTCGTATTCTTGGTACAATCCGGATATGTTGGAGATTTTGATGGTGGGATCGCTTTCCTTTAGGTCTTGGAAGAGTTTTGCAACGTGCGGTAGGATCTTGTTATTGGGGATCTGTCGGGGAGTACCCGGGGAGTTTTCGTCCGGAGGAGCTATGGAGGAGGCCATGGTGGCGGGGTGGTTGGGAATAGTGGGAAGGACTTGAACATTGCAGTCGATAGATCGAGTATTAGGGAAGAGCTGTATGTTTTATTGAATGGTATGCCAATAAAGCAAAGCTTTTGATATTGTTATTTATGATAGGTTTATTTGTATGATTGAATTATGAAATGTTTCTCGGAGACAGGTCGGCATGCATGCATTGGTCATCCTTCCGTGGCTTATATACCGGTATTCTAGGACGCGTACGACTCATCGATATTTTGATCTACAAGAAATATATCCAGATATAGTATGTCTGTGTATACAACACTCCCCGAATGTGGTATTTTTTTGGAATCTTTTTTCAATTGAGGCCATGAAGTCATGATTTATCCCGCTCACTTTCAGTTGATCACCCGGGATTCCCGTAAAAATATTTAAATATAAATATAAGAAAAACAATGGGGTATATACCTACTATGCTAGGAACGTGGTATTTTTCAATACCGTTCGAATCCGATTTTATTAGTAAATTTTATCCTCCAATAGCCAGTATCTATCGGAAACCCCCCTCCCTATTTATAATTACAGAACTTCTAGGTCAAATTTTTTTGTTTGTTAATTGTGGATGTTATTCAATTCCTAGATCGCCCTGGTCTCGTTCCTTGTAGGGTTATGACTGCAGACCCTCTTGTATACTGTGTCAGAAGGAGGGGTTTATTAATACCATATTAACACAGTTTTTTCGTTATAATACGGTATTACGGCGTTCAATACAGATTGGAACAATATTGAAGACAAATTTTTACTAACACGGTATATATATACGTATCCGTTTCCCTCATTTCCAGTCCACCTAGGCCCGTTAAATGTTATAACCTCTCAATTGAGAGATAAGCTATTACCTTATATAACGATAGCTTCACAAATTACTCTGTCAGTGCAAGTCCATAGTATAGTAACCGCGCGCGTCGGGTCCCCCACCTTCGTTAAATAGTAGGATAGTTAAGTTAAACAGGCATCAATTGCAATCATACTACAATCGAAGTGACCGAGGAGGGATTATATTAGTATATATTAGTTCAAATACACATGGTAGCTCCACTATAGCTATACATATCTCTTCAAAAAGCCCTCTACACTTTCTATGCGAGTTGGTAGGCTATACTTCCGTTAGTATCTGTATTAATATATGATTGTGGATAGGAAACTGAAAGGTGCAGTGGGGGATTAAACAGCAGAACTGAAATCTTGCTGTTTTTATATGTAAGTTTTCTTAGTAAGGTACGTTCGAGAACGGTATCAATGTAATTACTTATATATTATCGATGTATATAGAAAGAGAGTGGTATTGGTAATGCAGTGCAGGCTTTTGAGCATTTTATTCTCTCTTTCTAATATATAGAGCATGACATGACAGTTGCACACGGAATATAAAGGAAAGCAGGTGCTATGCACGTAATATATTCTCGCCAATCTCCAGATGTGGGAAAGCTAGGTATCTTGGTAACTTTCAATATATTTTCAAGAAAGACGTGAGGAATCTGATATCAAACATCCGCCTACTCTGATCATATCATTAGCTCCACAAAAACAAGTGGCCCCTTATCCCGAAACCATCCGCACAAAAATATACTTGTAGAATTAGAGTATCATTAAAATCTCTATATATCATCACCAAAACTTTTTAGCCCTCTCCCAAACAGGCAAACTCCGTATAATCCCGCATATAATCCCGGTAGATTTTATATACTGGAGGGGGAAAAAAGGTGTGTCCAGATATCTTTCATTAAGTCCATCTAGGAGGGTATCTACAGGGTCCCCCATCTAGTCATATACTTCTTTTTTTTTTTTAGAAGCAGAACACCTGGTGATCCAACTTGCTGACTGGCTTAGCTGGTTCGTATCCCAATGCCTTACAATGGTTCTTCATTGCTGAGACCATAGGTGGAGGTCCACAGATCAGGATCTTGACATCTGGAGCTGGAGCTGGGCACCATGCCTATAGTAATTACCAATTATTAGTATCTAGTATTGAAATGTATACCAGTAGTTTTTTTAAAAAAGAATCTTACCTTAATCATATCGGCAGTAACAAAGCCCACAGCGCCATTCCATCCTTCAGGAGCGTTATTGAGCACATAATGCACCCTCAACCGTTCCTTCTCACTCTCCGCAAGCTCATCCAAATCCTCACGTAACAAGATATCCTCTTCATTAACATTCGCAAAGATCAAATCACAGACTGTCCTATCATCTCCATTCCTCAAGATAGCCTTGATAATCTGCAACATGGGTGTGATACCGGTGCCACCAGCGATCATTCCGAAGTGTTTTACGAGACCCGAGGAATATTTGAAATGTCCCTTGGGACCCTTGACTTTGATGGTTTGTCCGATCTTGAGGTTGGCGATGTATTTGGAGATGTTACCGGTTGGGTAGGATTTTATCAGGAGTTCGAAGTAGCCTTTGTTGAGATCGGAGGAGATGGGGGTGTAGGAACGGGCGATTTCTTTGCCGTCGATTGTGGCGGCGATTGAGACGTGCTGACCGATGGGGAGGCCGAGGATGTCGTTTTCGCCGGGGAGGGCGAAGCGGTAGCTGTAGTATTGTAGGTATTTCGTAAGTAAAGGATTTCATATAAAGAAAATGGAGAGGAAGGTAGCTTCGTACATAGCAGTATTGTGGTTCAATTCCGTCTTCTCCTTCAATTGGAATTCCTGGAAGACATCCGCCTTGAGGACCTTTCGTGGGACTATCCGATACAGTTGTTAGTAAGCCATCTCCGCCATAAAATAAAACATGGAAGCTATAAGGTATATAATGAACAAGAGAAAAGGATAAAACTCACATCCACGGTAGACCTTAAACACAGCTAAGGTAAGAGCCAAAGCAACGGAATATCCGATCCACTCGAACTTCACAATCGCAGTTCCAACTACCAGAAGCCCCATGGGGATGTATAAGCCATGGAGCGGCGTTGAGATCAATGCAATCTGCTCTTCTGCCTTACCCATTGTGAGAAGTGATTCCTTGAAGCAGAAGTACCTTCTAATCTGATGGTGTGGTAAAAGGGGAAGAAGAAGAAGAATGAGACCGGAAAAGGGTTCAATGGGTAGGGAGGAAAAGAAGAGAGAAGAAGAGGAAGAGGAAAGGAAAGGATTTATTAGGAAGATGCCACGAGGGTGGTTCGGGTCTAGCTCACTGGTGGTACGAAGAAAGCTATGACCGAGGAGGACCCTTGTTGTTGTTGTATGTACCGTTCGGCCAAAGACAAAAAAAAAAAAAAAAAGAAGAAGAAGCGAATATGCGGCAGGTTTGTTGGGCCGGAAGCTTATTAGCTGTCTGAGTCTGATATTTTATTTGTTATTTGTTATTCAGGCACCCGAACAAAGATGCAGGCTCCTCGGCTGCCGACAATCCAATCCAAACAGGAACCGGATAGTTCCATTCTCATCATCATCTAGTATACAGGTACTCACAAGTGTCTTGGTACTTCATATGAGTAGTAGCTGTATCGGAATATATTTATACCACGATAGCAGCTAGCACAGTCTCTGAATCGAGTGATATAAAAAAACTTCACCGATAAGCTCCGAGTCGCCTCGTAAGCTCCATACGCCATGTAGAACAATATCAAAGAACATGCATTATGTAATTCAAAGTAACCTGGATTCGAGGCTAATACGGTACCCACAAGAACACCATCATATCCACAAGTATTGCTCACCTCTCCTAGCTATCTCTATCCAGTCCGAACATTCCTCATATACCCAATCGCTAGTAGTATAAGATATCTACTTCGAAATATATATAAAATAAATGGCCACCAAAACTCCAATCTCCACCGTCCCCTCACCGCCGCCCAAATCCGACGTCTACATCCCAACCCTCAAAGACCAAGAGATCCTCAACACACCCGAACACCTCTTCAACCTACACACCTGGTCCGACCTTCAATCGATCATATCCGAAAACCGGCTCGAGGATCTAAAACGCCGTCCCGGTGACCTAAGACGCTACCTCGAATGGGGTGCAAAGACAAGAGAGGAATATGGTAGTGTTTTAAAATACATCTTATCCCAAAGGTTGTTGTGGGAAGGAAAGTTGGAGGCCAGGAGTTCTGTACCCTTTGAAGATGAAGGTAAGTAGTTCTTTCATCCATTCTTCTCATCCACCCGTTCCTCTATACTAATACAAGTAATGATATATTATATGCTAACAAAAGAACAATTGGAAACCCCACAGAAGACACAAAAATCCTCCTAAACGACTGGCCCTACGGCGTTTCCCCAGGTATAATCCACATCGTCATCTGGACCAAAGCCGAAATCCCCGTCGACCCGGTCTCTGGCGACGTAACCGAAGAATCACGCCGTATAATCGTAGAATACGTAAACAAAATATTTATAACCCAGTTGGGACTACCCGAGGAAAAGGTACTGTGGTTCAAGAACTGGGCGGCTTTGCAGAGCGTGAGGACTGTTGAGCATATACACGTCTTGGTGGATACGAATGGGGTCGATGGAGCATTGGAGAGGATCAAGACGGTCGCAGGATGAGTTGTTACGATTTAATACGGGAGTACAACGTAGTATGTAATACTTTGGTACTGCATTTACGAGGTAAGAGATTGGGTGTTTTTGCACGGAATACATTGGTTAGACTAGCAAGCGTGTACCTGGAAGGGTTATTATAGAATATTTACAAATAGACATCTACGTGATTTACGAGAAGAATATATATAGCCTTCGGAGTGATTATCTGGCAAGCAGTGCTTTATTCGTGTGATCATAACCAAAGTCCCTTGATGTGAAGAACGCCCACCAGCCCTATAATAACAATAAGAGGCAAAAGGAAAAAAGCTGTAGCAATACACAAGACGAAGATGGAAAAAAAGTGCAACACCTCCCGCGCAATTGCAAAACAAGTCCCGACCGAGTCTTTGTAGTAGTAATAATGGATGAAGGGATGAGGGGTATAGTGTAAGATTTCGTCAATTGTTATTTGGTCATGACATTACATCCCGGTTGAGCAAAAGACTTGCAAAGATTAACAGGTCCTTGTGCTTTCTAATAGAGAATAATAAAGGAAACCCGGAGGAAAGTAAGAACAATTGCGAAGGAGAGCAGGTCCAAGCAGTATATGGTTGGAGATGCTTAACCACCGAAACCGTAGAGGGTACGTCCTTGACGCTTGAGGGCATAGACGACATCGAGGGAGGTAACGGTCTTTCTCTTGGCGTGCTCACTGTTTGATAAGAATGTTAGAACGTGTTCGCGACCCTTTTTTTTTTTTTTTTTTTTTTTTTTGACAAGGATGAGATGGGATGAAGTTGGACGGAATAACTTACGTGTAGGTGACGGCGTCACGGATGACACCCTCGAGGAAGGTCTTGAGGACACCACGGGTTTCCTCGTAGATCATAGCGGAGATACGCTTGACACCACCACGACGGGCGAGACGACGAATGGCTGGCTTGGTGATACCCTGGATGTTGTCACGAAGAATCTTTCGATGACGCTTGGCACCACCCTTTCCAAGACCCTTTCCACCTTTTCCGCCTGTATGAAAGAGATACCAGTTAGTCTCGTGTATTGAGGAAGATGAATGTATATTAAGGATGGTAAGAGTAATACATACGTCCAGTCATGTTGATAGATTTGAAGGTTTAAAAAAAAAAAGTTAGGTTTATTTTTAGAGTGGTGGTGTTGAGGTTGAAGATTCGTAGACGCGTATTGGTTGTTTAGTAAAAGAAGAAGTATAAAAGGGGAGGAAAGAGAAGAGAGGAAGAGTAAGAGCAAAAAGGGCGGGGGGACTGGCTGGATTAAATAGCAAGCGAGCGGACAGCGCCAAATCAATACAATTTTTGTTTTATTCTTTGTTAATTACCAAAAGGTCAGTTAGTTCTTGTCATGCCAGTCAAACAGCTCTCAAATTCCTCACCAAACGCCAGCCGGCCTGAACTCCCATAAGGTGTGCTGGAAACCAGCACTTTTTAACCCCCCAAAAATTATATGGTGGTTTTTGGTCGTTTTACGCTGCAAAGTGATCACATGATCTTGAAACAGAGCAAACCTTCCTGTTTTGGTATTAAACAACAACACGAGCTGAGACATGCGCCATCTGAACCGGGCTAGCTCCTAAGTTACTGTGGGAAAAGCACGCGAACCGCGCGACCATAAACAACGGTTTGTTCCTGTTTCCGTTCCTGCGATCAACTGCTGCGTGGATCCTTTTTTAGCCGTTTTTCTGCAAGAAGGCTTTTCAACCACCACACATCCACACGTAGAGTATTTACATACATGCCCACCCCACACCCGCACATCGCATATCGCACATACCCGCAGGATCCAGATCTGTTAGGGAACGTGAAGAAGAAGATGGGGTATCGTGCGGTATTTAAATGCACACCGATACCTATAAGGCCAAAAATACCATGTCAAAATAATTGAATTGCTGTCGCTTTGAAACCATAATATTGTTTTCGCCTTCGCATTACAACATTAACTAGAAAGTCGACTAATCATGACACATGTGATAATTATTGTACCTATACAATAGAGTGCAATAAATGTTATACTATTATCTCTCGTCCAATCGAAGCATTTTTTTTGTCTCCAATAAATAAAAAAACACACATAAAAGGCTAAATATTAAGAAATTGGAGAAGAAGTACAAGAGAAACGTAGGTATCTATCTATACCGAACGTTCTTGCCCTCAGAAGTTCGTTTCTCCATCTTCGCCTGTCTCTTACTACCACCCGCTCCAGGTGCAGCTATATCATTCGCAGCTCCTCCCAATCCACCAAGCGTATCTCTCATACCCGTCGCTGCCGTATATGCTGCGTAAGCCCCGTACACCGGGATAACAGCCCACAGCCACCAAAGCGATTCTCCAAACACAGCGACAAGTGTCAAACAAGCCCAAGTGACATAAATCACATCCCACATCATCTCCATCATCCCACTGGAGCCAAGGTCGTCACCGGCTTTACGAGCATCTTTCGGACGGCCTATACTTTCGAGGTAAAGCTGGATACCGAGGGCTGGGGCGTTAAAGATGATGTAACAGTATATTGAGGCTTTTGTGATGGATGAATAGTGATAGACGAAACGGTAGAGGATGAAGAAGAGGTTGAAGGCGAGAGAGATGAGGTGGAGGTTGTTTAAAGAGGATTCATTTCTTCGGGCCGTGGCTTTTGCTGCTTTCTAGATTCCGATGTTAGTTCCGTGTACCCGGTTTATACTGATTTAGGGATGTTGACGAGTAGAAGTGGGGATAGATATAGGAAGGGAAGGGAGGGCCTACCTGCGCCATGGCTGCCGTAGATGCTTGTTATCTGATAGCGAGAACAAAAAGGCGCACCTGGAATATAGGGTGGTGTTTGATCAATTGAGTTATAAGTGTGCAATGGGTGTGCAATGGGTGTGTAATGGTTGGTTGTGGTTTGTGGTTTATGAATTGTGAATTACTACTATGCAGGACCTTCCGGGTGGCATCCACGACAACGTCATCGTCGCTCTGTCGCTTAACACCACGCTGTCCAAAGAGAGCAAGTGATCACCTGACCGGAAACTCCATGTTGAGCTCTGTTACTGTTACACATCTCATATTTTCCCTGACGTCTTTGTGAGAGGATTATCGAAGGCTTGCTACATTGCTGACGTGCATACGTATGCTATACTGTATATTGGAACTGGTGGTAAGTGGCGGGATTTATAGTACAGCGAGTGTGAATTATATTCTCAGCCAAGTCTCTCGATTCTTGAGCTTATCGCAATCAGATCGATTAATTATAAGCTTGTCGTATTGAATTTCACGATTCAAGATTCAGGTTACGAGAAACGGACGAAAGGAGTCAATCCCCCCCTTTTTAATATTAAATATCTCGAAACTTCTTTCTTTTTCTTTAAAATATGATCTTGTTTCGAGATCCCAACCGAAATGGATCTTCTTGGTTCGGCTTGTTAGGTTTTCGATGTTCCAATTTTTTTGATTTGATATTGCATTGCTAGAGCATGTTGGGGGTTCAACAGAAATTTCTAAATTTTTGTTTTGGGGCGGGAATGCATGGGAAATCGATCTAACCGGGTTGCCGCTCCCCACGAAGGAATATAGCTCGGGGAGAGGGACTGAGGGACAAACGGTATCAATAGTTAATCCCCTCGGGCAGGGTGCGATAGATGGAGATTTAGATCCCTGCAGCCACTAGCACGAGTAGCTTAGCTGTAAGCCCTGCCCTGTCTGCGATCCGACCATGTATACTTATACTTGTTTAAATGGTTGTCGGTACGTACCTTGGGGCTGGTTTTGTTGACCGGCTTCGATCCCATAGTTTTAGCTTTTTGCCGGCCTCACATCCCACGCTTATCCGCGCATATACAATGTTATACACAATGGCTTCTTTGTACATAGTAGATGGATGGATGGATGGATGGATGAATGATATACATGTCCTTGTACACCTCGTAATACATTCATCGTCCCGATATCCTCCCCGAGTTTCTCCACAGCGGCCTGTCCAATATCCGCTGGGACAATATTGATTGCAATCGATCATATCGAGCTAGCTAGCTTTCCCCGGTTGAGCGAAAGATTATCCAACCCCACCCCCCTCGGTTGGTGAACTCCGATTTCAACCTAACTGAGTGCACCGAACTATGATGTAGCGAAAGTACTGTACGTAACTAGGTGACCCCGTGCATTATCAATTGCGTACCAATTGGACGGATGTTTTTGCCCAGCCAGTCCAGTCCAGTCTAGATGTATGTATGTATGTATGTCTGGCTGTAAGTGGGTGCTGGCAATCGATATAATAGACCTTACCCTCCCCCTCCACAAACAGCGACACCTCAACCGCTCTCACTTTATATCATATAACCCTCTCCCATAGTCCATTTGGAGCCGTCGCTCAGGCCCAAGTTAGCTGCTGAAGCTACTATTTCATCAATTACCTCTCTCTCTCTCCTTCTCCTTCTTCTCTCTCTCTCTCTCTCTCTCTTCCGTTATCTCTCTGGTCCTCTAGTTCCTAGGTTCGTCCTGTAGACGCCCCCGGAAAACGGTCTTAGCTCCTTCTATCCAACCTAATCTCCAGCTACTCCTTTCACGACCGTTCTTCGATTGCTTAGCTAGGAAAAACAACAGAAACAGAAAAACAAGGGAACCTAGATTCCATTCCGATTTTCATACTTCTCACCTGTAGTATCTTTTTAATACTCTCATAAAAACCTCCCTGGGCAATCTTTTTAAGCTTCTGTCTTTTGTCCAGTTTTGAGTCGTTATATCCCACATTCTCAAAACTCGCGTCTCACCAAGTTAAAACCGAAGTCTAAAAGGCTTCCCGTCCTCAACCGACCCACCACCAAAAAACCCACACATACACACCCATAAAACCATGTCAGCAGAATCCTCATCACCTCTTCCGCACTCTGATGCCACGGGAGAGAAGTTCGATACTCAGTACGGCTCCTCGTATGCCGCCAAGCATAAGCTCTCATCCCACTTTATCGGCGGGAATAGACTAGATTTGGCACCTTCGGGCCCTGTAAAGGACTTTGTAGCTGGTCATGACGGACATACCGTTATCACGAACGTAAGTTTTGTCAATTCTACTGTCTAAATCGCTAGTTTCCCGGTTATCGCGGTAGGAAAGCTAATGGAATTCAACTATGTTGTAGGTACTCATTGCAAATAACGGTATCGCCGCCGTCAAGGAAATCAGAAGTGTACGGAAATGGGCGTACGAGACATTTGGCGATGAGCGGGCAATCCAGTTTACCGTTATGGCGACGCCGGAAGATTTGAAGGCCAATGCTGATTACATTAGAATGGCTGATAAATACGTTGAAGTATGGGAGCTCTTCCCGTTTTTTTTTGTTGGGAGGTAGTTTTGTCGATCGACGGTATATGCTTACAATGGGTCAAAATAGGTACCGGGAGGAACAAATAACAACAATTATGCCAACGTCGAATTGATTGTCGATGTTGCGGAACGTATGGGCGTGCATGCCGTATGGGCTGGATGGTAAGAGCTGATCTTAAGCTTGATATCAATAAGTATAACCCGCCAATTCTAACTTATGATCTACAATACAGGGGTCACGCAAGTGAAAATCCAAAGCTTCCGGAGTCGCTGGCGGCATCGAAACACAAAATCGTATTTATCGGACCCCCAGGATCTGCTATGCGCTCCTTGGGTGACAAAATTTCATCCACAATCGTAGCTCAACATGCCAATGTTCCTTGTATCCCCTGGAGTGGTACTGGCGTCGATGATGTCGTGGTTGATGATGCCGGACTTGTTACCGTTGCACCTGAAATTTATACTAAGGGATGCGTTACAACTGCCGAAGAGGCGCTCGAGAAGGCGCGAATAATCGGTTTCCCAGTTATGATCAAGGCTAGTGAAGGTGGTGGTGGTAAGGGTATTCGAAAGGTCGAGGGAGAAGATGGATTCCAGGCGCTTTTCACACAGGTGGCGAATGAAGTCCCCGGATCTCCAATCTTTGTTATGAAGCTAGCTGGTCAGGCCAGACATTTGGAAGTCCAGCTCCTAGCGGATCAGTATGGTAACAACATCTCGTTATTTGGACGTGATTGTTCCGTCCAGAGACGACATCAAAAGATCATCGAAGAAGCTCCGGTTACTATCGCCAGACAAGAAACTTTCACGGAGATGGAGAAGGCGGCTGTTAGATTGGGCAAGTTGGTCGGTTACGTGTCTGCCGGTACCGTCGAGTACCTATACTCGCATGCCGAAGACAAGTTCTACTTCTTGGAGTTGAACCCTCGTTTACAGGTCGAGCATCCGACTACTGAGATGGTTACTGGTGTTAACCTCCCAGCTGCCCAGCTTCAGATTGCTATGGGTTTACCACTTCACAGGATTCGTGATATTCGATTACTCTATGGCGTCGATACCGCCTCTACTACCGAAATTGATTTCGACTTCTCATCGGAAGAGTCCTTGCTTTCACAGCGTCGTCCAACTCCCAAGGGACATACCACCGCTTGCAGAATTACCTCCGAGGATCCCGGTGAAGGATTCAAGCCATCTTCTGGTACAATGCACGATTTGAACTTCAGATCTTCCTCGAATGTCTGGGGTTACTTCTCCGTTAGTTCTCAGGGTGGTATCCACTCTTTCTCCGATTCTCAATTCGGTCACATCTTCGCATATGGAGAGAACAGATCCGCCTCTAGGAAGCACATGGTTATCGCCTTGAAGGAACTGAGCATCCGTGGTGACTTCAGAAATACCGTTCAATACCTCATCAAACTTCTTCAACTCGAGTCCTTCGAGGAAAACACCTTTACCACAGGCTGGCTAGACGAGCTCATCAGCAACAAGATGACAGCTGAGAGACCAGATCCCATGTTAGCTGTCGTCTGCGGTGCCGTCACAAAGGCCCACATTGCTAGCGAGACCTGTATCAGCGATTATAGAACATCGCTTGAGAGGGGTCAGGTGCCATCGAAGGGAGCACTTAAAACCGTTTTCCCAGTTGAATTTATCTACGAGGGTGTTCGCTACAAATTCACTGCCACGAGGTCTAGCGGAAACTCTTACCATTTGTTCATCAACGGTTCTAAGTGCGCAGTTGGTATCCGCGCCCTTGCTGACGGCGGTTTACTTGTGCTGCTTAGTGGTCGCAGTCACAACGTTTACTGGAAAGAGGATGTCGGCGCCACTCGTTTGAGTGTTGATAACATGACATGTCTTTTGGAGCAAGAGAGCGATCCAACACAGCTTAGAACTCCCTCTCCAGGAAAGCTAGTCAAGTTCCTCGTTGACAGCGGAGATCATGTCAAGAAGGGTCAAGCCTTCGCTGAAGTCGAGGTCATGAAGATGATTATGCCTTTGATTGCTCAAGAAGACGGTATGGTTCAATTGATCAAGCAACCCGGAGCGGTTCTCGAGGCCGGTGATATCCTTGGTATCCTCGCCTTGGACGATCCATCCCGTGTGAAGCATGCCCTTGCGTTCGAAGGCCAGCTTCCGAACTTCGGAGACCCACAGATCGTTGGTACCAAGCCTGCGCAAAGATTTGAACTCCTCATCAGTATTCTTAGGAACATACTTGAGGGGTTCGATAATCAAGTCATCATGGCGCCGACACTAAAAGAGCTGATTGAAGTGCTGAGGAACCCGGAACTCCCATACGGTGAATGGAGCGCACAGTTTGCGGCATTGCACTCTAGAATGCCGGCAAAACTTGGAACTTTGTTTACTACGGTTGTTGATAGGGCTAGGGGGAGGAAGGCTGAATTCCCTGCAAAGACTCTTCTAAAAACATTTGATAAGTTTATCGACGACCATTCGCAGACCGGTGACGCTTCCGGGTTGAGAGTCTCCCTTTCTCCTTTGCTTGATATCATCAAGCGATACCAAGATGGACTTAAAGCTCACGAGTTTAACGTCATTACGGCTCTCCTTGATCAATACTGGGTAACCGAGAAGATCTTTTCTGGCCAGAATACTCGAGAAGAGGATGTCGTTTTGAGACTTCGAGACGAGAACAAGGATAACATCGACACTGTTGTCCAGGCTGTTCTCTCCCACAGCAAGATTGGAGCCAAGAATAACTTGATCATTGCCATTCTTGACGAATACAGGCCCAACAGACCGAATGTCGGTGCTGTTGGCAAGTATTTCCGTACTTCCCTCAAGAAGCTGACAGACTTGGATAACCGTTCAACTTCAAAGGTGCAACTTAAGGCCAGAGAATTGCTCATCCAATGCGCTTTGCCATCCATTGAGGAACGTCAAGGTCAGATGGAACATATTCTGCGATCTTCTGTTGTCGAATCTCGTTATGGTGAGGGCGGCTGGGATCACAGAACTCCAAGCGTTGAATTGCTCAAAGAAGTCATCGATTCCAAATACACCGTCTTCGATGTCCTTCCTCACTTCTTCGGCCACTCTGATCCATGGGTCTCTCTCGCGGCCCTCGAAGTCTATATCAGACGTGCTTACCGTGCCTACCAACTCATGTCTGTCGACTACCATTACACCGACACCGAACCACCATTCATGATTACCTGGGATTTCTGTCTCAGCAAGATGGGCTTCTCAGACGCTGGATTCCCCATGCAACCCTCTACACCCGGAACACCCACTGCTGACAAAGCGAACCCATTTAAGAGAATAGGATCCATAAGTGATATGAGCTTCCTTGTCAAAAATGCGGAGTCCGAGCCTATTAGGAAGGGCGTCGTCGTACCCATCGGATATCTTGACGAGGCAGAAGAATATCTCTCCAGGGCGCTCGAATTGCTACCCAAGAAGGTCCAGAAGTTCGGAGGCGCCAGCGGCCTCATGCCCGACCTCTCCCGGAGAAGACCACAACCTCTCAAAGTAGAGGATGACGAAGATCTTAGCGGCGTATGTAATGTGGCTGTTCGAGATGTCGAGAACTTGACGGATACGGAGATCGCGGAGAGGATTTCCGCCCTAATGCAGGAAAGCACTGACGAGCTGCTCGCGCGCCATATTCGTCGTGTTACCTTCATCTGTGGCCACAGGGATGGCACCTATCCGGGTTACTTTACGTTCCGTGCGCCAACTTACGTTGAAGACGAGAGGATCCGTCATATCGAGCCGGCTTTGGCTTTCCAGCTTGAGTTGTCTCGGTTGTCGAATTTCAATATCACTCCGGTGTTCACAGAGAACAGGAATATCCATGTCTACAAGGCTGTGGGAAAGAATGTACCATCCGATCAGAGGTACTTTACCCGTGCTGTCGTCAGACCGGGCAGACTCAGAGACGACATTCCTACACCAGAGTATTTGATCTCCGAAACCGACCGTCTCGTTAGTGACATCCTCGACGCATTAGAAATCATTGGCAACAATGGTACCGATCTTAACCACATTTTCATCAACTTCTCACCCGTCTTCCCTCTTGAGCCCGAAGAAGTCTTCTCAGCCCTCGGTGGCTTCATCGACCGTTTCGGTCGTCGTTCATGGAGACTTCGTGTCACCACCGCTGAAATCCGTATCGTCTGCTCTGACCCATCAACAGGCATTGCCACCCCTCTCAGAGTCATCATCAACAACGTCTCCGGATATGTCATTCAATATGAAGTTTACTTTGAGAAGAAGAACGAGAAAAAGCAATGGGTCTTCCACAGCATTCCGTTGGAAAGCAACAGCAAGCCAGGTTCTATGCACCTTCGTCCCGTTAGTACGCCCTATGCTACTAAGGAGGCGCTTCAGCCAAAGCGTTATCGGGCACACCTTATGGGAACCCAATACGTTTACGACTTCCCAGAACTCTTCCGTCAAGCTATCCAAAATAGCTGGGATAAGGCCGTCAAGAAGCACCCAGAGCTTAGGAAGGCGATGCCGCAGCCTGGTACCTGCATTGACTATAATGAATTGGTGCTCGATGACAACTATAGCTTGGTTGAAGTCAATCGAGAGCCTGGTACTAATACCCACGGTATGGTTGGATGGCTCGTTACCGCGAAGACCCCTGAGTATCCTAAAGGCCGAAGGTTTGTGATCATCGCCAACGATATCACGTTCAAGATAGGATCCTTCGGGCCGCAGGAGGATCGGTTTTTCAATGCTTGCACTGAGTTGGCAAGGAAGCTTGGTATTCCCAGAATCTACTTGTCTGCAAACTCCGGTGCCCGTATCGGTATGGCCGAAGAGCTTATTCCGTTGTTCTCGGTTGCGTGGAATGACCCTGGAAAGCCAGACGCTGGATTCAGGTATCTTTACTTGACTCCTGAGGTCCATGCTAAATTTGAAGAGAGTGGAAGGAAGGAGGTCATTACCGAGAGAGTTGTCGAGGAAGGCGAGGAGAGGTATAAGATTACTACGATTATTGGAAGAGAGGATGGGTTGGGTGTGGAATGTTTGAGAGGTTCCGGTATCATTGCTGGTGCTACATCGAGGGCCTATGATGATATCTTTACGATTACATTGGTCACTTGTCGATCCGTTGGTATCGGTGCTTACCTTGTCAGACTCGGCCAGCGTGCTGTGCAAATTGAAGGGCAGCCAATCGTAAGTTTTACCCTATTCTGATTACACAAAATTTTGATCAATAGTTACTAACGATGTAATAGATCTTGACCGGTGCCCCGGCTATCAACAAACTCTTGGGTCGTGAAGTCTACACATCCAATCTTCAACTTGGTGGAACCCAGATCATGTACAAGAATGGTGTTTCCCATCTCACCGCATCTAACGACTTCGATGGGATTACGAAGATTGTGTCGTGGTTGTCTTACGTCCCTGATAAGAGGAACTCACCTGTTCCAATCCTACCATCTAGCGATCCTTGGGATCGTGATATCCTTTACATGCCTCCTCAAAGGGAGCCATACGATGTTAGATGGTTGATTGGTGGCAAAGAAGACGACATCGGCTTCGCACACGGTCTATTTGATAAGGAATCCTTCCAGGAAACACTCAGCGGATGGGCCAAGACTGTTGTCATCGGCAGAGCTAGACTGGGCGGTATCCCCGTCGGTGTCATCGCTGTCGAAACACGATCCGTCGAAAATGTCATCCCAGCCGATCCCGCCAACCCAGATTCTACCGAACAAATCAACATGGAAGCCGGACAAGTCTGGTACCCCAATTCGGCCTTCAAAACCGCACAAGCTATCAACGACTTCAACAAGGGTGAACAGTTACCCCTCATCATCCTTGCCAACTGGCGTGGTTTCTCTGGTGGTCAGCGTGATATGTACTTCGAAGTTCTCAAGTACGGTGCATACATTGTCGATGCGCTGGTTAAGTACCAACAACCGATCTTTGTTTACATCCCACCATTTGGAGAACTACGTGGTGGTTCGTGGGTTGTTATCGATCCTACAATCAACGCCGATATGATGGAGATGTATGCGGATGAGGAAGCTAGAGGTGGTGTCTTGGAACCCGAGGGTATCGTTGGGATTAAATATAGGAGAGACAAGCAGCTCGAGACTATGGCTAGACTCGATCCAACCTATGCAGAACTCAGGCAACAACTTCAGAACAAATCGTTGTCAGCAAGCGAGCAGTCGGATATCAAGGTTAAGATGACAGAGAGAGAGAACCTCCTCATGCCAGTCTACGGACAAATCTCCCTGCACTTCGCAGATCTCCACGATCGCGCCGGAAGAATGAAGGCGAAGGGAGTGATCAGGAAGGAACTGCAATGGTATAATGCTCGAAGATTCTTGTACTGGCGATTGAGAAGACGATTGAATGAGGAGTATATCCTGAAGAAGCTGGTTCCTGTATCGAAGAATATGACGAGAGCGACGGCACTAGAGTTACTGAAGAACTGGTACGGAGGTGAAAGTTTTGAAGGTAACGATAGGGCTGTTGCTACGTGGTATGAAGAGCACACTAAGGATGTTGCTGCTAAGATGGAGGAATTGAAGCTTGATGGGGTTGCGAAGGAGGTTGCGGGGATGTTGGGAGGGAATGGAGCTACTAAGGCCGGGGCGTTGAAGGGGATTGCGGCATCGATTGAGAAGTTGTCGGCTGAGGAGAAGGCGGCGCTTTTGGGCATGCTTTCATAGGTACTTTATTGGGAGGATACTAGCTTGATTTGTCTTTTATATGTTACTTCATGGGATTTTTTTCGGGCGTTTGCTTTCGTGGTTCCTTTGCATCGTGCTCTTTCTTTTCTTTTTGGTTAGTGGAAAATTATAGATGATGGGCTTCGATGGCCTCGATGCTGCTTGTTCACAAATGCGTGGCTACTACGTATACTTTCATACAGACCTATAGCATAAATGATAGAATTACTCTCTACTATACAATTTCCATCTAAATAACCTAAGAACATTAAGTTGTACTTCAACCAAAAAAAAACATTACAGGAGAAATGAAAAATAAACGAGCTACAGTTGATATTATATCTAATATAACTAACGATGGTGTTGATTAATATCTCCGGGAATTCAAGTCCGAGCCAGGATTTCAATATTCGCTGAGCTCCTCATCCTAAATGAATTTCCTAGAACTTTTAGGATTGAAACCCAAATAACCATAAATCCTGAATTCCTAGCATTATAACGAGCCCGTACTATTCCGCATCCCTCGTTGACATGTTGGAAATCACATACTAGGATTGGCCGGGCCTTCGCCTAATATAACAGGCGCCTACCCGGATCGTGCCACAGAACGCTACCCGTTTCCTAGGAGCCAAAACGCTGTACATTTTATATTTGTAAAAAGTCAGCCGGCTGATGCTGTTTCATAGCGGCCGAATAGTGTAGTTGGTTATCACGTTCGCTTCACACGCGAGAGGTCGAGGGATCGAGCCCCTCTTCGGTCATAATAATCTTTTTGGCTTTTTGATGCTCTGGATTGCGGAGATCACCTGGTGGATCGGAAGGTTTGCTGGTGGCTCTTCGGGGACTTTTTTTTTTTTGCTGGGGAGTTTGAGGGTTGTATTTTGTGTGTTGTTGGGGTGGTGATGCGTAAAATACAACGTCAACGCAGTTGTGCAATTCTGCTAGTGCAAGGGTGAAGATTACTAGTAGTTATTCCTACGTATGCGAATTACTCAAGTTCAGACGCTATATATTTAAGTAATCATGGGTAAAGCGATGCCATTATAGCTACGTATACACAACATTATCTCATTGGCTGGGCCTGCTGGGTCCAAGCCATTGGCGGTGGTGGAATGGGTACACTCTGATACTCGTTCTTATCCGCAATCCCACCGACTTCCTGTTCTATGCCACCAATTGCGCCGTCCCCGTCCATTCCACCATATCCTGCTGGTGGTGGAACAGGCTTGCCACCCGATCTTCTGCTTCTCCAGAAGATAAAGAACCCGAGGGCAGCAAGCAGGGCAGTACCGCCTATTGCGCCGACGATTGCACCTGCGAGAGCACCGCCTGAGAGACCGCTGCTACCACTATTATTTTTTTGAGGGTTGTCGGAGTTACTTTCTAGAGGGCCGGCTCCTGTGGATGTTGGGCCACCAGAGGATCCTGTCGGTGCGGGCGACTGTTTCGTATATTTGTTAATATCTTACATAAAATGGTATGGGTGTTTTGGAGTAAACTTACAGGTCTAGTCGTAGGCCTATCACTGCCACCGGTAGTCTGAGCCTCAGCTCTGACATCCCCTGCGGAACTACATAGCCCCCTATACGGCGAATACAACGAAACCCTATGCTGGAAATTCCTCGACGCATACTGCAAACAAGTTCCCACCGCATTATCCGCCTCCGCCGCAATCCAATCCGTTCCGGAATAACAAAGGCAACTAGCTTGCTCCGATGCTGGTAAATCCCCAAACCCGGCGGTATTAGACGAACAACTTGAAAATACTGTTTCAAAATTTCCGCAGTTCACCGTAAGGTCCTCAGCCGAAGCTCTAACATCACCAAGACTTGTGCATAATGACGTGTACTCTCTGATGACATTTGCAAAGGAGTTGCCTGCGATGCTGGCCTTTTCGTAGCAAATGGAAGCCCGTCTGTCATTGGTAGAGCTGGAAAACACGTCGCCAGAATAGCATGCGCAGGCGGCGCGGGCACTGAGAGTGCCGTATAACGCTAAATTCGAGGATTCGCTTGCACAAGCGCGGTCTCGCGAGTTTATTGATTCACAAGATCTGATAGTTGAGGTTAACAATGCAGCCACATCGCCGGCGGATGCACAGAAACTGGTGAAACTAGCGAATGGAGCGGCGACATCGGATCCGCTGATTGAGAAAAGATATTGGGAGCATGTTCGTGCAAGTCCGTCCACGTACGATCCTGCGAACGTTCCAGATGTATAGCAAGCGCAAAGCGGGTAAACGGTGTCGAATTCGCCTTCGCAGTTTAAAAATGTACGATAACGATTGCAGATAGATATTGCTTCACTATTTTGGCGCGTTGAAGAGGGGTGGGTATTTTGGGGGCAGGGGTTATTGTTGCGCTGTTCGGTGCTAGGAGGTTTGCGACTGCGCGCTGTGTGCCGTGGCGAACGCCACCAGATGAAGCGACAAGATGCAAGCGAGAATGCGGCGGATCAGTGCCATCTTATCAATCATTAATTCGCATTTTAAGATTTAGTATTTTGGGGTACTACAAAGGGAGGTTGAGGAAGATTACTTCTTCTATGTAGTAAGGCGCACTCGCTTTTAGGGAATACCATTCTTTTTATCTATTCCCGCTAATGCGATTACCATATAACGTTAAGTTCACCCTGAAGCAATATAATTTCGAATGTTTTCTCAAGTTGGAACGACAGGGGAAGATCGCTGTTGGGTTTAAAGCCAAGCATGCCCAGGCGCGAGTAGCTGGTGGGCTGGTTGTCTGATGAAGCTGCTGGTTGCAGGGAATTGGCCCGAATGACAAATGTTCAAGCTCTTTAGGTCGCTAGATAGACATACCGATAAATTATTGCATAGTATTGCATATAGATATATGAATAGGTAATGAATCATTTCTACTCTGTAGATGGTAAAAAAATTTCAAGACTCGACAAGGGTATCATGGTTTTTTTTGAAAGCTTTTGATTAAAGATGCTTGGTCGCGAGTGTAGCTAGTTTTACTTCTTTTTGCTTGAATTTTGGACCGCTTTTTTCTTGAGGTGTTTGGGCATTTTTTCTTTTCGCTTTTCCCGTTTTTCTTCCTTAATTTTTTGCTTGTGAGCCTTATAGAAAGTTACAAGGTTAGCTTCTACTGCATTTGCGAATATCATGGGATTACTAACCTTTTTCTCATCCTTGTCTTCATGTTTCCGGCCTCGAGGCGTTTTGTTGAATTGGGATTCGTCGACACTTGAGTCCTCGTCTTCATCCCGATCTTCCTCCTGATCTTCGTCCTCGTCGTCCTCGTCGTCATCGTCTTGCTCATTTGATTTTCCTTGCTTGCCATCAACCAAAAGATGCCTGTATACCAGCTTATCCTTCCCTCCCTTTTCAACGACTTCTGCATCTCTCTCGACATCGTAGACTTGCTCGAGAGTCTGCGGAATATACTGCTGTCTGAAAACCTCATTATCAACCCCGCGCTGTTCATCGCCAACACCACTTTCGAGTTCCTCTTTGAGTAATTCTTCAATCCTTTCGGTCATCTTGTCTTCTTCATTCGACGCATCAACTTCCGTAACAAACTCGTATAGCTTTCGTTCGCTGAGACAGCGGACACCTTGTTTGCCAAAGTAATCAGATATGTTCTTGATATCCATTCTCAAAAATTCCAGAGACCTAGGATGGTCGTGCTCGACAGACTGGGAAACATCTATAATGTAAAGTTTCCCTTCGTGGTACAAAATGTTGTACTCCGACAAATCTGCATGGACCAGGTGGCACACGTGGAACATCTTCCGCATGATGCGGAGAAGCTCAATATATAACTTTTGGTAGGCACCGGAGTTATCTGATTCGCCTTCTAATGGTGGAATATTTGCGTCCTTTAACCTGGGCGATGGCCAACCTTCGCTATTTCCTAAGAATTCCATGAATAAAACGTGAAGCTTTAAGTTCAATGGTTCCGGAGATGGTATTCCAGCGGTATATATCCTCTTTAAATTTCGCATTTCCTTTTCTGCCCATAATTTTACTAGTTGTCGATTGTTGGATTTTTGGTAGCCATGGCGGAAACGGTATTCGCCGCTGACATATCTATCACGATCTTTGAAGACAAGAATTGAGGTCTTGTAGATCTTTATTGCAATTTGACGCCCTGGGTTTTCCAGTTCACCAGAGACAGCGTGATAGACGTTTGCTTCCTTGCCAGTTGACAAACATCCGTTCACAGATTCTAGGATGCCTTTATTTATGGCCTTTAGCAAGATCATGCGGGTCCTTGGATCCAACACTAACTCGGTTGTGGCTCGATCCGCTTTGTCAGTGTTTCTAGAGAGAGGATTTAGCACATATCATACTGGGCGGGTTGCTAAATACGAGTCTATACCTTGGACCTTTCCCTATCATACCAGCTGCAGCATCGTCGAGCTTTATACGATGTGCAAATTTTGATAAACTTGCAATCTGATCATCAATTCTGGCCTCCATATTTCCTTTCGGCTTTTGCTTTCCCGTCTGGCCCTGTGGATTTATTCTGGGAACTTGTGACTTGTGCATGTTTGGATTCCTTTCGGCCTGTAGTAACTTCTTTTGACGGGCGTACTGCTTTGTGAGGTCGCCAGATGTCGATGTGAGATCGGTTAGCGTCCAGGTGTCATCAAGGAGGTCCTCCTCATCTTCATCCTCCTCTTCGATTTCTGCTTCGTATTGTTCCTCCGTATTTTGAATCGGTTCCCCCTCTGCGGCTTCAACTCCAACGCCTCCAGTGTCATTTCTGAGCTCTTGAGGCTCTGTTGCCGTTGCTTTAGTTTGGTCCTCCATATTGATAAAAGGTATTCCCGAAGGCCTTAATAAAATGATTCAACAAGTAGAGCTCCCTTTTGAAACTTTAGAGTAAAGTTCCTAAGCTGTTGATATAAAACAGTCTGTTTGATGTCATGACATGACAAAATGAGCAATGACACAGAGACTTTGGGTTGTGTTGGATGTCATTTTTTCGATACCGGCAGTTCTTGCCTTGCTTTTAGGCTTCGGTTAAGGCTTCCATCTAGCAGTCGGCCGCCATCGACAGACAACCCAACGCGACGCGTTCCACCAATACAACTCGGCGCAAGCAACCGTTTTTTGGTTTTTACGATTAGGATCTCCCTTCATCAACTCCTCCCTCGTTATCACTTACCCCCACCTTGGATTTAGCCGCTGGTGAACGGCGCTCTCTTCGTCGATAGCAACCATGCATATCAAACAGATCATTATCCAGGGCTTTAAAAGGTTCTTCCCCTCAAAAACCCCTCTATGACTCCGAGAAGCTAACCTTGAAGAACAGCTACAAGGACCAGACTATTATCGAACCCTTCAGCCCTGGGCACAATGTCATCGTCGGTCGCAATGGCTCTGGAAAGAGCAATTTCTTCGCTGGTACGAGCGAGAACCCTTTACTCATCCGGTAAAATATCGCTACTAACCAGATACTGGCTCCACAGCGATTCGATTCGTACTATCCGATGCCTATACACAGATGGGAAGGGAGGAACGACAAGCGTTGCTACATGAAGGTTCTGGACAAGCTGTAATGAGCGCTTACGTTGAGGTCATTTTCGATAACTCGGACGAGCGATTCTTGACCGGAAAGGATGAGGTTATTATCCGACGAACGATTGGATTGAAGAAGGATGAATACAGCTTGGATCGAAAGTCAGCAACAAAGACCGATGTTATGAATCTTCTGGAAAGCGCTGGGTTTAGCAGGAGCAATCCTTATTATATCGTCCCACAGGGTCGTGTTACCTCGCTCACGAATATGAAGGATCCGGAACGATTGACACTCTTGAAGGAAATTGCTGGTACTCAGGTCTACGAACAGAGAAGAGGAGAATCTCTGAAAATTATGGAGGATACCAACCAGAAGAGGCAGAAGATCGATGAATTGTTGGATTCAGTTGAGGAGCGACTTGGGGAGCTCGAGCAGGAAAAGGAGGAATTAAGAGGCTATCAGGAAAACGACAGGGAGAAGCGCTGTTTGGAGTACACAATTCTTCATCGAGAACAGATGGAAATCAACGGTGCTATTGACTCAATCGAGGAGGGGCGTGCCAGGGGAGCTGAGAACAGCGAAGATGCACTCGAGAAGTTCCGGGAGCGCGAGAAGGAAATAGAACAGCTCACTAAGCAGCTTTCCAAGACTGGGCAGGAGATATCTCTTCGAAAGCTTGAGAAGCAACAACTCGACCGGGAACGTCGTGAGCACCTCAAAACCAGCACACAGCTGGACCTTGCTGTTCGTGAATACGCCGACAATCAGTCGAGCAGAGACCAAGCGAAGAAGAAGCATAAGGTTGAAGTTAATAGACTTCAATCGGAAATTACCTCTCACCGGAGTGAGCTTGAAAAGTTGATCCCGGAATTCTATGCCAGAAGGACAGAAGAAACCAAGATTAGAAATGAGTATGTCATCTCCAATGTTTAAACGAGATTCTAGGCTAACAAAACTCTAGATTGGACAAAGTTCGCGCGGTACAGAATGCCCTGCATGCCAAACAAGGACGTAGTGCCAACTTCAACAGCAAAAAGGAACGTGACACTTTTCTCAGAAACGATATTGCCAAGATCGATGCAAACATGGCAAGACGACAAGCTGCACGCGAGACTCTCGAACAAACAATCTCATCGACCGAGACACACATTGAATCTCTAGAAAAGGATATTGAGCAAACTAGACAACTGCGCGACAACCGCACAGCGGCCTTGATGGACCTCAATGATAAAGTCAGAGAGGCAGAAAGCCATTGGGAAAAGCTAGTTGATAAGAAGAAAGTTCTTCAGAGAGAAGATGCTAGGTTGGACAGCGATGTCAAAGCGATAGGGGACGAGCTCAGGAAAGCCGAGGTGCAATTGTCGTGGATGATGGACAGAGATACAAGTCGAGGTCTACAGTCCATGCGTGCTGCCAAGGCTGAGCTCGGGTTGGACGGTGTTTATGGGACGCTTGCTGAATTATGTCGAGTCGAGGACGTATACAAGACAGCTGTCGAAGTTACTGCCGGCGGCAGCTTGTTCCATGTCGTTGTCGACACTGACAGAACAGCAACCAAGCTCATTAACTACGTTCGTGATCGAGGACAGGGCCGTGTTACCTGTATGCCACTCGACCGGATGCGAAACCGCCCCGTCCGTTATCCTGATGCCACCGATGCTATTCCTATGTTGGAAAAGATGGAGTATGACGAGATGTACCACAGTGCCTTTGAACATGTTTTCGGCAAGACCATCATCTGTCCGGATCTTCATATTGCTTCGCAGTATGCTCGCTCCCACGGACTCAGCGCAATTGATTTGGAGGGCAGGTCTAGCGATAAAAGAGGCGCTCTTAGTGGTGGATTCATTGATCGGAAACGAAGCCGCTTGGCTACCGTCGAGCAGGTCTCCGAGCTCCAGGCGAAATATGACGAGGAATTGGAAAAGAGCAACGAGCTAAAGGAAGACCTTCGGTCGTTAGAGCAAGAGATAAACATCGTTCAGGGAGGAGTGAATAAAGCTAGGTTCGATCTTAATAAGTCAGCCAAGCAGTTCCACATGATCCCTGAGCAGATCTCATCGAAATCATCAGAGCTTGGTGCTCTCCGAACAGAGTTGCGCAGGATGGAGAACGATAAAGACAACTCAGAAGTGGAATTGGCACGTCTGAACGAGCAACTTGCATCACATAAGGCAGAATTGGCTTCGGAGTTTAAGAAAGCTCTGAGCTCTGACGAAGAACGGGCCTTAGCTCAGGCACTTGATAGCATACAGAAGTTGAATTCAGCGTTAGCTGAAGCTTCGACGAAACGAGTTGAGGTTGAAGGTAGGAAGACTGATCTCGAGTCTACGCTGCACGACAATCTAGAGGTTCGTTTGGATCAACTCAAGGCCGTTAGCGAGGAGGGAGAAGGAGACTCGGCTGGAGGTGTAGGCCAAGGCAGGAGGATCGCAGACCTCCAGGCTGATTTGAAGCGCGCGCAGAAGGCGATTGCTTCAGTCGAGCAGAAGATCCAAGAGACCGAGGAAACCATTGAAGAATATACCCGAGAGATTGCAAAACTCGAGAAGGCTAGAGCGGCGAAGCAAGCTGAGCAGGAACTAGAAGCTACCAGCATTGAGAAAATGCAGAAGCGTATGGAAAAGAGTATGGCTAAGCGTGCTATGTTGGGTGAGAATGCCGCCGAGGTCCAGCGCAAGATTCGCGATCTTGGTGTGCTTCCAGATGAAGCCTTCGAGAAATACACCAAATTCAAATCGGAAACTCTCGTCAGCAAGTTGAAGAAGGTCCATGAGAACTTGAAGAAGTTCTCACATGTCAACAAGAAGGCTTTTGAGCAGTACAACAACTTTACGAAGCAACGCGATACATTACAGAAGCGTCGTGAGGAGTTGGATGAATCTCAACAGTCCATTGAGGAATTAATTCAGGTTCTTGACCAAAGGAAGGATGAAGCTATCGAGCGTACCTTCAGACAAGTCTCGAAGAGCTTTGCTGAGATCTTCGAAAAGCTTGTTCCTTTGGGTCGTGGACGTTTGATTATCCAGCGCAAGGCAGATAATAGGAACAGACGAGAGGAAGAAGACTCGGATGAAGAGGAAGGAGGACGCAGTTCTGTCGATAACTACCTTGGTGTTGGGATCTCAGTTTCCTTTAACTCCAAGCATGACGATCAACAGAAGATTCAGCAGCTTTCTGGTGGACAGAAAAGTTTGTGCGCCTTGGCTTTGGTATTTGCTATCCAGCAGTGTGATCCCGCGCCGTTTTACCTTTTCGATGAAATCGATGCCAATCTCGACGCTCAATATCGTACTGCCGTTGCACAAATGGTAAAGAATTTGAGTGCTGGCTCTGAAGGTGGACAGTTCATTTGGTAAGTATTAATCCAAACTCAAATAACCAAGCAAGACGACTAATCATATCTCTTTTCTAGCACCACTTTCCGAAGAGAAATGGTTTTGACAGCAGATCAACACTACGGTGTCACATTCTTGAACAAGATGTCTAGTATCGATCTTGTTGGTAGGGAGGAGGCGTTAGCTTTCGTCGACGGACAAAAGCAGTAAATATCCTATTTTTTGTCCCTCCTTTTGAATGTCATGTGGTATCCTTTATCTTGACCATTAAATTTCTTTCTCTTTTTTCCCTTTGTTCATTTTATGTAGGCGAACAGCTGACTTACACCTTTCATGCCTTCGCTATTACTTTTTGGCATTTTTCCTTTCTGACTTTTTCCTATGATTCTTTGATTCATGAATGATATCACGGGAAAGTCACACGGAGTTCCGGACTGTGAAGACTTTCTTAATGTTTGTTTTCCCTTTTTGCAATAAAGACATTATTCTAATGAAACAATAGCATCGTCTGCCACAGTGAACTCCGTAACCTTGAATCTAAAAACATGTTAGCATCGGCATCTGCAAATTAGATACACCTTCGCAACCCATTACACATCTACGTTTATACAGGTGCTGTTGTATTTTGGTTGTTGAGAAACTGAAGTCATGCTCACAGTCTCGACACTGAACCATGCCGTTAGTACTAGTGCGTATTTATATTATTGCGCATGATGTATACTGTATATTGTGGTCTTGAAGCTCAGAGTTCAGCATACATAATAGATAAGTAGGTGTATATGGGGAGCTGAGTATTGAAAATGGCTGGTATATGATAATATATCAGCTCGAGGGGCACCAACACTAGGACATTATTAACAGCCATTGGCCAGGATCCTGGCATTGTTGTTATTTTGAGGGAGATCCTGGCAATAGCGCAATACAATTGGCTGGGGCCCCTGAAAAGCGTTTAATCTTGAAAGGGTGTGCCGTGAGACGGGCAAACTTTTGTTTAACAGGAAATCTTTAAGTTCAGAGATGCTTACCATGGCCACCGATGTAGCAGGATTTTAATTAATATCCAGCCATCCAGTATATGTGCGACTACTAGCTACTACTGATAATACTATTACTACTACTACCACTACTACCAATAGTACCAATACCAATACTATTTATCTTATTTCTCAACTGTTAGAAAGAACAAAAAAGTGTAGATACTTCGGACACCAACCTTCTACTATCGTAATTATAACTACTAGTAGTATAACTCCTCGCAGAGCAAAATCAAGCGTTGCCGAATTGGATTGTTTTTGGCAACAACAACAACACCACCCGCACCCAGTCACCATCCAAACACAGCAACTGAACATCAACAACATCGACTCCATACTCCATCTCCATCCAATCGTCACCCATCGACCACTTCACTCACCATCAAACCACCATCACCACCTCTCCCGGTCGAACTTCACACTCACTCCTTGAATTCAACCTCGACATTGCCTTCGACTCCCTCTCACCGATACCGTCTACCACTCTCCGAAGCCATACCGTTGTTACTGTCATCGGTCCCCTCTCCCTGTTGACTATAATCCAGGCCAAACCATGTTCCAACCACCTTCCTCTGTGTAAAGACGCGAAGAAGACGACATTCCGTATTCATCATAAACAACAAGGACCTTCGACACGCTCAAAATATCCCCACCATCTCTTCCTTTACCCGTCAAGTACTCGTCTTCCGGAATCAACAACAAACCCTCACTCCCGCCACCCTCAACATTACTCGTCTCCCTCTGCAGTATTTGTGGATTTTACGGTTTTTCTAGCGGGTAGAGTCTCTGTATAACAGAGACTACGGCCGCTGGTTAATATCCAACCTACAAACTGCTTTCCTCAATTACCTCCTTCCTCTCAACGTCCCTTTTTTCTCCGCACTCTGGTGGTCCTAGTTCTCCATCCAAGGCTGCATCACAGAGATTTAGCATGGAGACGTACGATTCGAAACGACGCCCCCCGCGGCCCCCCCTCTTCACCAGTAATTCAACAGGATCGACCAGCCTCCATAGCTCTGGATCATGCGACCCGTCGTTATTACCCGCTGTTTCGTCACAGCTCCGAAAAGTTGTCTGGTATTCACTCGACAACAATCTCATCCCTAACGCTATATTCACGGCCGAACGGCTGATAGCATTCGATTCGAAGGACCCTGAGAACATCTACCTCCTCGCTCTATCACTTTACCGTGGTAACCACGTTAAGCACGCTGAGAGTATCACGAAGTCTGTTAAAGGGCATTTGGGGTGTGCCTATATCTATGCCCAGTGCTGTCTAGTATTAAAAAAGTATAGAGAGGGTATTGCCGCACTGGAAAAGTGCAAATCCCTATGGGTTAGCGAGAGCCATTGGAGTATGTGTATTCGACTGATACTCGCTTATATAGGCGTTGGGAGCTAACCGATGGTTTTTTTTTTTTCACTAGATCAACATTCAGATAAGGAACGACGTTCGACACCGGATGCAGCAGCTGTCCTTAACGTCTTGGGTGACTTGTTTATGGGCATGCGAGATGATAAGCTAGCCCTTCAAGCGTATCATGCCTCGTTTGCGGCAAATCCATACCTTTGGGATTCGTTTAGCTCGACTGCGGAAACCGGTGCTGCACTTAAGGCTGGAGCCGTGTTTAAACCGACAGAAGAAATGCTTGCTGTGGCTAGGATGGCCAGCCAGTCACTGAATTCATCTATGACGGAAGAAACGGTCACCTATCAGAGCCAATTCAGCAACAGTCAAGATCACGATCCATTCTCATCTTCTTCATCACAATCACGAGATCCCGGGACCGTTTTTGGTGTGCCGCCAGCCCCGCAAAATAGGTTGAACGAGGGTGGGGCAAATGTGGGGATGGAAACCCCAACGAGTGATAATGTCATTCCGGCTTCCATCGACTACCCGAAAGCGCCATCCCGTAAAGCCAGACCTCAAAGCTTGATAGATGCTCCGCGAAAGACTTTGATGACCAGATCGCGAGATCAGGATCATCAGCTAGAGAAAAAAAGGTCCATTGCTAGTACCGATGAGGCTAAGAACTCCCAGACCGCTGTGACCGCTCCAGCTACCCGCAGAAGCAATCGAATTCTCAACTCAAGCCGAATTGCCAGTAAATTTGCGGCGGCCGGGCAACGAGAAGCGAAGAAACCTAAGACGGCTACCAAGTCTTCAAGTCGAGGCCAATTAGCTGCGGACAAAACCTCCAGCGCTCTGGTCCATAGCCAGGGTGATGTCCACATGGCGGAGGCTCGGCCAATATCGGCTCCTATTCCAAGACCGCAAGAACCTAAGGAGGTCATGGCACATGTTGTTATATTGGATCTGTATAGAAAACTCGGGACTGCGTTGGTTAACCTCTGTCGTTTTGACTGCAAGGCGGCTGTTATGAACTACCAGTCCTTAAACTCGATCCACAGAGAAACTCCATATGTCCTCGCGAAGCTTGGGCGAGCCTTATATGAACTTTCTAGGTATACCGAAGTAAGTTCTCGTCTAAATTCTGAGTAAATAGCATATGGAGCTAACATTTCTAGGCCGGTGAATGCTTCGCAAAAGTCCGCCTGATGGATCCTCTGCGGATGCAAGAGATGGAAACATATTCAACCTTGCTTTGGCATCTCAAGAAGGATGTTGAATTATCATTCCTAGCTCACGAACTCTTTGATTTGGACCGAGTTTCTCCCCAGGCATGGTGTGCCCTAGGGAACTGTTATTCGCTCCAGCGAGATCACGACCAGGCTCTTCGATGCTTCAAGCGTGCTACTCAGATCGACGACGGACTTGCCTATGCTTATACATTACAGGGTCACGAACATCTTGCCAATGATGATCTTGAGAAAGCCATGTCATGTTTCAGAAGCGCTCTGTCTGCTGATAGCCGACATTACAACGCTTGGTACGGAATCGGGAAAGTCTACGAGAAGTCAGGGAAGAACGATATGGCTCTTAGGCATTACAAGACTGCTTATTCCATTAACCCAACAAACGTTGTCCTGATTTGCTGTGTTGGTGCGGCGTTCGAAAAGGAAGGAAACTACAAACAAGCACTAGTCCATTATTCGAAGGCCTGTGATCTTGCACCGGGTAGCGCCCTGTCAAAGTTCAGAAAGGCTCGCGTCTTAATAGGATTAGGGAAATTACATGTGAGTTTAAACCTAAGATCTTTTTGTCACGTTGCCCAAGCGACTTACACAGATTTTGAAATAGGCGGCACGGGATGAGCTTGTCTCTATCAAGGATATTGCCCCAGAGGAAGCAAACGTACATTTCATGCTTGCGAGAGTCTATAAGCTACTCCACGAGAAGCAACTTGCTGTTAAGCATTTTACATCCGCTCTACACTTAGACCCCAGAGTAAGAACCGACGAATCCCGAACCCCGTTCCACCCCGTTCCACCCCGTGCTGACATGTTCACCTGTAGGCGAGTTCGTTGATCAAGGAAGCGATGGAGTCACTAGACGACCCCAACGAGGACTCGTACATAGAAGACGCGGAGCCCTACTTGGAGCAGTAATGCGTGCCACCCCAACCATTCCCCCAAGTATATGATCCCAGTGTCGTAGCTTATTTGTTCCCAAACACCACTCCCATTCCCACCTCTCCCACCCGACACTACAACCTCAGGTATCTATATCCGAATTGAGGAATTCTACCATAAGTTCCCTCTTTTTTCCTTCTTCTTTCGCCCCTTCCTAGACTCTTCGAAGAGTTTCCTCTCATGTTCTATATTGCCTATGGGCGTCACTAACGACGGTTGTCTGGCGTCTGCTTTCTGGACTTCGCCTGCACAGCAGGACGTTTTACAGAAAGACAAATAAAACAAATGCATATATCTTGCATCACCTAAAAAGACGGCGTTCTCTGTTGCTTTTTGTTTTATATTTTGCTCTCTCTCTCATGGCTAGCGTTATCGGTCCTGCTGTTCTTCTGTTAATATTGCTGCTACTGTTCCGGGGGGGTGTTTTCCAATTAGTGGCGTTCTGCTCCCTGATTCCGACACTAATGTCCTTTTGCTTTTCGAGGGGTATTAACTCTGAAATGTTATCTTAATGCAAGGTGTGTTGAGGGTTTATGGGATATCTCGATAATGACTTTCCTCGAGAACTTTTCTTCCAACCCTGACTCGCTCTCTTCAATGTCTTTTTTTCTTTCTTTTTTTGATCCCCTTCAAAGCTTGCTTTTAGCCTTCTTTTGATCCCTTGATTTCTCTCCCTTTCTCACTCACTAACTAACCCGCCTCCCCCCATCACCTTGACTTCTTGTTCCGTTTTGTTAGTAGGTTTCTATAAGTGGTCATGCATGTATTATAGCTAGGGATAGATAGCTTTTGAGACGAAAAAAAAAAAGGAGAATAAATGAAAGGCCCCCGAGAAATATGTGTATATGGGGATGCTATGATCTTTTTAAAAATTCTTATACATGTCTGTGATGTATTGGTTCCACTGACCGTAAATTAGATTTTTGGCTAGCTGATTAAAAGGAAGCGACGTGGGTTTGTGATATGAAGCTTGTCAATAATATGTGCTTTATATACTATTATGTGTTTTATGTACAGAGGAATATACATTAAATGGTTATATATTTGTGTGATAATACGTACTAGATCCTATACGGAAGGATTGTATTCGTGAATATGATGAGTGAGAAGATGATCTCAAGACCTTTGGGAAGACATTCCCTTTTAGCTAGTGTGGCGAAATGAAATCTTTCTTAGAGTTCTAGAGGGTGGGAGGGTTATTATTGTTAATCAATTGATATTCCATCCAGAGGAAAGAAGAGGTTAGAAGGAGAAGTCGAGCTCCTGTCCGAATTTCTTGAATTGTTCTGCTGTTGATGTGGAAGCAGCCTGTTAGATCCTTGCCCCCCCTCAATAATTGATAATACTGAAGGAATAAGATGGAGGCTTACTGTATTGTCCGGTTACGGCACAGTCGGAATCCAGACCTATTTCGTACGCCTTTGGCAGGAGGGCCGTTAATTCAGTCTGTCTCCGACGTGATGAAGGGTGTGTGCTTAGCATCTCTGGCGGCCGTGGTGTCTTCTGTTCTTCTATCTCCATTCGTTTCCAGCTGTTTATACTCTTTCGTCAGCTCAGACATTTAACATCTAATATTGAAAACAAAGGGAGAGGGAAAGGGAGAAACCTACACAGCAACAGCAGCTTTAGGATCATAACAACTCTTCGCCATAAGTAACAATCCAATATGATCCGCTTCACTCTCCTGAGCCCTAGACTTAGGCATATCGATCGCAAATTGCAATAAATGAAGGCTCATATCCCCCGGTACCCCCCAAAACAACTCTACAACCCAAGCGGCAGCTATCAGGAAAATTCCCCTACTAATCTGTTCCCCCAGATGTCGAGCAACATTATGACCTATCTCATGCCCCAACACCGCAGCCAATCCATCGTCACCACCGCACACGGGTAATATACCCGTGAAAACAAATACCTTCCCACCGGGTATTACAAATGCATTCGCTTCGTCCGATTCTATCACCGTAGCCTCCCAATTATAATCTGACGGTAATCCGGAATTTGGTGCTAGTTTTTCTAGTACCCGACGGACTTGTTTAAATCGTGGATCACTCTCAGGGAGGATTTGGCCTTGGTATTTTGAAAGGATTTCTTGGTTTTTGTCTTCGGAGAGGGATTGGAGGAAGTCTTCGGAGATTATGTTGAAGCGACGACGACCGGATATGGGTACTTCTTCGAGGTTGTAGACGTAGAAACCACCTGTTAGGGCTCCGAGACCTGCGGCTTCGAGGATGAAGGTTGGGCGGGCGGCCCAGCGGAGGAGGGCGATGTAGGCGCCCCAGCGGAGACGTTGGGTTTGTTGGTATTTGGTGGGGGAGGGGTTGGGAGGGGTGGTGTGGAATTGGCGGGAGATGTTGGAGGGGTAGAAGAGACGTCTAGTGGTGATTGGCGTGGTGGTGGGGGATTGGGAGAGTCGTGGGAGTAGAGGAGTCCGCGGGGTAGGAAATCGAGTGCGGATGAGGCGGGATGCTATTCTGAGGGATGGAAGCATTTTGACATTGCATTAAAGGCTGAAGTTGGAAGAAATCGTTATCGACATGCTACATCGTGAATGCGTATGCGAAGAGACAAGAGTTTATAAGTTCGTGAGCAATTCGAAGCTGGGTGAATCATGTGCAATTGCGGTTATGGCTGGCTGACGAGACATATGCAATACAATGCATTTGCATTCGGCGACGGCGAAGCGACCAAAGCTAAACGGGTATCTTCAGCGACGGCTAGCCGAAGGTAGCCACCTGAGCTGAGTGAGTGTCTTAAAGTTGTAAATGTTGAAAACCGGAGCTTGGTTACGTAATTTCAAGACGATCGCGAAGTTTTTTTGGTAATTATAATCTACAAATACCTAATATATATAAGATATGAGATTGATACGATATCGATAGTGATAAGATAGAAACCGCTATGCGTTGAAACTAACGTCACCAGATTCGCGATGGCCGCTTCATCACTAAAAACCGAACCTCATCCACAGAACTCAATTCTTGACCAAATTGCTTGATTTTAGCATCAATCGAACGCTCGCATCATTTTATGAAAATAGTGAGCCATCAGCGAGAACGGATGGGATTTTAATAATGAAAAAAGTCACGGGATCTGGATGCGTACCGTATACTGGTCTCGTAACCTTAAACGTCAACGTAACCAACAACACGACACAAAACGATGTTATTAGAACTTCATAATTGTCTTGAACTCACCCATAATAAGTCTGACACAAGTCTACCAATCACTGCTTGATACTATACGAATCTTTAGCTACCGTTCTGCCTTTGATCTCATAAATTTATCAATTTTCTATATCCCTTGTCAATGTCCCCATCCAAACCCTGGTCACATCCACATACCCTGGACATCAGCCTATCCAAAAAAAGACGACCACAAAAACAGAATAGAAAAAAAAATAAAGCGAGTCCCTCGAACCAGATTCGAACTGGTGACCTGCAGGTTACGATTTTAAACTCAGAAGTTTGGAGCTTCTGAAGACTATTACAGCCTGTTGTGATACCAACTACACCATCGAGGGGGGTGTGCATGAAGACCTGCATCGTCGTTATTCGCTAGAATAACCTCCAAGGTCCTACTTCTCACTTGCTTACTATATCGTAGGGGTTCCCAGATAGAATTGGGTCCCGAGATTCTTTCCTTGTATATATAGGCATGGAATTAACCCCTTCAAATCCTTTGTTTCTTTAAACTTCATATTAATTTTATCTTTGCCATTCGACAATGGCCGTTTTTTCTTTTTTTATTGCTACTTCTATTTTATTTTATTCTATTTTATTTTGATAGCGTCACTTTGTCGACGCCGCTGTGACATTTTAACCAACACCCCAACGACCCCTGGTACGACTTCTCACTCAACAACACGATAATCCGGACACCGTATATTACTATACTAAACCCCAATCCCGGCCAGTCTCAGTATATATATACCTACTACTATTTAAGAATGTTATTTTCTTACTCGGGTTACCAACAAATCCATCACTGAGAGATATATATTTATCTCTTCCATATGCTTTATAAGTCATGAAGCGTATATGTCGTGGACTCCGTGTGTTGTCTGGTTTACGAGACCATATATGTCCAGATAAAGTAGATCTATTAATGTCCACAAAATGTGTTGATGCTGTTGTGATTATCCCGCTCGCTTTACTCGAAATGGATAGTAGCACCAAAAACCAGCCAATCACAGCTTGTCTCTGGTCATAATATCACATCAAAAAGTGTGGTGAACTCTCTGCTTGCAATTAACCTATAGTATCGATAGATCTAGCTTCTGTAGCCCTTGAATGATATAAATAGATACCCCTTAGTAAGTCTTATGACGATTTTTTTACAATCCACAATATCAATATTGACCTTGATATATGCCTACATATATCTACACCCTAATTAACACCCGTCTAACTTCAATCACAGTAATACCAATCGAAAAGGATTTTTTTTAAAAAGAACAATAGCTGCCAGGGTATTGATTACATTCTGTTATCTCTCAGGTCTATCGATTTAATTGATATAGTTACACATCAATTGTTGATGAATGCTCAATAACCTTCTATCAAGGCAATTTCCCCAGTTTTACAACATGATGTCGAGGCTGGAATACCTAATTAGCCATTCGAAATTAACCACTAACCACTAGCGATTAGCAAGTAGTAAGTAGCCATTAGCCATTAGCCACTAGCCATTAGCCATTATCATCCCTTTAGCCCTCGACTTCCAATTGAATTGATCAAAACTAGTACCAAACTCCCTGTAATCGACCGTTGAACCCCATTACCCCAATATGAATACCCGGTACCAAAAACAAAAAGAGAAGACTAAAAGAGAAAAAGGAGGAAACGAAGAAAGAAAAAACTCCAGAGCGTAGCATTAGACCCTAATTTATTCCCAAACTCTTTTTATATACTTCATTCGATCGAAAGTCCTTTTTTTTAAATTTCTTTTTATCAGTGGTCGCTAGAGTCTCTACGGGTTTTCCCCACTTGAGCGAGGATATCCCAGACTAGTTGGTCGTCGCTCAATCCCCGTAAATAGTCGTTTGATGGATTTTGCATCGGTCAATTTAGATCTTGTACTGATAGATCAATCATATCCTGGGTGGAAGAAGAAGTATAAAAATCAGTCTGTTGGCTCGCGGGCATGTTAAAAGTCCGATTAAAGATAAAGTTAAGACTCTGCGCCGTCGAAGGAGTAACCTCCCCTTGAACGAGAGAATCAATAGCTCCCTGGGCTAGAGCGTTGTCACTCCCTCCTACGAGATTGTTATCGGTCCCAGTGGTGAGGCTGTTAAGTCTCCCTTCAACAAGGGTATTATGGTTTCCTTCAACAGGAGGATTGGTGGACTGGGAGGCAGTAGTACTTATTTGTTGGGCTGGATGGTTGTCACCTTGTTGGGCGGTGGGCGGTCTGCCGGAGGGTCCAGCGGCGTTAGGAGGACCTACGGTCGTGGAGGGTCTAGTGGCGTTAGAGGAGCCAGGATTGGGAGTTGTAGCAGTAGCATTAACATCCGGTTGGACAGACGAAGTAGAAGTGGGATTAACGTTAAAGTTAAGTGTCTGTTGAACCACTCTGACCTCCCCTCCGGAGGCGTTACCCTTCTTCTCGGACTTGGTGCCGTGGTCCTTACCATCTTTAAGGTAACGCGCTTTAATAAATTTGCTAAAGTCGACGTCAGGAGTGTCCAACTTCGGAGGCTCATCTTGCGCAGGCCTTTTCTCCTGTTCTCGGGCCTTTCTCGCGGCTGCAGCACTCTGTTCCCTGGAGCGCCTTTCCGATGCAGCGACGCTATACATCATCCAATGCGCATAATTTGCTAACTCTCTTAGCATATCCCTCTTTCCAAATTCCATCTCCTCCTCCGAGTAAAACGCGTCCGCATATTCTTTCGCATCTCGATCGTACTGGCCGGGCAAAGGTAATTTGAATTGAGGTTGTCCTGGAACCCTTCCATCGATGTATACATCACGAAGAACACACCAAAGTGGTACAGAAAGTCCCAGAGCCCTGAGGGCGTCAAAAAGGCGGTTATAGGCTGGGAACTTGTGGCTTTTAGAGCAAAGTCGCTGTATGGTTTCCGGAGTCAGCTGAAAATCATATTTAGTATCCCCAGTCTCTTCGATATAGGCTGCTATTTCAACGGTTTCCTCGAAGTAAAGCTCGTTGAGGAGTATTTGGATGTTTCCCCGAGCCTGGTCCATTGGATTATTACAACCCAAGTCGTAGTGTCGTGATAGAGTGATGATTACAACGTAAAAAGACAACTTTAATCGATTCCAGATACAAATTTTATTTGTCGGTAACGGATATTTTATTGGTAACGACGGCGGGGGTGGTGGCCCTGCCTTCCCGTGCTTGGGGGCCAGAAGAGGGTCAGATAGTCTTGGAAGCCCCTCGTCGTCGCGCCATCGTGGAAGGTATGCATGTGTATACGTAGGCACATTAGCCCTCGTGTTCTTCGACATGATTGCGATTCAGGAGCTCGAGGGGGTTTCGTATCAAGCTTGCGTGCAGACCAAAGGGAGCGATGAGAGCATGAACTAATGAACTCGTCAAGGGGTTAGTGGGGAGGAGTGTGGAGGAGAAGCAGCATGAGGATGCTCAGAGGACAGTTATACTCCTCGAGCTAGTCAGATGGTAGGCCTATTTAATAGTTCCAGGTTCTGTATGACTAACTACGAGAGATTATCGTTCTATTTTAATATGATCATTTCAGATCTGCGAATGATAAATGGAGTGCAATGTATTAAATAGCAGACTATAAATCTAAGTTTAGAACGATATGATGTTGCATCTCTCTCCGTCTCTCTTCCAAAATTGTATTGTTTTGTTCCAATCTGCTGGTCGATCTCCATATATGCATAATTACACTGGGCCACCACCTAAAAAGAGTATCTCGGTATATACTAGTTGAACAAAACAAGTGCTATTTCTTATCCCCCCAAAGGATCCCCAAAATCCTACTCTTAACCTCTTCGTTCTGGTTTGGAGTAGCATCCTCCCAATCAATTCCTCCGACCTCGCCACTGACGTCCCCAATATGTGGTGTTTCCGGATCAAATATAAGCTGCTCCCGTCCCCTTCGACTCGCATCTGTGACGATATCACTAACTTTCTCTACTCCTGTTTTTGCGATGTTCTCAATATGTTCTTTCGCGGCATCAAGCGTTTGTTGGGATTCCGCTGCGATATTTTGGATCGCTTCATTCTTCTGATAAGCCTCGTGAGCAGTCTGGCTAGCATCGGTGACTGCGCCTGACAACGTTTTATTCTTTTGCCGTAGCCGTACGATAAGGATATAGAATGATAGGATTTGTCGATGTAAGGCTTCTTTGATAAGCATTGTGATTCCTAAATATACTACAGTCAGTATCACAGCCCATATAACCATACTACTTGTGAAGGATGTAGAGTTTGGGGCGAATTTATACCGTTTGAAAAGAAGCCCTTGAAGATCTCGCCCCATACGCCTTCATACATCCCCATCACTCCACCAGTCTTATATGCCTCCTTCAAAACTTCTAATACTAGAAATCTCCCACTCGCTTTGTCCTTTTTTCTGACTTGCGATCTCGCCTTAGCCATGGATATGGGATACATAATCGAACTAGCCACTGCCTTTGAAATCGCAGCTAGTAAGAATGTCTGCCCTCCAGTCGGCTTTTCTCTGTACTTTCTCGGTAACAAGGATTTTAATGTTTCGTAGAGGAAGAAGGTAATGGCCGGGTTCAGTGTTAATATTAATGTAGCATCGTAACCCGACCAAAAACCTCGAATGCCCTTTTCTGCGTATATTTGTTTTATAATTGTGTTTGCATCTGTTTTCTCTGGTAATTTTTGACCGGCTTGTCGTCGGAGAGCGGCCGTTTGTTTTCTGGTTACAACATTTGCAATTGGCGCGGTGAAGAACTTTGCGATTGCACCGCATAGGACGCCTATTGAGAGTTCTTCGAAGACTCCAAGTGTTTTGGGAGTCTTCCCGGATGGAAGGGTATTCGCCTGAAGACGTCTTTGTCGCATAAAGTTATCTATACAAAACCGATCGAATATGAGCATGGTATATAGATCACCTACAGGCGCACACCCTCACGATGTATAAATTTTCAAAGGAGAACTTACAAGATAGAAAATATATAAACGCCGACCCCATACTATTTGCCGTATCCTGCAAACATCCTTCATAAAAGGCCTTCACTCCACCTTCTTCATTATATATCCTCTTCGCGGCATCGAGAAAATCTTTATACAATTCATCATCTCCCTTTTCATTTTTATCACCACCGTCCGAGGTTCTTCGGGATTGAATCGCACGTTGGACTTGTAATCTTTTTACTATCAGGTCGATTGGATATACCACAATATTTGATATCGAAGTGCCAACCGCACCGGAGAGACCAGCTATTATGGCGTTGTATTCGTCTGGAGGTTGGATTCGGGGTTTCGAGGGTGTTTTGAGAAGTTCTTCTGCCCTGGTATTCGATAAACACTGTTAATACAACGTGAGAAGCTTCTATCGAGATTTCTAGAATGGAATGCTGGTGGTCGTGCATGGAATGTATGCATACTCGAGGTGGTAGAGTTCAAATGCGTCCTTTGTGTAACGGTGTTAGTATATTTCAACGACGTGCTATACCGACAACTGGTGCATGATGCATGTATTTCTTACAAGATCGCTGTTGTAGTAAGTATACCGATTCATTGTTGATTTTAATTCAATCCCCCCGAATTTGAAAGAAATATGTTATGATCATATCATATGAGGGGAGACGGACATGGTTTATAATTTGTAACTTCAACGAGAGTCGGGAACTAGCCTATAACTACGTCATTTCGGCAAAACCAACGGATTCCACAACCGCTGTACCGCACTTACTCAACTAAGCTAAGCTTAGGAACCGTACCAAGACACACATCTCGCAGAAATTCTAGAAGCTTGGCCTGATTGGCGCCACTCAAACCAAAGATCTTGGAGGAATCTTGAGGCTTGTTATCGGCGGGCTTGTCACGAAAGCTTGAACCAACCGATACGATATCCAATTCAATTGCAATTCAAGGCGATACTTTAAACATGTCGCAGGAAGCACTCGTCAGATCTTGGGGATACTCCCATGTTTTCACCTGGACCGATGGACCGTAAGTGTATTCGCTATATATTATACTGACACCCTTTCTTTCTCCTCCTATATTCTACTTTGAGGTATCGTACGCTATACTTTTGCTAAATGTGGTTTACTTAAATTTTAATTTTGCTTGGATAGTAACGAATACTACCCGCCCCACCGCCACGCCACCGAGACTACGCATTTGATCATGCATGGGTCTTTAACCATTCGATATCCTCAGAGTGAGAACCCCGGGGAAAAGACAACTCATAGTGTCGGCGAGAGAGTCGATGTGGGGAAGAATGTGCTACATGAGGTTTGGATGGGTGATGATGGGTGTACTTGTAAGCCTATGCATAGTGATCATGATCTGAAGTTTTCGAACTCAACAGATCTGTTGAGAACATTAGAATTCGGATGAACTGTTAGCGAAGTAACTAACTTCTAGAATTCTACACAGACATAATCGGGGAATAGATGGACAGTCAGCATACCGCGGAAGAAAGACGAGGTTACATACCTGGCCCAGGTACATACATAACGCATAAATACATACGTGTAGATGCCTAGACCGAACCGCCCGGGATAAAAATCTTGTGATGTCTGCAAGCGGGACCCCTGGCGTAAGATGGACATGGACATGGCCATGGACAGCCACCCGCCACCCGGGGAGGAATCGTATGTATTATGTATTGTGTATTATGAAATATGTAGGTCAGACGGTAAGCCGCTTTGGCGACGGCTGCGGGTCGGAACTCGAACAAAGCGACGCAAATTGGATGTAACCTCCGCCAACCTATAAAACCCGACAGCTCCCCGTTTTAATTCTCATTCCTGTCAGCTTCATCGACCTCTCTCTCCTACATCCTAAGACCCCGTCGATATATTATCCGCGGGTTTTTGAATATTAATATTGTCTAGATATCGACATAAACTTGTCAATGCCTGCATCCTAGACACCTGTTCGTTTCCTGTTCGTTTCGCATCGCTTCCCGTTTGAGGTTTTCCATTCCATTCGAATTAATCCTTGCCGACACATCCACAACCCACATTCACCATGATCCGACGACCCTCGTCATTCCTAACTATCGTTATCGCCGTCTTCGTGATCTTTTATCTCTACTACTTCGCCAACCAATTCAATACACCATCATCACTTCTTCCTTCCTCAGTCACAGATGCCAGTCTCCAGAAAAAGCCGCCGCCACTAGGTGCGCAGCCAGACACAAACCCAAAGGATCGCTACATTACAGTAACAGCCACCGTCTCGTCAGTCACCACCAAAACCGCCTTTTCAGACTCTGGAGTCGACTCCAACGTACAATCCGTCGCCCCTCTGCCAGCTGACTACTTCCCTTCAGACGATGACCTCGACCAGGATGCCACATGGTGCGAAACCCGCTATGGCCCCACGTATCTCCAAACAATTGCCAAAAACGCTCGTCCGTTCTGCAAGCCGGAGTCACAATCTCAATTCGACTGCTTGCATAGCAACATGTATGGCGAATCCCGCAAGGACTCCCTGTGCATCGCCCAAAATGTCGTTTTTGAGGACTTGAGGTTCAATATCGACTGTGAATTACGCAATTCTCGCGAACCGGACCTTATGGGATACCCGCACCCTAATAACTTCCAAAGTTATTGGTACGAAACGGGTCCTCGTATAATCATGACGCAGTTCACAAATATTGGCTCTGAGGCAGCTCCTTTGTTCGAAAAGCACGCTTGTTCGAATCCAGCTACACCTAGAGATGACGGCTATAAGATTCTTATAAAACGTGAAGGTGGAAGAAACTACTGGCATTCATTAATGGAAATCCTATCCTTCTATTTCACAATTGACGCCTTGCAAATGTCTATCAACAAAAAGACCGGAAAGCCCTACATGTCCCCCGCCGATACCTCCAAAATCCAGGTCATTGTCCTCGATAAACACGATAACAAAAACTACTTTGAGCTCTGGAACTATTTTTCTCCGAAGCCAGTACTAACTCTTGACGAATACGTCAAAGACCCTTCCACAAAACCATGTATTTCTAATGTAATCATCCCATTACCCGGCGCTTCAAACCCACTTTGGCAGGGAGACTGGGACCCACGTATCTGCGACAATTCGATAATAGTCTCTACAATCCGCCGCAGAATCCTAAAACACCTCAAAATCTCCACCGCGCGAGACCTCCACTCCCCCATAAACCTAACCTTCATCGACCGCAAGGGTTCTCGTAAACTCACAAACTCCAAGGAATTAACAGACGCTTTAATCGCTGCGTACCCAAAGGTCAACGTCAAAGTCGTGGATATGGCGGACCTTACATTGAAAGAACAAATCTCATTGGTGGTCAATACGGACGTGCTAGTGGGTGTCCACGGCGCGGGACACACCCACGCCTTCTTCCTACCCCCACAGAGCAGTCTGGTGGAGATTTTACCCGCAGATTTAAAACATAAGGGTTTTAGGAATCTCGCTGGGTTGAGGGGGATCCGATATTTCTCGGATCATGCGCCTATGGCACCGAGTGATCGACCCGATACTTCGAGGGATTGGCATGCTGAAGATGTGGTTTTTGATAAAGATGCTTTTATGAAGTTGATGGAGGCTGCTATTCAGAGTGTAGCTCATAGAGGATTTTTGGATTCGGATGTTAGTTGATTCTGGTCATACAAACACGGAATTAAAGAAAAATAAGAAAGAAAGAAAGAAGGGAGGAAGGAAAGAAGAAGAACAAGAGGAGGTAATGACTATTATGATCGTCTTTTTTACTTTATTTTTACTCCATGCCCCCATGCCGCCACATGCCTTTGTTTTTAGCGGTTGAACTCATGCTTTGGTTCTAGTTACGGTCAGGTAAACCGGACGCAGGACGTTCTATTATAGTCCACCACCTACCTAGTAATCTCGTTTGCGAGACAAAAGGACGTTCGTTTTTTCTTTAAAGGGTATGAATTGATTAATACCATATTTTCTATAAAGTGGCTACCAAGGTCATTATTTCTTCTATGGCGCTAGCATTTACACAGAGCGCACTCATATATTCTATACATTCGCTTCCATTGTTTATATTTTAGCGTTCGTCCTTTTTTTTTTCAAAAAAAAAAGCTCTCGCATTGCATCGCTGAAATGGATTTTTTTTTTTCCATTCTATATCTTGGAAGGGGGGGCACAAAATTGTATTTCCATCTGAATTTTATTTATTAATTTTTATTTTGAATGAAAATTTAAAACGTTCAAACGGTAGTTAGCTTCCTCTAGACTTGCCTTTAACCCTTTCCCCTTTGCACTCGAACCACACTTGCATACTAAGTCACACACGTGAACTAGATATATCCATACGTACACCATCCGGTCCGCAGCGCCTAGTCTCGAGGCTACTTCTAGTGGTCATGGGGCTAGCTACACAGACGCTTCATGACTGCATGCACACGGGGTACAGAGTAGTACAATACTGGTCTCGTTGTACCGAACGCATGATCGATCATTATGCAAACGTTTAAACTAGCTAGGTGCTTAAATTTCGTTAAATCCACAGCATGCATGCATGCAGGATGATCTATAAGTCCTCCCGAATACAAGCGTTATCCTTCAGGCCTCTGATATCCTTTAGATTCGAATAAATTCCTTACACACGCCGAAAAACAAAAACTCATCTAAGTAGTACTTATCCATAAAGCACTAATGCGAATTGGAAGTAAAGGCCTCGAGATCTGAATTCGAGGCTAGCGCTAAAGAATGGTACAAAATGCATTTGATGCATGGTCACACAAAAAAACGAATATCCGGCTACAAAGAATTCCATATATATACCCATTTTATGCAGACAGCGGAAACGAGGGAAAGAAGTGAAGAGACAGAATAGAAGAAGAAAAGGGGGAAAAAAATATATGGAAAGAAGACTCCACAAGAACGCCATGCTAGACCTCTCAAAATCATGCCTCCAATAATAACCTCTCCCCATTGTAAAAAAAAAAAGAAGAGACAAACAATCAAAAGCAAAAGCGATAGGAGGTCGTAATTTTTATATTAAAAACGAGAGAATAAAAGAGGAAGAGAAAAACCAAAAGTGAGAAAATCTCGGTCCCAACTTTGGAAGAGAAGAGAACAAGAGGGGAAAGTAAAAGAGACTAAAAATGACAAGAAATCAATATTGATAATCTTGCCCAAAGAAAGGAGTCGCTTCTTGTATGATCCGTTTCTAAGGAGATACATTATCAACTTTAACCTTCTTTGCTGTCCCAATGTTGACTTGTGACACCTATTATACCCCCTTCATTAGCACAAACTTCCCCACACACCTGAGGATATCGTAATAACATACCTTCTTTGCAAACTTCAAACTTGTCAAAGTTTCATTCATATGCGCTAATAACGGGCTAACCATCACAAACATCAAGGTCTAGCAACCCCAAAAGTTAGTATCTAAATCACCTAGAACTTTCAATATGGCAGAAATCAAAAAGCATACCTTGCTATTTCCTCCCAAACTATTCTGTAACAAAAACGTCAATTTCGAATTCCTATAAGGAATATGCTTAACCTCCTTGCCACCGCCAAGCGCACTGATAACATCCCCCAAAGCACTCAAACTCTTATTGATATTTTGCGTCTCCTTTAACCTATCACCCGTAGCCTGCGAATGGCTTAACCTCTCAGATCCAGCCAAATCAACAAGATTCAGGGTTCCCTCGCACTTCTCTCCGGTAATATTATTCTGCCCGAACAATTTGAGAATAAACACCGAGTGACTTCTCGATGATCTTTCGTTAGCCTTTGTGGCTGCAACCATTCGGTTGTTTGAGGCTCTCCGCATGACTTCTTCCATCATATCCGGTCCGCTCAGAGCAATAGTCGTGCATTCCGTTAACATGGTTCGTCCCTTATCATGTCGGATCTCAATCTTTTTCTTATCGATATCCGTATCCTTGCCGAGTAAATCGTTCAGGTTCTCATTATACACCTCTACAAAGCTGCCCTCCATAGTATACGTCCATCCCTTCTCGGTAAGTTGGGCGGAGGTACGGAAGATCTGCTCCACGGCTTGAGGGATCATACCATCCTTCGAAGTCATCGTAAATGTTTTACCCGAACCGGTCTGACCGTAGGCGAAGATGCACACATTGTATCCATCTAAAGCGGACTGAACAAGTTGTGAGATTTCCTCGAAAATGAGGTTGTTGTCTGCTGTCGGGTTGAAGACTTTATCAAAGGTATACGGATGCTCTTTAACAGTCTCCGCACCGCTAAGAGTAGCCTTCTCCGAACAATAAAGCTTAATATCCTTCGCTTCATCATCTTGGCCCGGGAAATCAATCTTCGCAGGCTCGCTTTCAGCCTCAAGTGTAGGCCTGACACGGCAGAAGACCCGAATATTCCCTTTCAATTCCAAAACTTGATTATGTAACTTCCGTCTAAGCGTCTCCTCGGTTCGAAGTTTCATCATGGCGGTTTCCAAATCCTTACGCATCTGAGAGACATCACCATCCTTAGCGCGGATAGAGCTATCTCTGTCGGAAATCATAGACTCCAAAGAACAGATCTTATCCCGAAGAGCTCGTGCCGAGGATTCCATATTGAGCGAGTTGACAGATTGTTCAGAGAGAGTATTCCTCATATCCTTATTCATCTTCTGAGCAACTGCCAGCTCATCCTTCGTCTCGTTGTGAGCCGAGGTTTCGGCTTTCAACTCTCCCTTGACTTTTGCTAGTTCCGTCTCATAAGTTGCCTTGAGCGTCGCAATCTCCGTCATAGAAGTATTCTTCAAAGTTGCAACTTCAAGCTCACTCCGGTTCTTGAGATCCGAGAGCTCATTACGACTCCTTTGCTGTGCATCCTCCAAGTCCCGAGCTGCATTGGTCTTTAGGGTGTTCAATTCGTCAGCATGCCGCCGCTTGTCTTCCGCCTGTTCCATCTTAAGCCTTTCGAGCGCCATCCGTAACTCATCAACCTCAGACTTGTGTTTAGATGTCAGATCGCTGACCTCGGTCTTCTGCTTGCGTTCAAGATTGTCGATGTCATCGCGAGCCTTCCGCCGTAGCTCATCCGTTTCGTTAAGAAGTTGCCGCCGAGCATCGTCAGCCTCAATTCTTCTCAATCGCTGCTCTTCGTGTAATTCCATCCTTGTCTTATTCAACTCGGCCTGTTCGCGGTTCAACTCTGACTGAAGTTGTGAGTTCCTGGTTTCCAAAGTCGCTCGCATAGTCTCCAATTCAATAACTATATCAAAAATCAGCATCCAGATCCATAATTATGGTCCCTATCAATGAAAGTGTGAAATCCTACCTTTCATAGAACTCATATCCTTTTGTACATTCGTATCCGCAAACCGTTCCATCATTTCCCTATGGTCCTCTTCCAGATCCGCAAGTCTTCCCTTAACATCCCATCCAGCTCTTGATGGCCTCTTCTTTGCGACCCACGGTCCAGAAGATCCCTTTTCGTTCTCCGTCTCCTCTTCGGCTTCATCTTGCGGTAATGGGACACCAGAAGCAACTGCAGCTTCAATTTGCCTATTATGAGCCGCCAGTGCCGCATTGGTTTTCCCTAGGGTACTTTTATTCAAGGCACCTTTGGCCGCAGCGCCAATCCTCGAAGCGCCAGTCCTACCAACCGTACTCTTACCTAATATGTTCCTCCCGGTCGGGCCTCTCGCCGCAGAAGCGGGAGCGGACGGAAAATTCTGAGAAATGGCCGATCTAGCGACCTGAGTGGGACGGTCATAAGGGCTATCAGTATTTTCGAGAGGGCGCTTTAAAGATGTAGAAGCGGACAATGGATTCCGTCCTTTCAAAGCAGATGGTTTTCCGATTACGCTCGTGCTGAGGATAGATGGTTTTCCAATTGTGCTTGTGCTAAGAATTGAAGGTTTTCCGATGACGCTGGTACTAAATGCGTGTCTGGAGTTTACAGTTGATTCTCCAAGGTCTGTGAGTGGTTGTGCACTCGATTGCGACTGTGGTATGCTAGAATTTGCGGTGGAAGCCGATGAAGGGGCGGGTAATCGCGACCCGCCAGGTCGAGGGAGGGACGACTGCATATCTGGTAATATGTGGAGGGGTGGTGGTTCGGGGTCGAGGAAGGCTTCATTCACACCAACCCTGGTGGCGGGCTTTGGGCCGATAAATTGATCGTCAGTAGTGACTAGTCCTCCACTGTATCCGATACCGATGTCTTTGTTCCTGTCCTTGTCAGGACTTGCAGGGTGATTGTTAAGGAGGAAAGGAGGTGGGTGAGGGTATCGTTTTGTTAGAAAGTTAGAAGGCGAAATTGGGACTAATTGAAGCCGATGGATATTTGGCGAGGACTATTTTTAACGAATTTGGATGTTAGTAGGTGGGTATATAGATGGTGTATGTTGAAGATGAAGATGAAGTTGATGAAGTTGATGAAGTTGAAGATGTTATGACAACACAAAGAAACAGCAGCTTTGGATCGCGTATTATGTTGTTGTTGCCGTTGTTTGTTGACATCGAAGCTTGGAACCCGAAAACATCACCGAGAATGCAAATGCAATGCAATCAATCGATCAATTACAACTTCATCTTCTTACTAGACAAGATACTAGCAGTCGAGGGAAAGATTGTGAAGAAAAAAAAAGGATACTCACATTGACAGATCCACAAAGAGCATTCCCATCAATGTCGCCTTTGACAGGACTGTTATTCAAACCCGACAGTGCCGCCACAGCAGTGATTTTCTTTGCCTGAGCAAGAAGCGCAGACTTCATGTTTATATCTTTCCCCTTTGCGACAAGGGCCGTAAACAAACGCTGTGATTGGGTTTTGTACCTCAGCGAGACTTCTGGTTCGGTTAGCACTAGCTGACCAGGATTGAGGTTGTTCGTGGCGGTGCTGGTGCTGATTAGCTTGACCTGGGAGGTTTGTCGCCGCTTCTTGCTCTTCTTTACCCAGCACTTCTTTCTTTCCTTCCTTCTTTCTTAAGTTACCGAACTTCAACAACTTTCAACCGACAAGAATACCCAAAAATTATAACGATCAATCTCATAGCAAAAAGAATATTTCCTAAAATTAAAAAGATCCGGGAGGTAGTTGGCTGGTGCGCTGCTGGGTGGTTGTCACAGCTCAGAAACAGATACCCCAGAATATTAATACGAATTATATAAAGACATCATCAGCATCATCGTCAACATCGTCATCAACAACATCGACAATCATCGACAATGAACTCCTCATCTTCCTGGTTCACGTAAGTTCCCCATCCTCAAGTACATCAATTAAGTCAATAAAATAAAATAAAATAATAACAATAAACACAGCTCCTACGAACGCTCCCTCCTCAAATCCGACTACGGCACCCAACGCCACCGTCTAACCCGCGACCACTCCAAATCCCTCGACTCCTGCAACCTCTGCCTCCAACGAGCTCGTGACCCCGTCTGCTGCTCCACCCACGGCGATATCTTCTGTCGCGAATGCGCAATCTCAAACCTACTCAGCCAGCGAACGGAGATAAAACGTCTACAAAAGGAAATCGAAAAGAGACATGCAGAGGAAGAAGAAGAACGTATAAGACTTGAAAAGGAGGCTGTCGAAAGAGGTGTCAAGGAGTTTGAGGAGGTGCAGATGGGACTTGAGAGACGGCGGTTGAATAAAAGGAAGGCGGATGATATAGTTGATAATAACGATGGTAGCAATGGTGGTGTTAATGGTGCTACACAAACTATCATTGCTCGAGAAAATGGAAAAATCACAATCGAAGAAACAGACTCCTCCTCCTCCTCTTCAAGAGACCCCAAACGATCAAAAACATTCACCCTTGACGAATCAGAACTCCTTCGAATCGCCCGTTCCGACAGAGAGCGTCTAAAAACCTCAATCACCGCCGAGAAATCCGCTGCATCGGCCCCAAAACTCCCATCGTTCTGGATCCCATCCTTAACACCCTCAATGTCTACCTCAGAAATAGCACCCACAAAACCTCCCAAATTACAACCCGTATGTCCGGGTTCAGATCCAGAAAAACTACATAATTACAGCTTAAAATCATTGGTTAGCGTCAAATTCGCAGAAGAGGCAGAAGAAAAGAACAAACACGGCGAGACGGCCAGGATATGTCCCAGTTGTAAGAAGGGACTCAGTAATGAAACCAAAGCAGTTGGTATGTTTCTTCCTCTTCCTCTTCTTTATATAATAAAATTTATTTTATTTGATCTAACCAAAATCGTCCACCTGTTCAGTCGCAAAACCCTGCGGTCACGTAATCTGTAAACCCTGCGTCAAGAAATTCATCCTCCACTCCGACGACCCCCACTTCCACTTCTCCGGCAAAGAACACATAATACAATGCTCCGTCTGCGAGGCAGACCTCTCCGAGCCCAGTAGCTCCAAATCCAGTAAGAAGAAAGATAAGGACAAGGACAGGGAAACCATAAAACCCGGTCTGGTACAAATATCCAGCGACGGGACGGGTTTCACGGCTGGTGGGGGCAAGGTACTAGCAAAGAAGGAAATGGTAGCCTTCCAGTGTTAATCCATTTCTTCTTTCTGGATTTGTATTATATTATATCAACGGTTGATCCCGATGTCATATTTACTATATATCTAGTGTACAATAATACCAAATAATGATCTCATGATACCATGATCCCAATATCAATACGAGACTACCATGATCCCTCGATATGCTACAGCTAGCTAGTCAAAAACTATGGGTTGCTATAACAGCAACAGCAAAAGTGGTATACTAGTAATACATAAAGCCACCGAACATAAATAACCATGTACGGGAAGTCCTCATCGTCGTCATCATTATCATCATCATCACCATCATCATCACCATCACCATCAAATTCATAATAAAAAAGCGTTCACCCAATCGATCCCTACTTTGCATGGAAGAATACAAATACTTAACTTCCAGCATGACGAGAAATTTGCAGCGAAAAAAAAAAGGGATGAAAGCAAGGTGTGCACAGGCGAAGCCAGCCTATCTAATGTTAAATCCGTCCGCCCATTTATATAAGTCAAACGAAAAGGAGAAGGGGAGGGGAGGGAAGGAAAAAAGAAGAAAGGAGAAACAATCATCAGAATACCATCGGAGGTGGGCACTTCCATATTCCCAGTACACCACATTAGTAAGCAGAAAGAAAAAGGACACCATAAATAACACCAGTAAGAAAAATGCAGAAAAGGCCGGCTGTAATGTACATGAAGGGGAAGGAGGTGGGACCCAATGGCAAGAAAATAATAATAATAAAGGTTTCATCCGATGTAGAGCCAGATGATCGCAAGAATGAAAATATAATATCAAATGACGTCGTTGTAAAGTAGGAAGAGGGCCGGAGGTTAGAAGCTGTACCCAAGGGCAATCTGGTGTGCGCTTGGGTGGGGACTGAGCCTCACCCTCTTTGCACCCCGGAGGCTCTCTTGTTTCTCCTCTTCCCACCCCAACATTTCCTCCGACGCACGCTTCCTCCCGGCCAGTGGTGGAAAAGCACCACCGAGGGGGAGAATCGCGCGTGGAGGAAATTTGGCGCGGTAGAGGAGGAACTCCCTCAGCTCCTCCCGGGTGAGGCCCAAATCCCACTCCAACGCCGCCATATCTAACGACGGGTCCTCCTAGTTCTCGTCATCCGAAGACACCTTCTTCTTCCTGCCCCTCCTCTTCTTAGGAGGAGCCCCATCTTCCTCGATAATATTGACGTTTCCGCCATCTGAATTGCCACCGCTAGCGGCGGCCTTCCCATTACCCTCACCAGCAGTGGGGATATCTGGGGCCTTCGAAATGATGTCAGACAAGAAGTCGAACTGTTCTTCTTGGTTGACTGCAAGTTTGAGGTGAGCAGCGGTAATCCGCTTGCTCCCCCTGGCCTTAGCTTGCTCGGCAGCCTGCGTAACAAGTGATACCATGAACAACTCGAGTGCCTTGGCTGTATCCCATAAAACAATTGTTAGCTAGTGATATACTCAACATTGGCGAACCAAGAGGTGACGACAGAATACTTACCGACTATGACAGGGGTCACTTGAGCTACCTTGCCGACATCTTCGTCAGCCTGCATGATCCTCTTGATGCGAGCAACTGGAAACTTCGTCTTTATGTTGACGTGTTGAATAGGTTTCCTTGCCACTCTTTCGCTGGGAGCATCAACATCGCTCGTGATAACCTGATGAGCGGCAGCAGTAACCGTGGCAGGGACAACTGTCTGCGGATGAGGTGGTTGGTACGACTGCTGATACGGAGCAGCAACGTACTCAATCTGCGACTGTCCGAACTGGGACCCCATTGCCGGACCAGCAGGCATAGCCATCTGGGTTTGGTTATAGGCGTTGTTAGTGTAAGATCTGAGCTGTCGAGTCGGAGGTTGGTATGCTTGATGAGCAAACAACTGCGACGACGGCTGCGAACCATACAATTCACCTGTAAGGGACTGTTGGGATTGCGGGTTTTGTGCAGAAGCAGGCCCGGAGGGGACAGGGGTCTGATAGTTCCCTGGATATGGGTAACTATTGTTACGCTGGTTGCTTGGGTACCCACCTTGGGGCGGGTACGACGGATATCCCTCCATCTGGGAGGAAAAGAAGGGAAGAGAAGTAAAGAAGGGACAAGGGCACAAGAAAAGAGAAAAGGAGAATGTGGATTCAGTATTGAACCTTCGCGGTTCGGATTATTAGATTGGTGGCTGGCCAGGTATCTTAGCCTGAAATGTCGTTGCTGGAATCTTGTTGCAGACAACGGGTAACTCGGCCTGAAAAGATTGAACTTTACCAATTGGATAGACGGGAAGCTGCAGCCTATATTATAGGAAAGAAGTTAGTAAACGAGCTTACCAGGTTATATTTTTTCCTCCTTGGCTTTTTTGAGACTTGAATTGGGATGTTCCAGGTAGATGAAGCACCATTGACCAAGCTCCAGGGAAGCTAGCAACGGCAGGGGACTACAGGAACTACTTACAAGGATAAAAGGTAGGCTGACAGAAGGAATCAATTGAACAAAAGTATATGAGGATTAATCAATTGGCCTTAACGATGAGAAAGAGACTTCAATATCGAAAGGATGTCGATATCAAAGGTTGGTGATGTTGGTGAAGGGGGAAGAAAAAAGAAGAGGGAGGGAGGAAGAGGAAGGAAGAGGAAGAGAGAGAGGAGGGAGCTGTAGTAGTAGTTATAGTCGACCGCTATGCGTTGTGCGTTGTGTGTTGCGCGTGTTGTGAAATGAGAGAGCAATGTGTTGTCTGAGGTTTAAGTAAGTTAAGTAAGTCAAGTAGTTAGCAGGCAGTTGCCAGGCAGAGAACGGGAACGGGGCAACTTTGGAGGGGCTGCATGGCGGGCCTTATATAAAATTTGGCTCCACGCGAAAAGCTCCAAAACGAGCTCGCCTGTTGCTTTATTTTGCGCAGCCCCGCCCCTGTCATCATCATCATCCATCCATCCAATTCATCCTCCATCCATTACCCATTCACACACTCGTTATCCATCGCTATCGATATCAAACCTTAACTTCAACATCTCCTCGGATTCATATATCTCTTATTAACATACATTTAAGTAAGCTATCATACACCTCCCCTTTTTTTCATTTTCTTCGCTATGATATATTCATATGGAGCATATCCATATATAATGATGATACCGAGCTGCTCCAGCTGTTCTACTCCAAACGAACAAAGGAATTTCCAAAATAACCTCCCTTTGGTTATCGCCATCAGGCCATTGAAAATTCACGAGGTACTCTCGCTGTCGCTTCCCCAGAAGCATCCGGCCATCCGGAGCGTTTCTTCGGAACTTCTTCCTCGAGTACTCTCATTTCACACCCGTCTGTGGCGTCATAGAATCGTAACAAGCGGACTTTCCTTTCGTTCGGGAACGTGAGAGTTTTCCCTTCGTTTTGTTTTCAAAGCAAGGGAAAAAAAATTACTTGATCTAATCTGATCATACACTGCGATTTTTTTATTTCTATTGTTTTCGCAAAGACACCGGTCACCTTCCGGAGAAACCAAAAAAAAAAAAGATGGCGGGTATTAACATATTATATGCTTCCTAGAAATATTATACACTCGAAGAAAGAAGGAGAAGAAAATGCTCTCTATCAAAAAACAATAAGAGTAAAACGACACGAAATAAAAGCCATAGAAGATCGAAGAAGGAGAGCGATGCCAAAAATGTGAAGGATGCGGCTGTCCTACTGCCGCCCTTTCCGTGACGATGCACGCCAAAAACCGAGCCTCGGAGCCAGTATACCCCGAATTATCTATGCACTTGAAAAATCAAGATAAAAACAAAAAAACAAAAAATTAAAAAGAATTAAAATTGAAAAAATCGCGCGGACCCATATGCATATACCAAACCCAAGGTGTGTTTTTTACTCTCCCGTTCTATCCTCAAAGTTCACATAAATCGTTCCATCTTTCGTGATCCTCGTTACCTTACCCGTATGATCCGTTGGCTCCGTGATTCCTTTGGACTTCAGGTCTGTCACAGTAATCCTCTTGTTCCAGAAGTCTGTCCACCTCTGGTTACACGCGTTCTCTACCCAGCACCCTGCTAAGTGCACCACCAAATCATCTTTGTGCCATCCCATGTGCTCCCATCCGACCGGGAACCCATTTAGAACTCTCTGGGGTACGAGCGCAACCCTCTCCCTAACCTGTCTGTGATGCTGTACCATGTGTAACTACCCCAAATGTTAGCTCCGCACCAACCAAACCAGCTGCAGGGAGATATAAGCAAAGAACCTACCAAGGCATCCTGTTCCTTCCCCGGCCAATTATTGTACACATAAAACGGTTCCTCCCACCAATCCATCAACATCTTTGTAAATTTACTTCGTCTCAAGAAGAAGCTTCCGGCGTTCAACCCATTATGATCCTGGCCAACAATAATCTCAATATCCTTGGGATCCACATTCTGGCCCATAAAGTGTCCAGTATGTTTACTCTCGCTCTTCAAGAACTCAACCCCAGCTGCGAACTTCGACCTCATCGCCGCGTGTGACAGAATATGGGAATTAAGGTCAATATCCGGGTTCATGATAATAGCATCGAGATCGAGCCACCAAACCCAATGGGCGTCTGGGAATTGAATGAATGTATCGAGTAACGCAGGGATCTTGGCCCAAACCGGGTGTGCACCGTGTAAATCGTATTTGGAGATGTTGATAAAATTGAACTTGTAGCCATGGAAATCGGCGTATTCTTGACGATTTTGAGTCGCTTGCTCGAGTAAGTTGGCAATACCGCCGTTGTGTCCCTTCCCATCGCTGGCCATGAGGAGTACGACTTGATCGGGTCTCGGGCCGGCCGGGTCATAGTATACATCGTCCTTGACATCGAAGGTCCATTGCGCCCTAGGGATCGGGATCTTCCCCTTCTTCTTCTCTTCTTCGGGGTCCTTATGATTCTTCTCTTCCGGTTTCGCTTCTTGTGCTGGTGGTTGCTGCTGCTGGGGCTGCTGAGGCTGCTGAGGCTGCTGCTGTTGCTGTTCAGGCTTCTGTGGTTGCTGGTTGGTATTTCCGTGATTCTGTGGGTCCGAAACCTGGTACGGGTCCGGGGTAGAATGTCCAGCCTTCTGCCCTATAGCGCCATTGAGGGAGTCATCGGGTTCATGGAAAAGTCCGTCATTAGCAGCCGGGTGACCGCCTCGTAGGTTATTATTTTCGAAATATGAGAGTAAAGTGATGAATAGGAAAAGAACTATGCATGCTAATATGCAGCTGGTAGTAAAATACGGGTTAGGCCAAGGGTCATAGAATGTGATCAAGCCACTAGTACGTGCTGAAGCTTGACATCATAACAAGGACCGATAGGGAAGCAGTACACGACTTACTTTGATACGATCCGTCTCGCCATCGCTGGCTATTCCGCCCAGAGGAATCGGAATATCAGCGTATCCTAAAAAGATGCCTTCGAACCGACAGCTATGCGAAGGAATGCCAATAATGCCGTCTTTCTCCCTCAATAGGTGTCGTAAACTCCTTCAATGTCAATGCAATAACATGCAAATACCGGATAAAAATGCCGAGCAAAAAAGAACCAATTAAACCGAAAACAGATCCGTAAACAACTGAATGATTATGCTATCGCCAAATACATGAGAGAGAGAGAGAGACTGTTTGGTCGTACGCGATGGATCAAATACAGGGGCGTTTCGGATGGATGATGCCGAGAAGGGCGTTTTCTGTGGAACTGGAGCTTGAAAAGGAAGACGAAGAAGAGCCTACGGTATACGGTATACCGGTATAACAGCTAGAGAAACGGGCGGATGTGAATACGCTCTTCGAGGTACTACAAGTGGAGGTTTGTATCGAGTAAAATGCTGTCGACCTGCTCGATTTTGATGCTAGAAGAGGGTTCTAGGTAAGTAGTGAATGGAAATGGATGGTACCGAACGGAGTTGTATGGCAGTTGGACTGGGGTGTTCCAGTTAAGTTAAGTTAATGTTTCGTGGAATATTAAATGAGAGCCAAGCTGCAGACAGGGAACAGTTCGAAGGCTGATATCATACAGATGCCGGAGCAAAGAAACAATCAAAATTCCGTAGGACAATGTCTTTGTACCATGCAAATACTAACTTATATTTATGTACGACGAAGCAAAGCAAAGGGGAGGAAGCTCGAAGGAGGTGAAAAAGGGGGGGGGGGGTGAATTTAACGAATGTGTCGAATGTTAAGGCATTTGTCGACCTCGAGACAAGCATTGCAAAGTGGGAAACATTAATAAGGGGAACCTTGAAAAGCTTGAATTTGTTATCTTGTGTACACAGCGCTAACTGTCTCCTGCTTTCAACGAGACCTTCATACTTTGTTAGTAAGTATCTATACTTTCATAGCTACAGGCATTCAAAATACAGATACGTATCGATATCAGGCCAATATCAACATCCGCCCCAAGTCCAAGTGCAAGTTCAATGTACCCAAATATAAACCCCCATGCACGTATGCATAGTATATTTCTCAATACTACCTCACGCCGGTGGGACCTACCCAAGCAACGTAACCATTCTTTATAAAAGTATAAAGTAATATAACCTTCTGGACTATCTTTTCGAATTTTCCGTCCCGCGTATTTGAAACTAAATTTCCAAAACATACACATGTAGGTAGTTTAAAACACCACCGTGGTGACGTGATCATGATCTAAACTTTATAATTCGAAGTTTTTCATCTCTCGCTAGTTTACAGACATATAGAAGGATCAATATAAAAACTAGCTATAGCATTACACGTGCTGCAGTATGCACGCATGCATGGTCTATATGATGGTCTAACTACAAAATAGTACACTCAATGGAAATCTAGATATCTTTCGTACCCATTGTTAATTAATTACGCAATTAATTGCCCTTATGAAGATAAAATGAAATGAAATGAAACAAGATAAAGTAATAAAAACAGTCTGCAAAGCTCTATGTTTTTGTTTCGTTATAATTAATATATAACGAGTGTCATGCTCCAATTCTCACGCCAGCGTTAACAGTATCTCCCAATGAACCGAAGAAAGAAAGAAAAAAAACTTCAAGATGAAAATAATGAAAATGAACCGTTTCCCGTCCCACCAAGTAATGATAGTTAAACTAGCAACCAGAAGAAAACCCCCCTAAGGAAAAGAAAAGTAAACAAGAAAGCGAAAAAAGGGGATGGTATGGAACGAAAGAAAGAAAGAAAGTGGCTGGCTCGAAGGCCGGAGAGGTAGGAAACGATCGAGAGAGAGAAAGAGAAATAGGCTATCTACCAATCAATCAGACTCAATCAAGAAGACTCACTCTCCTCTTCCAACTCCTCTGTCGATGGCGGATCCTCTAGGGGCACTGTGATAGCCCCCTGCACCCATTCCATCTTCTCCACCTCCTCTAACGGCAACCGTTTCTTAACCCTTTTCAAAAGCCCATCCACAACGACCTTGGCTGGATTCCAGTCGGGGTCGTAAGGCTCCTTGATACTTAGCTCCCCTTCAGCGTCCGCAGCAGCACTTCCCTCTTCTGCAACCGGTGGCGGTGTATCTGCCAATTTAAACCACTTCCAGTCGCACCTGGCTATCCGATGCGCCGTCCTAGAACGCATCTTATGTTCATTCGCCCCGGGAACAGGGTCAAACGGTAGTCTAGATTCGCAGATAGCATAGAGCAGAACCCCCAAAGCCCATGCATCCGTGTGACGGCCATCGTAGGGCTGGCCCAATAATAATTCCGGCGCCGCATAGTCTTCAGATCCACACCTAGTTGTCAGGAGGGGTTCGTCAAAGTCTATACGCCTAGATAGACCTAGATCCGTAAGCGTGGTAATCGAGCGATTCGAGGCAATTATCTCGTCGCCGGATTGTGCGAGCTCTTCAGCCGTGAAGTTTATCAATACGTCTATAAAAATGATTGTTAATCACCATTTTCGCCAATTACGTAAAACTGAAAAAAGGCTAGTGGGACATACTCTCCAGCTTGATATCACGATGCACGATCCCCGACAAGTGCAGATATCTCACCGCACCCACCAGCTCCGAAAATATCCTCCTTACAAACTTCGGTGTCAACAACTTTGGCGCACTCGTCGCCAGGTCGAAAAGATCACCACCCGCACAATAACCCAGAATGAGAAGCGCCCGTTTCCTTTCAATGCTCTGCGCCTTCAAGTGCACTAATGACGGATGCTTCAATGATTTCAGAATATCCAGCTCCCGTTTAAGCGAACTCTCTATCCTCGCCCTCGAAGCTCCTCCCGCCGCTGTGTTCTCCACAATTTTAACCGCAACGAGTTTGTCCCTATCCAATTCAGCTTCTGAGTCCGTGTTTTTCTTCAATTCTAACGTGGCCAGCATGACTTTACTAAACGTCCCTTGGCCGAGCAGTCTGACTGCCCGCCAACGTCGAATATTATTCCCTGGATATGTTGTAGCCGTAAATATTTCCCGCACAATGCTACCATCTTCGGGAATACGATAATCGGATACCCCATCCACTATAACGGGGACCTGAAGATCGGCCGTACTCCTAGTTCTCTGCTGTCCATGTTTCCCAGCAAGATGTTCTTCTCGCTTAAAGGGATGCGAAGTGGAGGACGACGACGATGCATCCTTTGACTCTGAATTTCCATCTTCCGTCTGACTCTGTCTTGATATTGCAGGAACATCAAGTTTTGTAACCTGCTCGCTAACACTCCGGGGCGTACTTTGATGTAATCGGTAATCGTGCGCTGAGGGTGCGTCAATGTGATTTAACCCTTGGTATAATTTCCGCTTACTCGGCGACCTGCCGACACCAACTGGCATCGAGTCGCTCCCACCGCCACCAGCACCATGTTCTCCTTGATCGTTGATTGATAACGATGCTATAGAGCCTCTAGAAGTAGGACGGGAGCTAAGGCTTCCATTTCTAAATAATCGCCAGGGACCAGGTGAGTCTGCTGATATTACTGGAGATGGCAATGGAGTTATTTCGGATAGAAATCCTGTGATTGATGGGGATCCTGTCGCGGAGTTTGGAGAGAGTGAGCTTTGGAAGGAATTGGAGCGAGAGAGAGCTGCAGCAGAGGCTCGGGTGCTGGAGGGGACCGGAATGGATTTTGCGTTGTTCGTAGAGGAAGACATGGCTACGACGTCAGTCTGAAGACGCAGATCCGGAAGATGGTGAGGGTGATGATAATGGGAATTGTGGTGGAGAGGTTGGCGATGATCGATGGAATGAGCGAGGGAGGAATGAAGGTGGTGGTGGGGCGGCTGGAGGTCGTCGTCTGGGGGCGGATTGGCGAATATAAGGCGGGGAGGTTGTATCTGCGAGGTTGGCTGAGCACTTCTCCCAATATTGATGCCACTCCCAATGCCACTACTCCCACTATTATTATTACCACTGCCACTTTCACTCTTACTGCTGTTGATAGTATGCACACTGGTCAATGTCTCAGCAGATGTGCCAGCGCCGGCGCCAGAAGTACTAGTAGCGGCTACATCGGTGGAATGAGGAATGGACGATCCATTATTCCCATTGCTAGAATTGAGCGGATTCGTGCTGCTGTCGACCTCCGTCATGGCAGCAGAGCAAATATCGAACAGATGCCGTGGAAAAGCGGCAGCGTCTGAGGGCGTATCAGCAGCCACTCGAGATTCCGAGATTTAATTAAGAAGTGCTTGGTTAGTTAGTATCGCCAACTGGGTAAGTATCGGGTTAGTACTATGTGTATGCAGATGTCGGGAAAAGAAAGCCCAGCTTTGTAAGGGAATTAAATGAATTAAATGAGGAAGTGGGATGGATGGCTGCTGCCCCTCGAACTAAACGATAAAAGCTCGTTCGGCAGCCAATAGTCTGCTGCACATGGCCTGCCTTCTTGGGGTCGCTAGCCTGCCCGCGAATCTGGGTCGGTCAGGCCCCGTGCCAGGCCGAGGCTTGGCCCGAACCATATCGAGATGAGGTTTGTTCCTATTTGATGCCTGGTCGGTCTTGTCTGTGGTGGTGCATGGAAGTGGTGGTGAGGCTGTCTTAAACTTTCAGGAACCGCATCTTAAAGTTGGCTTCGATTGGCCCCACTGCCGGATGAAGTCCTCAGGGCCCCGGACGAGTCCGAAATATCCAGATCCGGCGACTTTGCGCTCAGACCAGGCCCTTCTTTTTCTCCGCTTTTTAAAATACAAGACATATGCACATGTTCCTTGCTCTCAGACATGATCGTGAACAAAACCTAAACGATGAAAGGAGAGGGGGAAGAGAAGGATCCGAAGAAAGGAAGGCTTTTGCGATGCATATTAATATTATCGAACAATGGAAATCAGGAAAACGATAAGAAAGAAAAGTTTGAAAAAAAAAACAAAAGGGTCAAGTCTGGGGAAAAGAAAAGAGAAAGAAAGAAAACAGATTCTGCATTGCACCTTCACAAATCGTACACACAATCCCTCAATGTTATTTGTCGTTTCGCATTCCTTAGATATACCGCAAGATCCAAAACCAGGCGACATGTCAACTCACGGGTGGTACTCGTCGTCGTCATCGTCCATCGCGAGCGGTTGAGCATGGGCTGGAGCGCCGTTGCCCTTCGAACTGTTGGCACCCTTAAGCAACATCGCAACGACATCAGCATCCAATCCTTCCATCCCCGCCATGGGATTATCTGTAGCTTTGGGCGCGGCAGGCGCCTTGCTGTAGTTCCCATACTGCAACATCGATGAGAGTAAATCGACGGGCGCCTGAGTTTTGGTCGGCGAAGTCTGCTGGAACGAAAAAGGCCCACTCTCCTGGAACGATGGGTCTTCAGTGGCAGGTGGCGGTGTCAGAGCTTCGACCATCTCCCGTGGCGGTTCAATGTCTGGTGTTGTGGAGCGCATCGTGGTATCGCCGTTCTTATCGTCCGTCATCCCGGAAAGTAGCATATTCTCCACATCCTTCTTAACGTCATCCGTCCTTGCTTTCTTTTCCTCCACTCCTTTCAACTGTGACTCCTCCCCTGCCAGTGCGGTTTTATTGGTCTCAAGCAGTGTCTCCAGGTTCTTGATCAATTCCCTTCGCGATGACAAGGCATCCGAAACGGCGGCATGGGCGATATCAAGCGTCTTAATAAGCTGCGATAGTCGTGCAACATAGACTGCAGGCGGAGGAATAGCCTCCGCCTCCATCCATTTCTTGTACTCATCGCCAGCCGACCCAAGTGCGATCGTAGAGTGGGTAAGTTGGTTGTTGAGCTTGCTCTGAGCGGCAGCGAGGCGTGTAAGCTCTGCTGGCGTGGTGCCACCAATTCCACCACCCAACCCTCGTCTCGCAGTAGTACTAGATTTCCCCTTGTCGACATCTGCCCCAAATACATCGTCAGCCTTCAATTCATTTTAGCTACCACCAGGTATAGACGTACCATCCAGTCGCGCATCAATCCCATCCAACACATCCACATCAAAAATACCTCTTTGCCTCCAGACTTGAATAACCCGCCTCAACTTTCCCTGGATATCCGCCGAAGAGCCTCGATACGCAACTTCACAGGCATCTGCCATTATCTACTCACAGGATTAGAATCCCCAACCTCAAAAAGTCAAACCAAAATGTATCGTATTATCGTACCGGTGCGAAAGCGACCCCAAACTCCTCCTTCTTCCTTGCCTTCATCTGCTGGACAACCTCTATTCACACAAAACAATCGTCAGAATCACCGTGCCAACGTGTATATAGCGCGGTAGGGTTGGGTAATCGTACCGTTGACGAGGTAGACCAAGTTTAGTTTTCGAGGAGCAGACGCCTCCTTCAACCGCTGTAGCCATATTTGTGCGAATCGCTTAGCGTGTCTCCTGTATGAACACAATAATATCAGCAAACCCCGTTTCCAAAGAAAGCCCGACAGTGGCCAGATCGTACCTGTGGAACATGACCCATTGTGCAATAGAGACAATACCCTCCTGGGTCTCATTGAGGGCATTCAGCTTCGAATAAACAGTTTCATCGGAAAGAGACATATTGAAAGTAGGAAACAAGCTATTCAAAGCGCCTGCACGGATTGGTTTGATCAAAAGAAACAGATGATGTCAAAAGTCTCGTTCGTGAGATCGAATGAAGGTTGAACAAAGGCTCCGCTCGGTGTCTACGTCACAATCACACGACCAGAAATATACACCCGAAGCTTTCGTTGTTAGTATTCTACAAAAGCACTAGAGGTTGTCCGGGAGCTTGGTGATTGTTGAAATGGTATTTGACAAGTCTACGGGAGTATGGGTGATGTGGGATGTTGAAGGATCGGATGAACGGCCAGAAAAGCTTGAACCTGTTCGAGACGCGATTCAAAAACGCCAAGCATTGGCCATCTCTCAAAGTCTGCAACACCAAACCCTTGTTGCATTCTGGATCATATAGTCGTGAATTTCAATTCGAATTCGAATTCACGAAACTTGTATCTATATATACCTAGGTACCTCCTTACTAAGTAGGTAGCTATAATGCGCGTAATACGGTGCTCAATATGATTATTTTAGGCCCTTCTATCGAAATTACGAGTTAAGGGAGGACTATAGACACAATATGCCTCTATTCCACGGATTGCTAAGTTCTATATTCCTTATGACCCTACGAATCTAAGCATACTAATATCAGGGATTGCGTCCATGCATCATATATATATATATATGTAGCCTTGTTATAAGTATGCAACGTTAAGATACTAATAAGTACCTATGTAGGTATGTAGGCTTAATTAAAAGTCAAGCTTATATATATACTTGGCATAGAGGCACGAGGCTGTAAAGCACCAGGCTCAGAGCATAAAATAATGTCTGGTCTTCTTCACTGCATCCGGCTTTGGCCTTGCATCAAAACGCTTCTGCATGATATCCAGCTTGTGATATGTACGCCCTTGGTAAAATAAGTTCCCCACGAAGAAAAATGTAGTCTCGGTTGAGTATTATAATTATAAGTAGGACCCCTAAGTCTAGCCTCGAGACAGGGACTCTAGCATAGCAAGCATACTCTCATCAGACCTAGAGGCTCGGGTTGCCGAGGATGGTCTATGATTTGATACAGGGCCTAGCTTGACGACACCGAGAAAACATATTCAAGCATGTTATACTATGACGTTGATAACCGTCATAAAAGCTCATCTCTCAAATGTTGTATATGGTAATCTAAGAGGCCGCAGTCAGCTGATGCTGACGATACTGCTAGTTCAACTCTGGGTTCGAGGAAAGGATATGTATATATACTTCATATAGGTAACGAAAAAATTACACCGCAGTATACTAATCCGAAAGAATTTCAGATTAGATAGAGATGTCTTTTAGTGTCGAGCTAGAACGATACCTACTAAGGTTTCTAGACTATAGTTATAGGTGAACACTCAAACAATCTCGAGCATATTGTAGACACGGTCCACCCGGGAACACTCGATTCTCGGTATGGCTAGTGACAGAGACAGCTAATAAACATATAAATGTGATATATATTGAAACTAAACACCCGCTATCGGATTGGATAGCCTTGACCGGCTTCACGGTAGATAAACAATCAAGGTCTGATTAAATAGATACTCAAGGAAGGCAGGATTCGAAGTCTAAGTACGGGACAAAACGCACAATTTAATCAAGATTTTTAAACTTATACAAGCTGGTTAACGTTAATTAACTAATTGATTTCATGCAGGTGTATATTAAAGCCCTTTCGGCTCCCTACTAGTTCATTCCCCAGTTTTGTAGGTGAGAAACCGTACAGAATGGAGGAGTTATGTCCGAATATCAATGGCTTCCATAATATTCTAAGCCGCTTAGCTGGGGTATATTACATTACAAGCTACTAGCGAGCGCAGCAAGGTCCAAGCTACTTGTCAGCGTCGTCAACACAAACCCACTCCAGTCCACCGCCTCCATCCAAACAACCACCCACCGTCCATCCATCCATCTCCGTTACAACATCCACCTCCTTTAACCCCCCCGAAAACCCACCACGCCCCAAAGAAAAGAAGACCAAAAAAACCTCCAACCAAAAAATGTCCCATTTCCCATCAATCGAGGATTTCGATGACGGAGTCACCGCTCCAACCGGTGGTCCCATCGACGACGCCGACGACCTGTTCCTTCGCGAACAAGCCATCCTAGGTGACGAAGCCACCCAATTTTCCGCCGACAAGTTCCCCGCGCTTGATAACGACGGCGACCTTCTCGGAGGAGGTGGAGCAACAGGTGGCGGTGATGGATTAGTCGAGACTCACAAATTTGAGAGTAGCTTTCCAGATTTAATTGCCGATAATGAGGTAACTTTTAAGCTTGACTTCCCTTGTACATGGATGATGGTGGATAGCTTTCTGGGGCTTGGGAAGAAGAAGAAGAACGGGGAGGAAGAGGAGGAATTAGGGAAGCTTATGGAGCTTCCTAGAGCTATCTAAAAAGCTTCACCATAACATAAGGTACACCAAGCTAACCACCTCATCTCACAGGCCGTCGGACCCGGTGGAACCATCACAGGCACATCAGCTCCCTACATGCCAGGTGTCGTAAACACCAACTTCCCATCCACATCTTCCCTCCCAGAAGAAGAACCCGAAGTCATCAAGTAAACCCCCCCAAAATCTTACATACAATCTTACATAAAATACTAAAAACTTATCTTTCTAAGGCAATGGCGCGAACGTCAACAGCTCGAAATCCAACGTCGCGACGAACTTTCCGAATCTCGCAAGCAAGAAACAGTCGAAAAGGCACGAGCAGCTATCGATGACTTTTACGATAATTACAATTCGAAGAAGGATAAGAGCATAGAACAGACTCGGTATGAAAACGCGCGCACCACCAATCAATCAATCAACCAACCAATTTAAAGACGCCTTCACTTTACAACCCCAAAGAACAATGGCTAATATTTTATTCATTGGGAACAATACAGAAAAGAAGCAGAGGAATTCCTTGAAAGTCGTGAAAACACCTCCGTCGGCGGAACCGCCTGGGAACGTATCGCAAAGTTGGTGGATCTGACAGATAAGGGTGTCAAGACCGCAAAGTCGGATAAGACACGTTTCAGAGAGTACGTTTCTTCTCTCCCTCAATATAAGAAAGAAAAAAAAACCTCACCTAAACAAAAACCAACCGACTAACAATCCGGGAAACTTCCTATAGACTCCTAGTTTCCCTACGAAAGGACGAGAAGGCCCCCGGTGCCAGCGGCATTTAGATAATATACCTTCTTTACTCTTTTTTTATTTACTACAATCAACAGCGCCATGTCCTATTTTAAAAGCAGGGCTCTTTTTTTCTCCCTTTATCACTACTATGATGAAGATCAACGTTTTTTTTTTTAAAGAAAGATCAATCAAAAGTACTACTTGGGTGGTAATGACATGACGAATGGGTTTACTCTTTTTTTTCCCTTATGTTTTTTTTTCAATCTCTCTATGATCGAGCTGCTGGTTGCTTTTTAATATACTTACCCGCTCGGTCGGTCGAGCATGCTTTGTACATCATTAACTTCGCCTAGCCTGCATGCTTTGATCATCAATACACGCTTTTTTTTTCTGGGACCTCATAGCCTAGTCTCGTATTGCGGACGTGGTCCACACTTTGCTCGTAGCCTAAGGGTTGGGATTTCGTCGGTATCTACCGTTCGTTGATTATGGCTAAGGAGCCGGGTGGGTATATAAAACCCGTCCTTGAAGAAAATAAAAAAGGGAGAAGGAAATCCTTAAAGAAAAGAAAAAGAAGCAGAGGCAGGGTTTAAGGAAAAAAAGATAATTTATCTATCCCAAAGCGACTGACTTGTTATTTTTTGATTCCTGTTTATGTCCAGCATTTCCCTCCTTCATCGCCTGCTACACAAAAAGACACGACGCCCATCATCTCAAATTAAAAGAGAAACAAGAAATAGAAACAGAGGGGTGGGGGGCAACTTGAAAGCTCGCAGGCCAAGAAGAAACGGTTCGCCTTACAACAGAGTTTTCGGGCCTCTACAGTCGAAAGAGGCTCGAATATAACCAGGGCTCAAAAGAAACAGAAGATATAAGAGCAAAAAAGGGGGAATCAAGCCTATTTCTGCATCATGAGCTGGACGAACTCGTTGTAGTCGATCCTTCCATCACCGTCTTGGTCGGCTTCCCGGATCATCTCGTCGACCTCGGCGTCCGTGAGCTTTTCACCAATGCTGGTCATGACATGTCTTAATTCGGCGGCGGAGATGTAACCGTTGTTATCGCGGTCGAAGACTTTGAAGGCCTCTGCATTTCCCCAACAAAACAAACACAATCGCAATTTTGTTAACAGAACCGTCCATTATTGCCGAGCTTTTCTTTTTTTTCTTCTTATTTTAATAGCGAAAGGGTGGAGTATTATTATTTTTCCTTACCTCGGATCTCCTCCTCGCTATCGGTATCCTTCATCTTACGGGCCATCATGGTAAGGAACTCTAGTTGATAGGAAATACGCCTCGTGTCAGCCTCAGCTGTAACTATGGGTTGCATGTGCATGTGCCTTGGCGGTCAGGCTGTGCCGGCTTTTGTGCCTTACCAGGGAAATCGATGGTGCCGTTGTTGTCGGCGTCGACCTCATTGATCATGTCTTGGAGCTCGCTCTCGGATGGGTTCTGGCCTAAGCTGCGCATGACGGTTCCGAGCTCCTTGGTGGTGATTTGGCCTGTTTTATCACCATAGTAATAACGTTAGAACTCAAATTTCCCCTTACAATATTTCAAATATATTTTTGTAAAGGGAATCAAAACATACCATCTCCATCTTTGTCCTATAGACGGTGGGGAAGCTTCCGTGGTTAGCGAATTTCTTGTGGTAATGGTAGTGGTGGTCCCTTTTTTTGAGTTTCCCCCGCTATATGCGTGTGGTGTGTGCCCCACTATCGTCCTAACCAATCAACCATTCCACCCAATCTATCCATCAATTCCGTAAATTGTGGTAGTTTTGGTGGAGAGCACTTCGATCGGGAAATGAAGAAGATAGTAGATATGTATTTTTCTTTTTGTATAGATGATATGGACTGTGTGATATAGGCGATTTCAGGATACGTACGAAGAGGGAGAAGGCTTCCTTGAACTCGGAAACTTGTTCTTCAGTGAGTGCCTCTGCCTGTGTTGAAATTAGTAGATTAGCTGGCTATTCATGAAGCTTCCAGGAGAGACGTGATACAAAGGCTTAATAAATTGATGGATGGGAGTGAAGACGGATTGGCTAGGATGGGGGGTAGGTAGCTCCAGGGTTGCCTGTGACGGAACCGAAACGGAGATACCGTAGTCTCAAAGATGGGAAGTTGGAGTAGATGACGACGATGATAGAGAGAGGAAAAAACATACCATTGTTAAGGTCTGGTGATGATGATAAAGTAGAGTAGAGGATGGGTATAGATGAAGATATTGGGAATGGTTTGTTGTTCGTGTGCGCGAAGGAGAGGAAGAGAGAGAGAGAGAAGGAGAGAAGAGTTGAAGAAGGGATGGATGGATGGATGGATAGTTGTTTGATTTGCTAGGGGAGCCGGGTTGAGAGGACTACGCTCAGGAGGAGGGGGTTTTATTGGAACTCTTTTTGTTTCCAGCTAGCTACCTCTTAAGTACAAGTAGTAGCAGTGCTCAACTTAGGTAGCTCCCCCCCCTTATATATATTCAAACAGGAATCCCCAGGCGTTTAGCTCACGTCCGCACTCATGTCCACATCCACATCCAGGCCAGGGCCAGGTGCCTGTGCCGGTGATGTGGGTATCATCATCATGCAGGCGGACAGGCAGGCAGGCAGACTGCACATGTCATGTCACAGCATACATACGATATATGTAAGTATAAATCTCATCTCAGATGTGATATTATTTATAATAATTGGCAGTTCATATACGAAGCTAAGACTAAGCTGTCTTGTCACTATCACCGACCCACAAGCAGCTTACCCCTTACTAACTAATAACCATTCCTTTAAGCTCCCTAATAGTTACTTAGGTAATATAACTACTAAGTACCTTACAAAAGAAATTAATTGATTCCCAAGCTCCGGCACTTATGTACTTACATACGTCTAAACTGTACATGATCGGAGCTGCAGAGCTGCAGAGCTGTTTGTAATGTGACTTGCGTAATATCAATAGCGCCGTGTCGGTGTTAAGAGGCCGGACTCCGTTGTTATAGTAAACGAGCATGATGAAGTCTGTACCTGTCGCAGCCAAGCCCGAAGCAGGTAACGCAACGTCGTCGCCCGTTGCCCTTCGAACCAGCTGTTTCAGCCAAATGATATCACCACAACGACCACCTCTTCTTACCTTACCTACGCAGCACTTCTCCACGTCTCCACATCACCACCAGCCTTATCACCACCATCATCATCATCGCCCGTTCCCACCCCGTCGCCATCATAGCTATCCACTTCAGCCGCAGTCTTACAAGCCACACACACACACACACCCAAAGCTTGGACCTCTTCTCCATCCTCCCTTCCGTCGACTTCACCCCCAACGTCTTCGACTTCACCCCCCTAATACCTCCCAATAGCATCCGACCAGACCCCAATTTACTTGTAATCCCGGGGCGCACTTCGCGATCATGTGGCGAGACCGTACAAACCTGTAAACTCCATACCCCCCACCTCCTTAAACAACAACCATCCCACATTCCACTAACATCTCCACCACCCCCCCAAAAAAAGGTACATCTCCTACCGCCAATCCTACTCCCACCGTCCGACCAAACGTCCCCGCTTCTCCTCCTCCCAACCCGACTATCAAGACGAAGACCGTCGTGGCCTCCTAACATCCGATCCGGACGACTCTATTGCCTTAAACGGTAGCAATTCAAACAATGACACAATCATCGAAATGGACCGTCTCCCACCCCGCTGGGCAGACGCTTCGGATACAGTCACAGAACTCCTCTCCGATATCACCAGAATGTCTCAAAAGCTAGATAAACTACACGCCAAACACGTCTTACCGGGATTCGATGACAATAGATCTGCAGAGGAAGGAGAGATTGAACATTTAACCACCGATATTACTACGAAGTTTTATGAATGTCAGTCGGCGATAAAACGTATCGAACGGCTCGCTCAGGGTGGTACGAGGGCTGAGGAGGTTATGGCGAAGAATATTCAAATATCCTTGGCGACGAAGGTTCAACAGTCGAGTACTACTTTTCGAAAAAAGCAGGCGGCTTATTTAAAACGTACTTGACCCTTCTCTATAAGTATATGTTTAGGTATCAATACTGATTGGAAAAAAAATTGAAGGTCTCCGAGGTCTGTCAGGAATAACCCCACCGATCGAACGTTCAGGCTCTCCAAACCCAGCATTCATGTCCACCACCCTCCTCGACGAAGAAAACGACATATCCTACTCCCGCTCCGCCCTGCAACAATCCCTAACCCTAACCTCAAACGACAACGCCATCGTCCAACGTGAACGTGAAATCACAGATATAGCAAACGGCATCCTAGAACTAGCCGACATCTTCAAAGAGCTCCAAACAATGGTAATCGACCAAGGCACCCTCCTCGACAGAATAGACTATAACGTCGAAATGATGAAAACAAACGTTAAAGAAGCTCAGAAGGAATTGGTCGTTGCTAGTGGTTATCAAAAGAAGACCACGAAGAGGAAAGCCATGTTGCTGTTGGTTATTTGTATTGTTGGGGTTATTATACTCTTGACTTTGAAACCTAGGAAGAAAGGGGGGGCTGTTCCTGATGTCCAACATCCGGTTTTACCACCGAGTAAGGATCCTAATGTGCCGGGATTGATAAACCCTGGTGGTGGGAATAGGATAAATCATCCGGGTGGTGACGGCCAGACAGGCGATCCTGATGCTTCGGCTGTGCGTGCGACGATAAGAGATAGTGGACCTTATAGGCCTGTGGGATCGAATACAAAAAGGAGGATAAAACGTCGGGTCGAGAGGGAGTAGAAATGGCTGGTTTCACTCCCCCTCCCCTTAATGATTGGCGATTCTTATTTAATCACAGCTGGCCCTTGAGTTCGATACTTTAATATTTGTGATGATGGCTTAATATAGCTACCAGTAGGTTCTTTTTTAAAATCTTTTTTTAGCATGTCTGGTGTTTGGCGTCATGAAGCTTAAGAACCAATCATGTTTCCTTCGTCTCCTTTTGACCATCCTCGTTTTTTTACAAATACCATCATCAAATTTAGACTATTTAATACCACTTTAGGAGACGAACTTTTTTTGGTCTTGGTTTTATATCCAAATAGAGATTGAGTATCACGGAAGATATTATATGTACAAATGTAGGTAGTCTTTTTTCTCCATCAGCATCCCATAAATTACATAGACTGCATGAACCCAAAGAAAAAAAGAGTTCAAGAGATCAAAGCGAGTTATATCGACCGACCAGCTATGACTCTTCAAGCAAGCAAAAGACAAAAAAAGTAAAGAAAGAAAAAGTACATCTACAAGAATCACCTCTTCTTTTCCTCAACCTCCTTCTCAACTCCCTTCCCAATCGCAACCCTCACATTCTCCTCTTTTTCATCATCACTCTCCTCCACCCTACCTTCTTCACCTTCAACCGCCTCTTCCTCTTCTCTCTCCTGTTCCTCTCTAATTCTCTCAGCCTCATCCGCTTCTCTCTCCGTAATCTCCATCTCCCGTCTAGGATACTCCGACGGCGCCCCACCAAGCTGACTTTCCATCAACTTACTAAACGCCCCTTCTCTACTCGTCAACTCCGCATAAGTCCCTTCCTCGGCAACTTTCCCATTAGTGCCTAACACAATAATCCTCTCAGAACGTTTAATAGTTGATAATCTATGGGCTATTGATATTGTAGTTGTTGAACCGGCCATTAGTTTTGCTAATGCTTCGTTTACCAGGGTTTCAGATTCGGCATCTAGTGCTGAGGTTGCTTCGTCAAGAATTATGATATCTGGTTCTTTGATAATCGCGCGGGCGATGGCGATACGTTGACGTTGGCCACCGGAGAGTTGAGTTCTAATTACGAAGGTTAGTCAGTAGCTATCCGAAAATCGAGGGTCGTAGAAAAGTGAAGGGGGGATTCCTTACCCTCTGGGTCCAACATAAGTTTCCAATCCATCAGGCTACAAAATCAATTCATTAGTATGACTATGCCTGGGAAGTTACACAATATGTAGGATGGTAGACTCACGAAATCACTAATAAACTGACAGTTTGCCCGTCTTGCAGCCAGAATAATCTCGGTCCTGGTTGCCCTCGGCTTACCATAGGAAATATTCTCCGCAATAGTTCCAGAAAACAAAACTGGTTCCTGAGAGACAACCCCGATCTTTCGACGTAGAGATTTCACATTGACATCTTCTAGATCTTGGCCGTTGATAAGAACTTTACCGGAGCTCGGGCAGTAGAATCGCAGAAGCAAGGAGGAAACAGTGGATTTGCCGCCACCGCTGGGACCGACGATTGAGACTATTTTAATTTATGGTTAGTAAACAAGCAAGTAATTCTCAGATCGTATGGAAATCCTACCATTGGATCCGGCTGGGATGGAGAAATTCAGTCCGTCAAATATTGTAACTGCCGGGCGAGTAGGGTAACTAAAGACCACTGGAGTAGGGAAAAAAAATCAGACAAATAACACACTATCGTCCATGTTAATTGGTAGCTTACCATCCTCGAAAGTAATAGTCCCCTTTGCGGATATGACCTTCTTGCCCTCTGGAAAGTAAAATATCAGTACCATATAGAAAACCATGACCTTAGATATAGATGAACATACTCGTCAAAGAATGTGATGGTTCTCTATCCTGAAGTTCAAACAGACGACTTGCAGCACCGACTCCTTTCATCAATTCGGAATAAAAGCTCGAAAGTCCAAAGAGACTCGAACCGGCATATGCAGTGTACATCAAGAAAGACGTAAGCTCTCCAATAGAGATAAGCCCGTTCTTAACTTGTTGGCTGCCAAACACCAAAATCGCCAAGATTGTAACATTGCCAGCAAAACCAGTCTATTTGATATTAGTATTTGGTGTAATATGGTTGAAAGATGGTTAATCAAACATACGGTACTAAAAAAGGTAGCGCTGACTAGAGCCTCCTTAACCCCGAGTTTAAATATCTTTCGAACTTGCTTATTGTACCGGCCAACTTCCTGAGCTTCACCAGCAAAAGCCTGCGATGTTCTAACATTGCCGAGTCGCTCTTCCGCCACTTTCGTAGCATCACCGATGGACTTTTGAATTTTTCGTGAGATATTCCTGATAGTTCGACCATAGAAGAATGCACCAATACCGATAGGCGGGATCATAAGTGACATAACACCCTAGCTGCCCGTTAGAAAACATTCATCAAGAAGTAATCTACTAAAGGGTTGATGAACATACCGTCAAAGTGGCCGAAGTGTACAGCATCATCGCCAACCCTGCAGCACCACTAACAAGCGCTCTCAGGCCATCGGATAAATTTTGCGTAATACTTTTTCCAACAATAATGGTATCAGACGATAATCGGGATATTAGATCACCAACTCGGTTCGCATCAAAGAATTCGGCATCTTGGGTGTAGGTGCGTTTATAAAGCTGGGTTCGGAGACGGGTGACAATACGTTCGCCAACGACTCGGAGGAGGATGATACGGCCATAGTTTGCCATGGCGCCGATGCAAAGGACCCCACCGAGAGCGACGTAAAATTGGTTCATTGGAAGGCCAAATAGTTTCCCTAAGTCGGTCTGAGTAGCAACATCAAGGATTTTTCCAATCGAGAACCTAGACCATCATTAACATAGAACCAAGACCCAAAATTCGACGAAGCACCTACGGGATTGACATAGATATAGCCGAAGATACCAGAAGGAAGCAAAACGCAACTTTACACATGGAGTAGTGTCAGTAAAGCATCATTGGAATTTTCAATAACCCACTCATTATATTTAGACCCCAGGAAGCACAAAAGAAGAGAGACATACCTCCTAGCCATCTTGCTTCCGGCCTTGCAATCTTCAACAATCGCCATATTTCACCAAACCCAGAAAACCCACCGACAGTACCGGGATCTTTCCTTAACCGTGCGCTGAGATTAACCTGTGCAGCTTTACTAGCTTTCTCTGACCGTCCAAATTCTGTCTTATGCAAATCGTCTTTTGGATCCGTATTTTCTTCGTGCTTTTGGTGATGATGCTGGTTGGTTGTGTAACGATGTGAAGTGGAAGAGAAAGACCTTATAGCATGCCGAGTAATCTGTGAACGTTTTTGAAACCCAATTGACCGAAATATCCGACTTTCATTATTCGAAAGAGATCGTGATTCCCATCCCACGTGGTTCTGCCGCGTGCAAAGCCCACGAGCCGGTGCCTTTATGTGTCCAACAACTCGACTGGGTATCGACGGGTTAACGGCGGGTATAGATCGGGTGAGCGGCGATATTAAACTTCTAAACGAACATTGTGATACAAAGAGTGGAGATTTCGATGCGTGCAATATGCACCCCGCGAACGGACGTGGAGCGGGCAGCATAGAGGGCTGCTTGTTTTTATGCGGGGTGCGCTGCCCGTAGTAGCACCCGGCGTGGAATTATATGGGAACTATGGTTCGATATTCAGACGACGTTATTTGTGTGGCTCCAATTGATCGAGTTTTTATTTTATTTTATTTTCTTTCTTTTGTAGATTTCTAAAACTTCGAAATACGATCATATGAAAGATGGGAGAACGGACTGAGATGGTGATAGAAGATGTTAAGGTTGGATCATCGGATAGTAGACTCGCGCGGTTCGGACATGCTTTTTAGATGCCGTTTAGATCGTACGCATTTAATGCGTATGCACTGTGCTCGGAGTAAAATCGTGACCGACTTAGAACGGCGGCATCGGATCTAGCAGAGCTACAAACGTTAGCGAAATGCAGCAACATACCGCGCACGCAATCATGATGTCGTCGAGTGTAAACTGACTGACTTACCAAGTATGATGCTTCGAATTCGGGTTGACTGTAAAAATATATCGGGGACTGGTCGAGGGTGGTGATATTACCGAGGGATGTTTTCTTGTTCCAGGTCCAGACCAGATTGAGACCAGTTTAGTGCCCAGACGATTATAAAGATAATTTCCGGCGCGAGTTCTCCACGAAGGCCGAAGACGACCTGCTTGTTTCTGCATCAGCCAAGGTCGGTCTCCAATCAACCCACCCCGCTGTGCCCCACCAACACAACAAGCCCGTATCACATCCCCACTTACATCACCATCGTCATCACCAGTACCATCACCATCATCAAGTAACAGTACTGCTGAATACCCTCAAAGGAGGAAACCGCCAAAATGGTCATCGACTATTCAAAATGGGACAACCTCGAGATCTCTGACGATTCCGATGTCGAAGTCCACCCCAACGTGGACAAGAAATCCTTCATCCGCTGGAAACAGCGTGATATCCACGACAAGCGTGAACAACGTTCCCAAACAAAAGACCACATGAAACTCGAACACCAAATGAACGATCGTTTATTATCTCGTATCGAAACTCTTCACAATGCTTTGAAATCCCATATCGAAAGCTCTGAAACTAAAGAAGGGACGCCCGAGGAATTCGTCCTCCAAACACTCTTGGATACTACCACGCCTGAGGATCTGCAGAAGGCCCAGGTTCTTGGGAAACCGGATCCTAATGCTCCCACTTATGCTGAGATGTTGACAAAGTTGGCGGATAAGGTCTCGTCTGAAATTCCAAAGAACGCGGCTGATAGATGGAAGGCATTTGAAAAGGGTATCTTGGGGTTCAAGAATGAGTTGAAGACAAGAAATGATGCTAGCAAAGCTGAGTTAGAAAAGATGGAACGGGAAGACTCCAGGAAGATTACCTCGCAGGGACTAAGAGACGGCTTCAATACGACACATGTGGCGAAGGCCGACCCTACACCACCACCTGCCCCAGAGTCATCCAAGAAAGCAGGAAAATCAAAGATCGAAACCGTCGAACTTCTCAACTCTGGCTCTTCAAAGCCTAGCGGGTTTGATTCTCTATCTTCGGGTGCCGAAGCAGACATCGATGAAGAAGATACCGACGAAGAGTCAGAGTTCGATAGACAGCATCACGCCACAAAACTAGGCAAGGATTTTGGCAAGATCAAACCATCGGATCTACGTGCGAGTGCAGAGTTCATCGCCAAGAATCCCACTGTTCTAGCAGAACGAGAATCGGATGGACTTCTGATCGAAGCCTTCAATGCTCAAATTGACGGAAAGGATACATTGACAAAGCAATATGTCCACCAGGCTCTTCTGCTTCAGTACTGCAGACAACTAGGTGGCAGCTCAAACGCAGTCCAACTGTTCTTCAAAAGAATCACTACCCCAAACCATACTGCCCAAGCAGCGTTCTTTAATGATGTTAATGACACACACTTCAAACTCAAGGGCCGTGCTATCGAAATTGCCAAGGAGAAGGGTGAGACGAAGGAAGTTGAACAAATCCAACTACATGCAGTTGACCCGAACCAACAAATATACATCGAAATCCCACCCAAGGATTCAGATGATCCGCAACTCAAAGAGGCCCGCCAGATTTTTGAGACTTTTCCTCCAGGATTTCAGAAAGCTCTTGAGACTAAGGATCTTGATAAGATCAATGTTGTCCTAGGAAAGATGTCTGTAGATGAAGCCGAGGAGATTGTTGGAAAATTGAGTGAGGTATGTACAAATATCAAGACATATCAGACAACCTACTGATCACTTCTACTATGCAGAGCGGAATGTTGAGCCTAATCGAAGAAATCATCGACTCAACAACCGAAGAAGGCCAGGCAAAACTTGCTGCCCTCGAAGCTGAGAAGAAAGATAAAGGAAAACAATCCACCCTTGCTGGTGAAACCATCAAGGAAGAGGAGGAGTATAACCCATTGGTCGATGAAGTTGATTAAGCATCTATTGCACCCATACTACCACAGAGTCCCTCTCTTCATCTAATTGCGCGGATCTGCAGCGCTGTATTTTAAGTTTATCAAGTGGATTACTAAGTACCAGAATCAATTTGGAGAAAATGACCTAATAGTCTAGAATGTAAGGGCGCGAGGGAAACGCCATGATACCAATCTAACATACCCCATGCGTTCCATCTTCCTATTGAATCGTTAGATGTGTAGTGATCTATCGCTCTGCTGAAAATCACCAACTAGAGTTCCCATGATTGAACGCCAGCCTTCCTTCTTCCAGAGCACTCGAAAAGACAAGCAATGTCATAACGCTTCAAAGACAATACCATATACCCCAAATTAAAAACCCAAAATCGAAAAGAAAACCTAAGATGTCCATATATATAAAAGTATAATCCTCACACGCTTAATAAAAAGCTCGCCGCACTCCCAGCCGCCAACCCAGCAACCAAACAAAGCCCCATAAACCCTCCAGCCGCTCCACTCTCCTCTTCCGGTACCAACTGCGGACCCAACATCATAGTATTACTCCCCACATACCCATTCGTCAATCCAAACGTGAACTGCACCAGTTCGTAAAAGAAATCACTCTGAACCTTCGCCCCTCTTCCTTTAATATTCCCCAACCAATAGAGTGGAACGTAAACAACCCTCACCGTCGCAGCAATCGCTAGAATCTTGGGATTCGTACACGCGATCTTTGGGAAACCGCAGATAACACGGCCGATTAGATCGCCAGTGTTCCAGATGAGGAATGAGAATGGGATGAAGACCTCTGGGCGGGAGAGGACGGATGACGACGGTGGGTTTACAGATAAGGTGGCTTGTGTGAAGACCGGGAAAACCATTGTCAATGCAAAGTTGAAGAAGATGGTATAGGCGGGTAGTGGGAGTTTTTTGATGAGAACCAATAGTGATAATGTTGCTTTAGGTTCGTTTGCTTCCGGTTCGCCGGCTGTTTGGTGATTCGAGCGATGGAACCTTTCCTTATGACGGGATAGTAGGACAATGAAAAGGGACAATGCGAGGCAGGAAACCGCTGTTGCGGTCAGGAAGTATACAAACGCAGATTTTGGTGATGCGGATGCAGATTTATCTTCCTGGCTTTCGGGGGCTTTGGACGGTATCGCCAAAACCGCCACCATCTGCGCGATAGACGGTAGAACACCCGCTACACCTTGTCCGGACATGACACCCTGTGTATATATCGGGTCGAAACTACCGACATAAGCAAACAATCCATTTTGAAAGAACCCAGCTGATACAGCGGTTCCTAAGACCATGAGGAGGGTAAATGATAGGTATACGCCGGCAGATATGCTGGTAAATGATACTGTAGATAAAGCGAATAGGATAAAGACGACACTGTTGAGAATCAGAGCGATTATAATGCGGCGAGGGTAATGTGCGCTTTTCTGGAGATATGAGAGGGCGAGGGTCGTAATCAATGTAGCGCCTGTCGATACGGTCATAATAGAAGATTGGAAGTTATCCAAAATGGTTTTGTTCTGTCGATTTTGAAGCGTTAGCACCGCGTCTACATAAGATAATGGATATATTAGAGGATATATTAGAGGAACTTACATCTCTAAACCGCATCTGAAAGTATCTAAACACCAGTAACCTCCCGTTAGTCCCATACCTTTGGTTTCCGATAATATTAATAGAAGTATATGAACTACTCACGCAGCTGCTGCCAAAAAACAGTTCCACGCCCATAACATTGCAACCCCAAGTACCAAAAACACCGTGTAGTCAAACCATGATATCCGCTGCCGCGTGCCTAATAAATTCTTATTCCCTCCCGGCGGCAACAGCACAGTCGACGAAGACATCGATGGCGGATCATAGTCCGCATCCGTATCGTCTAGCTCTCCATTTTCTGGTGCTAAGGGCGTATAATCGACGGGTGCCGTCGACTGCCGTGTGCGGAATACGTCCAATATTCGGTCCATAGTTTGTCGTGTGCTAAGTTTCAGCCTTGAATCTTCAAGGATCTAAGGAATGTAAGGTGGATAAAGTTGAAATGCGGAGAAGATACTGAGTACTGGTATGTGTGGTTTTATGGCCGGAGCTTTCGCGTTCGGAACTCGTCCGTTCCTAAGGTTATTTTCGCGCAGTGTCGCAGCTGACCACGAAGCGACCCCTGATGACGTTGGAGTCCGTGAGCTTCGGGTGTTGGACATCTGTAGTTACGCCAAATACAGGATCTGGATCGGATTCGGCAGGGATGTTTCCCGAATGACCAACAGGGACAGGCATCCCTGCTATTGTCAGAGTTCACGTGACACTTGTGGAACCATCATGGCTCGGCTCTGTGAGCGACACTGCACTGAGCAGCGCCACATGGTCACCGTGCCGCATCTGTGCGATATCAATCTATTTTGCCGGCCGGTTCGTACAGATAATTTTCAGATAATTTTCATTAGTCAGCATTACATTTGTACAAGTTTCTAAATACACTGCTCTACGCTGGCAGGAAGTAATAAGAAAAAGAGAAAGAAGTGACTAGCCATGGAATAGATGACACCACCAGGTGATGGTGGAAAGAATATGAAGGAGAGAAAAGAAAGGCAATAAAGAAAGAAAGAAGAGAAAAAACGCCTTCAATGCTCAGATCGAGAGGTCTATGTCCACATCTACAATATATCTTACCCCAACCGTATCAAAAATGGTCGTTAAACGTCCCCTGTCGTTGCGTCGTGATGTTGATCTAGTAGATTCCCTGTGTTCGGTACTGGAAAGTATCGTACATGCGGGTATAGTAACTATGGAATGTGCATTAGTTGAGAGAAACAAATTATTTGTGGCGGTGGGGCCGAAGTACCTTCCAATGCTCTTCGCTATCATGTCGTTCTCAACAAAAGCTTCGGCTTCATCCTGGCTTAGATGCAACTGAAACCTGGCTCTCAATGCACCCACAACCTGGACTACACCAACTCCAAAGCACGGCATAGCAGACTCTTTGCCCATGATTTCGACCATCATAATGAGATTATCAGCCGTCTTTCTTAGGGCTATTGAAGATGTTAGTTGATAATCATACGCCAATCTATAATGGGTAAACGACGAACCTTGGAAAGCCTTCTTGCACAATGTTTTGAAAACCAGAAATTGTTCAGAATGGGCACCCCCTAGCAGCTCGACGTACTCGTACGTCAACTTAAATGGAGCTGCTTCGAATCCCATTGATCCTGGGGAATTAGACAACAAGAAACCGAAATCGATATGAATGATATCTTCGCCTTTGTCAGTTTACACATTCAAATGTAATTTTTAGGTGTGGTGTACTCACGGCCTTCGTTATCAACAAGGATATTTCCATTGTGTCGATCCTTTACTTGAAGAACATAACAGATGATAGAGTATGCAGCAAGAGATTTAGTGAACGCATCGAGTGCATCCTTGTACGGCTTTGAATCTGTTTCACCAAATGTCTACAGGCTGTTAGAGTAAATTCCAGGACCATTTCTTCGAAAAATCTCACCTTCTGCCAATGATCCTTCAGGGTTGCAAATTTCCCCCTCGGGTTCTTTCCCGCTGCCATAGAAGCAAGCGTCAAACTCCGTTTCAAGGAGTGTAAAGAGACACCATTAGTAATAGTCTCGATGAGTCCGGATGACTACAAATCCAATTAGTATTTGACCTGTGATGATGATATATTATATCTTACCTCTCCAGTAACAAGGATCCTCATCTGCCGCACCCAAACATCGACATTCGCATTTTCCCAAACCCTTCCACAGAACTGAATGAGTTGGCATGCAAACATCTCCTGCCGTAAATCGCCCCCCGTTTTAACGATGACACTCAAAAGATCCCAATTTTTATAGAGTCCATATGGTGATGACTTCCTGATACGCTCCCTTTTCGCACGCCACTCTTCGCCAAAAGTAGCCGCGCTAGGGTCATCCTTATCTCCACGTCTAGCGATACCCGCGGTCTTAGAGTCGTTTTCCATCCTAGCTTCACCGGCTTCCGTGCGTATCTTTTCTGTAGTAGACCCTTCTGCAACAGAAAGGGCTTCAACAGCTTCCGTTGCAGCCTTGGCATCCATCATGGTTTCGAAATTAGATATCGGTTCCTCGTAGAAGAAACTTTGCTCTTCCAACGCCTGCATACTGGCGATGATCTTTGCTTTTATAGCAGAGACTTCGTCTTTCGGCCGTTTAGAGCTGCTAGCCTCTAATTGTGACAACATGTGAGCGGCTGTTCGCATGTGAGTAGCTAAAGCAGAAAGCTCCGCTTGATCTGTTTTGCTGGAACCAGGAGAAAAGGGAGTCGAGCGCCTAGGTATGGGGCTCTCAGATCGTCCTTCGGGGCCCGATGATCGTGGAGTAGCTACTGAAGAAACGGAAGACAACGTCGCAGCGCCACTGGATAGTCTAGGGACCGCGGAAATCGGGCCTTTCGGAACAGCGTTGGGTTCAACGCTTGGCCGTGGGGTAACATCGTCAAAGCCATACGTCGCCATCATCGGTGAATTGCTTATATCGCCCGAAGCTGGCTCATAAACAGAATCGGCATTCGTATCATCGGCCGGCCTTTCATCCCTTTCAGCAACTCTGGTCGCATCTGATAAGTCAAATATCCTTCGCTTCGATTTTCCCTCGTCAGAGTGCTGCGCTGCTATAATGGCCTGGTTTGCTTTGCTGTTGGGATCGAAATCAAAGTCGTTTAGTAGCACCTCTACCATTATCAAATAAGGCACTCGCTCAGCGCTGTTTAACACAGTAGCCTCAGCTGGGTTTATCCTCACTATCCTATGGTGGGAGGAGAGGTGACCCTCCTTGGATTCCGACTCTGCGATGCAAGGTAAAATAACTGGAATATCAACTTCGGCAGGCAAGTCATTGTTAAGAAGTGCAAGTTCGGCCCTCAAAGCACTGAGACGAGCAGGTTTCGGGACGGGAATTAGTTTGTTTGATATGCCTTCCAGCGCAGATAAAAATTGCGTCTCAGAGTGAAAATAGTTTGTCCGCAAGAGGTGAACCTTTTGCTTCTCCGTGAGCTCGACATTTTTCTTCGAGTGAGACCTGGAAGTCTTATTTTCCCTTTTCTTTGTAATTGGAGGCGACAAGAGATCGGGCTCTTCGTTCGGGAGCCTCAAATCGGGCATGGACGTCGAGTTCGTGGGGACGGGAACAATGTCAAGATTTTTCGAAGCTGATGTAGAGCTAGATGGTTTGTACGATTGCCGACGGCTGGTGCCACTAGCCGAGGACGTTCTCCTGGGCGAAGGGGGTATCGATTTTCCGGATTTTGGTTGTTCGGTGTCGGGAGTAGTGGGTTCTGTCCGAACCAATTCAATCTTGGATGTCGATTTCGAACTTTCGGGTCTTCTTCTCCTCGCTCGTATTGATCCGGATGTCGTTGCGCCGACAGTCTTACTACGGCCGAGCCTCGGTGACGGCAAGGGTGTCTCCGAGATTGTGAGTTCGGGTTTTGGCTGCTTCCTAGCTTGTGCAATAGCTATCGGGCCGGCGTAGGCAGGAAGCAAGGGCATGGCAATTCCAGCAAGGACGAGGCCAGCGAGTATGGTGACGGGGAAGACATGATTCTGGATAGGATCCCGCTCTCCCGCTTGGGTCGAGCCAAAGACAATGTGCTGCACCTTGTTATACACCCGTCGACATGTCTATACCAGTCAAGTTTTAGTATTTCTATTCCGCTGCATGATTGGCATATCGGATAACCCACCTTGAAAGCATTTGATTGCGGATCTTTGGCTAGATCATGCAGATGGGTCTGAAATAGCCAGAATGTCTGCCACCCAGGGATAACAATCAGCGACGTTCATATCAAAAGACTGCAGGCGAGACGAACGATAAGAGCACCATGCGCATTCCTTTCACAAAGCTCAATGACAAGCTCCTCCAAAGCGACACTCTCGATGTCGTTAATGCTGACCAACAGATGACACAACTGCGGTATATAAAACTCTATCTGCTCATAGCTGAACTGACGTAGCTTATGGCAAAGATAGTGATGTATACCGATTTGGTTGGGATATCGCCTACGGATGTTACTTTGTTAGCGTAATCCGGGGTTCGATCGATGTGATATTATATTCGGGCGGAGTGCTAGTGCACTGTCACAAGTGCAATTGCAAGCAAGCAAGCATCGTGACATACTGGAGATATGCAACAGCCAAGAAGGGGTCGTTGTTAAAATGGTCGCTTTGGAAGAACCGGAGAAGCAGATCCCGCGATGACATCTATCCGGATGTGGTGTTCCCCCATCCACAGGGAAACATAAAAGGGAGGACCGCCGCGGCTCTTGAGCTTCGTGGAGTGTAACAGAGCTGAGCAGTAGCGGAGGGGCGGCGGTAAAGTTAAGTTGGGTGGATGTGTGTGAGTATATGTGTTGGAACTCGGCTCCCGGCAGGCAGCAGGAGCTAGAGAAGGGAAACCTGGGCCAAGATCGATAACGATGTCTCGCCCCCGTGAGCGTAGGCGCCTGTTGGCTATGGCTATGAATATGGCTATGACTATGGTTTACGAGATAGGATGGGACTGTTTTCGAACCGTCGGGGCTTGTAGGGTAAAAGTCGGACCGTCAGATATTCAGGGTATGTCCGCACTGCAACTTACCCCGTCGTTAGTGGGCCGTTCTTTCTGTGTAAAGTATCCTCAAGAGCTAGCGCGCTGCCAAGGAATTAATTAATAAAGCTCTGAGGTTCCGGAGCCGAAGGGCTGCTCCAACCATCCCAAGTCAGTGGAATCGATGCCCCGATTGCCGATGTTGAGATTGATTGATTCGAGCGCGAATTCGAAGGTCTAAGTTGTATCTGTCCTCTCCATTCCCTAGTAAATACTGCATTCATGGTTGCATATCAATTGCGAGTGAAGCAACAGGTAAGTACTATTCATGTGTGAGATCCATGTGGCATTTGATTTCGATCCGCCGAATAGCTATACCAAACTAGGACCATACCGTGCAGGGCATGGTTATATGCTTGTTACTCGGAGAGGACTTCCGTTCTCCGAATTTAACATGAAGAAATGGCCTCAACGAGCTATTACCATCGGCTTTCTAATTCTATAAATACTTCTCGTATGTAGTATATATGTACTTGTAAAAACTAAGATAAAATATCCTCGGAGATTTAAATCGGCAATAGAATCCCCGAAAAATCTGCCTTGCCCACAGATGCGCACGCCTAAAATTAATATTTATATCCTATAACCCCATCTGTATATAGAAATGAAGATTCAGTTCGTACGGCCAACGGTCGATATTATTCCGTGTGTCAGCATCGTCAATTAAGGATTCGTTTTCCCAATGTCAGAGCTTCAGATATTGCACCCGCCATTATTTCCAGTCCTTCCTCCCGCTGCAGCATGTTCGCCCCGATAAAGGCTTGGACAACGGGCCATGCATGTATCGTCGGTTTCTCTGTAACCCGGAGTCTGACAGATTTGATCTTTTCGAATTTGGAAACAAGGGATTTGATTTCACTTGTAAAAACCTCCTGACTCCCGTAGACCATGTGTATCCCATGTACGGGTAGGGCTTCCTCCCACCAGCCCATGTCCTGGCATAACCCCGGCGACTTGTAAGGGTCGTTCACATCCCCACCATTTGCATAAGATACCCCGAACTTGTGCAATTGGTTGGCGTCCAAAAAGTCGTTTTCAGTGTTCTTATTCTGGGATGACACAAGGACAGTCCACGGAGATATAAGAGTCGCGTAACTGGGCCGTCTGAGGTAGGAAGCTTCCCCGGTTCCGCTGTCTTTCCGTGGCCTTGCTAGGTGTAATAGTAAACTGAGGGCAATATTCCCTCCGGCACTGTCGCCACAGACAACTATTTCCGCAGCCGGGGCAAGCTGGTGTACAACTTGGTACCCTTTGTGTGCCTCGTTTAGTTGGGTGGGGAACTTGGCGTCGGGTACCAATGTGTAGTCAAGAGCAAAGACGGCTGGGTTCTTGAAACCTGAAGATCGAAGCTTAAAGGCCCATGATATAAGGAATTCTAGATAGAAGTACGGAGATCCCATAGTAAAACCCCCTCCTATTCAGAGAAACCGCAATTCGAGTAAGTTGACCTTTTTCTTTGTTTTTTTCTCTTAATTTCTTGAGGGTTGAACGTTCGAGCAGGACCTTTATCTTGCTCCTGTAGAAGATCATTTAGTGATACATACCGTGAATATAGTAAAGAACAACATCGGGTTCAGAATCTTCGAAGGTCTTCACCCAAAGGCCTCGAGCACCATCTTGATCGATCTCTTTCGGGTTCCAAGAAGGGACGCTCCCCGGCAATATACCGTGCCTCAACAATCGAAATTTATAAAAGGGCATCACCACCTCCCCTTTAAAGAAAACTCTACCGATATCGCTTGGCAGATTTGCAAATGAATATTTAACGAGGCGAATAACAAGTTCCTGGAAGAAAGTAGAGTTGTTGACAAATTCGGGACGCTCATTTTTGAATAGGAGTATATGATCGTGAAAGATTAAAGATGGTAACGTAAATACTAGAACAGATAAATAAAAAAAATCCGGGATAGACGTTAGTCCTTAATATAGTTTTCTAGAGCAAATATCTTCCAGTCTGCCCAGTGTCGAGACCAACTGCTTCCAGTATTCTGGGTGTTCAAAAATGCAACAATATATGTGTTGTTAAGGTTCCTACCAAAATATGGAATGGCGGTGAACAGCCATGATATTACTTTAACAATCCCAGCATGGGGATCAATAACAAGCTGAGGAATAAGGAATCCGACAAATACCAGGCAGTCAAGCCATGATACCAGTCCGAGGGCCTTGTGCATAGCTCGGCAGGCTGTGCAACTTTGTACCGGCGGTGATTCGAGTCGAAGTTAATTGAAACGTCGCACGAAGCAAAAGAAAGTACTCAGTTAGATGTTGACGATAGGTGTAGTAATGAAAGGAATAAAGAGAAGAAGAAGCTCTTAGAGCAATTCTTCGGAACTCATGTTATAAGGTTATAGAATAATAAGCTCGTGCCAGTCTTCCTAGCCAAGTTTCGGCATTTACGTATGTCTTAAGATCATTATCGATTCGCCACGAGGCTCGTGATCCCTGGAGATATAAGCGACTTCTGCCACAGCGAATACGAAATTTGCGAAATACTTTCACTGTGAGAAAATCCGACCTGACATTGGGACAGGATAGCAAAATCGCAATTTGCTTTTGACATTAGCCGTTTAAATTCCTCGCTTTGAAACTTTGGTTATGAAGGCCTGAACGGTGGTTTTGCTGTGATCCCGCGTTGCAATTGGGTGACGCGTTTTAATTGCTGATACCGCGGGAAGAAAATTTAATTGGCAAAAAAGTTCATCAGACGACAATCCTCCTTCAACGTCACTCCATCCTCGAAACACACTCGCGATCTCTCCTCTCTAACAGCGTCAACGGTCGAGCCACACCCCTTTCCATCGTCGTTTCTTCGATATCTGTGCTTTTGAACTGCGTTTTTGATACTCCGTTTTTCGTTTAAGCGTTTTGAATCCACCTCTTCGTCACGAATTTCCTTGGCCGTTTTATTCTCGTCAGCCTTCTTCAGAAACGGATACATCCCAATCGCTGGTCCAAAACCAATTTAGAAACTGTCGACCTTACTTTCTTTCGATAGATCTCGCATCAAATACCCTGGCAATCTACATTCTCGGGGCCAATGGCCTTACTTTAATACTCTAATCGCTCAATTGCCACCCACACTCTACTCCATCCATACCAACCGAGTACGCGCCGGTTCTCCTCTCCGGCATGGTCGCCAGCAAACAATCGTCATAACTCGAAACACTCGATTTATCCTACATCACTCGATATTTTCCGTTGGTCATCGCCAAAATGACAGCTAGGTATGATGAATCGGCATGCCACAGCTCTTCAGGATCCAATTGCTCACGATGGTAATCAGTAGTCTCTCGATCCCACTGGAGGAAATTCCAGTCCGCCTTCGATGTTCCATGTGCAACAATCTTGCACAGGATGCTTATCGGCTCCCATGCTGCGAACAGTCAATATGTGGTAGCTGTATGTCTTCTAGATTTCATTTCGACTTAGGTTGAAAAACTGCTAACACCTAATCTTAGGTCAATCGAAACTTCCTACCGTTTGCAAAATCTGCGATCATTCCCCGTTAGACGCAGCTGAGTGCAAGGTTTATGCCTCTCTTCGGACTACTGTTACGATATTTCTGCGAACCGCAGAAAAGAAGTATGGGTCATTGGCAAAGGCGAAGAAGGAAGCTACACCTACTCCACAAACTCCCGTCGAGAAGCCTGCAGATCAAGCTGCAACCGCTGTAGCGCCGGAAACTACGAGGGAAGTTTCGTTGCCCGCTCAGGCGGACCAGGAAACCCCAACAGGGGGGTCTGAAGATAAGGAAACACCAAAGGTTAGACACTCTCCCCATTAAATCGGCCCCCAGACTACGATTCTAACGGTGTATGTATAGCTGGAAGAGAAGAACAGCACATCTGCCCCTGAAAACGGGCAAGACGAAGCTGAGGGCGCAGCAAGCAATCAGAATACGCAAGGAACTAGCGATGGGACAAATAGTCAGAATCAAGGAGGGCAGTTCTGGAACAACCAACAGGGAATGAACCAGTATCCAGACCAAAGCGGTCAGTATCAGGGGTACAACATGGGATGGAACGGATATGACCAATCCTCTGGCTATGGGATGCAAGGCGGATGGGGGGGTAACAACATGCCGAATATGATGGGTAAGCTAGAATCTCCAGCGATGTTATATTGAGAATAAGTAATTAGCTAACACCAACTTCTAGACCAATCAGGTACCATGAACTCTTTTAATGGAATGCAGTCCTTCCCAGATGGCTTCAACGGGATGGGAAACATGAATATGGGGTATGGATACGGTCAAGGTAGCTATGGGAACTCTGGGATGGGAATGCAAGGACAAGGCAATTGGGGAAACGGTTGGAATATGCAGAATGGATTAGATGGATCGAGCTTCAATTCTTCTGGCATGAACGCTGGTTTCTATCCCGGTGCAGGTGGATATAATCACCAGTCTTCTTATGGAAATCATCAATCCCAACAAAATCAGATGATGCCTCATCAACAATTCCAGTCTCGTGGCTACCACCACAATCAATACCGTAATTACTCGAACCAGAACATGCGTGGGAACTATGGGCAGCAACAGCAGTTTGGAGGACCGCCGCGAGGCAACAACAGGAACTACGAGCAACAGGCTTCTGGTAATGATGTCCCCGGTGCCTCCCACGGTATTAATGGGGATGTCCCAGAACAAAATGCCGTCGCCGTCGATGGAGAGCCCCCGCAAACCAACTCGAGAGCTAGAGGTGATACTGAGAAGGTGTTGGTTGGTGAAGTATCTGACGAACAAGACAGGAATAAGGATTTCCAAGAAAGCATTAGTAGTGAGACCAATGGTGCTACAAATGCTATCTCATTGATTGATATCAGGGGTGATTCTCAAGCCACAGAGTCCACTGATTCACCAGGTACTGTAGTTAAGGAAAATCCATATCAAACTCCCGCTGGAGATGTAGAACCGCAGCCACAGGCTCCCGTAAACGCTCCCACCGGACCAAGGGCTATGAGGGAGCGCAGCGAGAGAGGTAGAGGTAGAGGCCGCGGCGGTTTCTATGGGGGCAGAGGCGGTTTCCATCAGGCCCAAATCGCAGGAAGGTGAGTAATTTTTGGCAAAAATATCTTGACACCACCGACAACCCTCATGACACCACTGACGATCGGAATTCTAGTGACGATACCTCCGCTAATCATCTGCGAACTGGATCCATAACTTCATCCGGCAAGAATGGCGCCGCCATCGGCCCCGAAAGTGACTACGATGATGCATCTAGACGACAATCCAAAGTCGACGACGCACAATTTTCGCCCGTAGAGTCGCGGAGAGAGCAAGAATCGCATGATCGAGACAGAAAACGCAGTCGTTCTCGGTCTAAGTCTCGGACCAGGAGGCACCGACACCATAGAAGCCGATCTCGCAAGAGGAGCTCCAGCCCACGTCAGAGCAGAGTTACGTCTAGGGACCGAACTCGCTCTCGTTCAAAGGACCGCAAACGTCATCGCGACGGAGATAGAGACAAAGATAGGGATAGGGAGAAGGACAAACGAGAAAAGGAGTCTAGTCGATCCCACCGCAGTCACAAGAGTTCATCACATAGGCACCGACGGGATCGTTCCAGAAGTCGAAGTAGGGACAGAAAAGATGCTAAAGAAAGGGATGAAGCTACAGGAGACGTTGACGCAAAGGACACGGAGAAAATATCTGAAGTGGATTCGAAATCTAGACATAGAGACAGGGATCACGATGATCGACGGAAAGACAAGGACGGGAATAGAGATGACAGGAAGAGGGATAGCGACAAGAAATCCCGCAAACGTTCTCGAAGCCGGCACAGAAGTCATGGGCATCACAAACGAAGTCGTGGAGACGACGAGGAAAGAAGCGACAGGCATGGCGACGACCCTGACCGGAAATCCAAGAGTTCCCGATCTTCCAGAAGACATTCAACCAGATACGAGGACGAGGAAACTGCGGCTGAGCGGGAGAGACGAGTAGAGAGGGAACGTGAGGAGGAACGATGGGGCAAGCGTTGAATGGACATGGACATTTACACCTTACGCTATACGGCTATGTTGAGGGGTCCTGAGAGCTCTCGGTTCATACAATCGTGCGATCACAAATCTTCCAGATAGGTAGAACAGTATATTTGGCTATTTGCATAGATTAACTCTACAAGCCCCCCTCTTCTACCCTTTTCTTTTTTTTCCCCTCCCTTTCTTCTCCCATTTCCTGTACACAATTATAGTGAATTCGAACAGGTATGAAGCCGATAGTCTCGTAAGACGACGCCTAAATTGGCTACAAATGTAAGGGTTCGACGCTTTGTCGGGACGATAGACGAAGCGACCCAGGAAAAATAAAAAATAAAAAATAAAAAAATTATACTACAACGTAGCTGCCCCCGGAAGCGGTCAAGGTTCCCTTCGAGACTAGATAGTCGTCCGCACATGTGGGGGATGATATCGCCAAAGTGGTGTCGAGGCATGATGCATGACATGATATTATTACCCAGCATGCCTATAGAAACATACCCGGGTTTTTCAGATCTCGCACTAGGTGAGTAGGATTACGGAGAAAAATATCCCTTCCATCCATGCGGCCATATAAACGCCCAGTAAAACATGAACAAAGCAACCGTTCGAGTAAGGCCTGCCCGCCTGGCCTGCACGCATACGATGCCGTAGCTGGGCAATATTATTAATTAATTATTCAGGCAAGCTTGCAAGTTTTCAACGAACAGACTTGGAGTTGTAAAAGGTTAAAGTAGGCATGCAGGCTCTTGAAAAATAAACCATGCCTATAGTTTTTCTGCCATGGTACGGGAATATGTCACAATGTAAGTCCATGCGAATATAACAATAACAATGATAATTAATATTTTCGACTGCTACGGCTATGGCTACGGCCACAGTGCAAGTTGTGTGTGCGCCTTGCCGGCTGGTTCCCCAACCCGTCCAAGCCATCAAGAACGAGAAACAAAAAGGCTAGTTCCTATGAAACCCGCAAACACAACCAGGTCACCCTTGCCGCATCGACGTAACAGTGGAAACGGCGGCTGATCTTTTGTCCCAACTTCGGCCACGAACAGAAGGTAGCCGTCAATACCTCGAAATCGGTGCTAGCTTCGCCGATAACGAAGTCGAGGGAAGGATGGACGGGTGTACCCCTCAGCTTGACTTTCATGAGATACTCTTTCCCCCTCACCCCCCAAGAGGATGATATCTCGAGTTCCCCCGTTTGCAGCTCCGAATCCCTCTTGGCCGGTGCTCCATTGAGGAATTTATCGTGTCGCTGATATGATCTTTGCCAGGATCAGGCATGTATGCCTTCCTTTGGATCAACGGCTCAAGGAAAACCTTCTTACAGCGGTAAACCGAGAATAACCTCACACGGGTTATAAATTAAAGTCCAGACCAGGTTTCAACAACTATGCATGAGATGCGAAAGAAAAATAAAAAAAGAATGAAAATAAAAATAAACAAAAATGAAAACGAAAATAAGTGAAAAAGAAGAAGAAGAAGAAAAATCATATGGTCGAGAGCAAAAAAGAAAAAAGGAGGTGTACATACATGTATGTATGTAAGTAAGTATGTACCGTGTATGTATTATATTAGACAGGAGCAACAGAAAATGGGCCAAAACTCCGAGCGCACACGATCGTAGCCGAAAAGTTTTGGGGTTTTCCTTCTGTCTTGTGCTTTTTTCAAAAACGGCCTAAAGTTGAATGTGGAAGAGTTTCAAAAATTCAAAGACGTCTCATGACCCGGTTCGCATCCGACATTTTCAATGCAGGTAATATAATACTATCAAGATTGAATTCGTGAGGTTTCGTTCCGTCCCTCGATTTCAAACTTTCCCGGGATAACCTTGCTCGAAAAGACATCGACAGTGGATTATTCATGGCTGGTGTCGTCCATATGATTGGGCTCTCGGGTAGAAGTAGCTAGATGTACCCCATTTTTAAATGAGGAAGCATAAGCTCGAGATCATGTCGCGGCGGAATGGAAAATATTATTAGTAGCACGCACGTATCAGGACTTTTCGATCAGATGAATATTTATTTTTCTTTCCTTTCTTCCTTGGTCGAGCTCGACAGTTTTCGAAAGCAAGAAGAAGAAGAAAAAAGGAATATCGGGACTTTCGGCCAGCTGGCTTCAATTCAAATTACGGGCAAAGGCTTGTAAGGAGAAGGTTAGAAATCCCAAGATTTGGGACACCTTAAGCTTTCCTGTCTGCCTGGAACTCGAACGATAGAGAATGCCTCCTCCTTCCGTTTGTAGAGGCTCACGATATCACCACCGGTGACCATAAACGAGAACACGGGAACACTTTTGAGAACCAAGATATTCGCAATTGTCATTGCCTGGCTAAGATGGATTCCTAACAGCGATACGCTGTCACAAGTATGAAGGCACCACCGGCACCCTAGCTTTCTCCGTCTCTAACTGGATGACTTGTACTTTGGGGTTATCTCCATGGATCCAAATCAATGTAATAGGCAAGATCGCAAGCACTAATATAATATCAGGCCAACTAGAGCGCCTCCCAAGTATCAAGTATAAGGTAGTAACTCTGGTATAGTAAACTTTATGTCGGCCGGTTTTATAAGCAGATCCCAAACTTAGGGAAGGTCAATCGCTAAGCGGCCCTAAGAGCCCCACTTTTGCATCTTCGTGCTTGCAATTCTGTGGCCATTGAAGCGGTTAAAGCTATATGGTCCGTGGAGGTCCCATACATAACCCATATACCAGGGCTGTTGAGAGTGGGGAAATCCGTGTAATTATAATATAGAATGTGTGAAAAGAGTATACGGGCCCGATATTGACGGAAGTTTTTGTTTCTGTTTTTCCCATAAGCCCCCTTCAGGCCACTGCACTTGTTTGTTTAAAACATAGCATTTTGGGGCATTTTGGGGATCGTAAATGCCGCAATTTATTCCATCGGCCAGCGATTCGTGATTCCCGGGTACGCTTACGTCTTTGGGGAGTGAAAGGTCGAAGAGCCGTCGCTTGGATCATGCCAGATTCGATATTTTGAACGAAATCTCAATTGCACCCGGGCAGAACTCGCTAACCGAGGGGACATCCAGACATGCATAGCGTAGTATAATCCCATACCTTCTCGATAGCAAGTACTGTATCATGTTATCAAAGTACCCACCACCATCTCTTTAGCTCGTTCACGAATGGGGCCTTCTCCTCTCTTAAACTTCTTTTCCTACCCGCAGCCGTTATGGATCAGTCTTGGATAACACCAAAAACACATGCAGGTGTAATGCCCGCATGTGGCGGAACGAAGTTCCAGGAAAATCTAGAGCTAACGAAGCTTTGTTGCTTGGCAGGCAAGTCATGTAATGTAATGTAATGTAAGGAAGTCATATTGTAATAACTTATTTCCTCGGAGAGAAAAAGATCAGGCCGGGAACCTTTCGAAATTGAGGTTGATCGAGTCTGCAAGCCCTTTACAGTGTCTGCAGCTTGTATATCCATATCCGGGGCATATCTGTGTGTGTGTGAGCTTGCCGATGCAATGCTTCCTTCTTGTTAAATTTTTTTTTTTTCTTTTATATAAAGTAGTATACATGACACTTTGGATATCCTGTTTTCTGGTCTTTCGTATCGTATGTACGGATCGATATTACGAGCATTGCCCAGGCAGGTATAGGCTTGCCAACTGTCAATAATAAAGGAAAATACCAAGAAGGATAAGAAGGACAAGAAGAACAAAAAGGGCTCAGTTCTATCTGCTCAAGTGATATGATGCTGGCTTAGGTTGTGTATGGTATGGTATGGTATGGGAGGGGATGGGATGGTATGGTATGGTACTTACTTACTTCCCCACACATCCCGCCTGATGCCTACTTTTAACTCATGCCGTTCTTGTCGATGCCTCACAATCCAGCCAAAGGTTATTACGAGTGAGAAATGCTGGTACATGTACGTTTAACTTGGCCAGGCTACCGGATTTCGGGACCATCTTTGTGAATGTGATCCCCCCCTCTCTCCCTCTCCCTCTCCCTCATATCTCGATTGAGATGACTGACTGTGTCATGGCCTGTTGGTGCGGGGGTCCTTAACAATGTGCACAATACATGTAACTCCTCACCTCACTTCACCAAGGTCTGCGTCCTCATCTCGGATGCATTTGGTCATATGCATATTTACATATCCAACGACCGACACTAGCGAAGCCCAAGAATTCGCAAAGAAAAGGAAAGAAAAGAAAAAAACAAAAAAACAAAACAAAAACAAAACAAAACGAGAGTTAAAAGAGGGAAGCTTGACGAGATGACAAAAGCGGACGGAGACTAGTCAGTTGTTCACTGCAGTCCATTGCATTGCCGATGTTCCTGGAAGGGGGTTCTCTAGGGGCCCATCTCGGGCAAAGAAGCGGAGTTTTCCTGTCTCTTCAAGCTTCTGACAGGCCGATCCCACAGCTAACTCGAAGGCATGGATGTAAGTACTTGCATACATGATACCTATAGCCTACTAGCAAGTACGGAGGATGTTTAATGTATGTACGATGGAATATTTTAAGCACACAGGTTTGGGTTTATGCCGAAATTTAAGGTAAGTCGAGCTCCACCCGGCCTATTCCTCATCGGTTCAGCCACTGCGGCATCAGTTTGCCCACTGTGAGACCATATCGCAGATAGATGCCTTTCCAAGCGAATGAAATCATTAACTTTGTTATTTCTGTTATTTTTATTATTTTTATGCTTATTTTTGTAGAATCTTGAAGAAATTAAGAGAGATCGGAGAGGGAGAAATAAGGAAATATACAGAACGGTTTTAAAACAAAATCATCATACCGTGTCTTGTACTTACAATTGTAATTTGGTACCCGACGCATTAACCATCATCTGTTTTTAGTCCATCGACGTTAGCCACCAAGCCCAGGTCTTAACCAACTAGCAGGGAATCCTTATTAGAGATTCTGAATTCTGTTGAACGAACGAACGAAAGGACGGACAAAGCGAAGTTTGAGAAAGATACATACATACTTCCAGGACAGGCATTTTCAGGCTCCCGCTTTTTTTCCCCTCTCGTTTGTTTCGTTTTCTAGATCATGGTGTGTGTACGGCCGGACGACTAAACCATTAATTGTGACCCGTCGTCTTGATTTCCCTCGCGCAGGATAATTAATGGATATGAGCTAACTAACATATGCAAATACGTACTTACACATATACAGATACATACCTATATAACATGCATACACTAAGTTTCTTTCGACTGTTAATCTCCATTAGTCAATCCAGTCTAGCTAGTACTCCGTAGAAGGATGCAATAATGATAAATGATAAATGATAAATGTATCGATGTATGGTAGGTACGGTACTTATGGTACAAGACTAGCACATGTATGTAGTACGGCAATGTGTGGCCCGGGGTGCATGCTAATAATAACCAGCCATGGCATGGTCGATTAATTAATTGTATGAATTTCTCAACAAAGCGAATTAAATCTTGCTGCAATGTTCAGGCTCGGACTCAGACAGCTGCTCGACGGCATTAATTTTTGCAATCGACAGGACTAAAATTATAATTAATTAAGTAAACAAATATATACGTATATGTCGTGTATGTAGATCTAGAGGATGTATTTACATACTTAAGTACGTATACGTATACAGTACGTACAACTGGTATAGTACAGTACAATTCATAAACGAATATACCTAGTATACACTAGACTAGTAACGTACGATGTTTAGATTCAATCGACTCGTGCAAGTAAGTAAGTAAGTAAATAAGTAAGTAAATAAGTCAGTCAGTAAGTACTCGTTCTTGCCTATTTGCTGCCATTTGTGACCTGCCTGTTACTTAGCCCACCGCTATGCTATCACCATGTAATGTACCCAGGACAGGACAGGACAGGACAGGCCCCCTCCTCATAACACAACCGTTCAACCTCGACTCGACTCGACTCGACTCCTCAGGCTCGGATTTTGTTTTTCTTATTCTTCGATCCCAGTTAGTTCGAGTAAGTCAAGTAAACTTAACTTTCCATCTTTATACTTACTTACTTACTTACTTACTTACTTATTACTGTTCCTATCCCCCCAGGTCTTTCCATCCGGAATCGTTGTTCCCTTTTTTCTTTTGTTTCTCTTCAACTTCCTCCCTTTTCCTTCCATCGGTGGAACCAAAATTATTATATTTCCTGGCCCGTTTTTCCATTTAAACTTACTATTTCTTGAAGCTCATGTCGTTTGCCTGTGTTGTTTTTGGCTTCGAATTCAACGACTCGATTTAATCCATCGAGGAGGCACCACGAGATTGCATTCTTTTTATTATATCTTATATCATATATTACTTATTGTCTTTGGCCTTTTCTCTTTCTTTCCTTTTTTTGTTTCTTTTTCCTTTTTTACCTTCGACCTTCAACTATTACTTTGATTCGACATCAGCACTTACCTACTACTTACTTACTTAACTTATTAAGACTTATCCAAACGGGCCTGATAAACCTTTTTTTTTATTTTATATTTTATATATAACGCGGGAGAGAAACTGCATCTGCAAGAGTTCGCTTAGAACTGTACTCTGCACCGCTCTTATCAATTGGTCAAGCCGAAGGGGTGGACGGATTCGAGTTTTTGGGAACAGTATAAGATCATATCATAACTGCAGCTGGGGGGGCGCGGAAAGACACTCGACTTCAATTCAAAATTCGATATATACCCGTCCACTAAGCTAAGGGCTTCTAATTTTCCATCCGAACTTACATACATACATCGTCATCATTCTCGCCTGAACGGAACCGTGGAGCCATTATTTTGCATATCTTTCCGACAAAGCCGTCGACTATCAAGGGTTCCCAACTCGAACGTCAGGATCGATCCCGGGAAAATATCGCAGAGCCGGCCTGCACAAACGAAAGTCTTGCCGTACTCACATATGCACAATATGCCTAGGTAGTTCGCTAGGGGCCCAGCAAAACAAATCAAAAAAAGAAGAGGGAGAGATCTATTCCTGTCATCATTTTCGACTTCCTGGGAAACTTCGCACTTTAGCCTGGTGTGGACCCTTGGCCCTTTTTTTCGAGCAGTGCAAACAAATCATATCCCGCCGCCGTTGTATCGTACGGTTAACCTCGAAATTCTGCCGCCTTTGGTGCTTCCCGAGGCGAAAACCGACCTGGCTTAGCTTGGGCCTAGTTCCAGTTCCAGTTCCAGTTTTAACGTCCCAGTTCCAGTTCCAGCCTGTTCCTTCCGTGGGGCCGCCAGAGTGCTTGATATTATCATTACCCCAGAATATAGCAAGTCGGATTTGGGTAAGTTGCGAATTAATACCACTCTCCCAACGCCCTTTTTTGTACTCGATCTCAGCAGAAAGAAAGAAAGAAAGAAAGAAAAAAAACGAACTTGAGAAAAACCTCTGTTCATAAAATGCACTTTTATCACCCTTCCTCGTATTTTCTGGCCGGCTACACGGCTCTCAAGACTATGACCTTCGAGGCTAACGTGATTTCCAAACTTGCCGTTGATTCGCAGGTGGCTTTTCCCGCGCGGAACGGTTTCGCCACGGGCCATAGTACATCCACATCCATCCTGAAACTCTTTAACTTCCAGACACACGTCCGAGCCGCTGAGCTAAGATCTTATTCATTCCTGAATCTGCTGGTTTGAAGATATCTCGTCCAAGCCGCTCCGCTCACTACTAGGATTATCCAATTGCCGTGACCTCTCTCTCTCTCTCTCTCTCTCTCTCATTCCGAGAGTGGTATTCTGGCCCGCCCGGACGGCCCCTTGCTGTCGAAGGAGCTTGCTTTTGCGTTGAAAGCAACATTCTTCTGCAGGGACCTCGAAGTACTTCTCACTTTCGCAATTGCTCTTGCTCTTGCTCTTGCTCTTTCGCCCTCTCCCAAGAAAGACTTGGTAGACGCAGCCAAAGGGCAAACCGAGAGAGTATCGGGGAAGGAATAAAAATTCCATTCCCAGCAGCATGAAACCTGGAACCGAGTTTGCTCTTGCAGCACAAGCCTAGATCGAAATTCGATCCATGGAATGCCTTTGAGGACCTTTCAATTCAACCCTGTTCCCAGTTCAAGCCTACTCGACCTCCTCGCCGCTGCATATATCTGGCTAGCTCCAATCGAGCCGAAGTCACTTACGTAGCTACCTGCTGCTTGACCTGCAACTGGGCGATCCATATTGAAATCTGCGAAAGAAAAATAAGCTGTGGAGCATTTCCACAAAACCGGTATCCGGATGATGTCTCCTAGGCCTCCACCACAACCTCCTCCACCACCCCTTACTCATCTTCGCCAAATCTTGACTCCTGAGCGATCTGAGGCCGCATCAAGTCGTTCTCATAGTAGACCTGTGCCGCCCTTGCTCCCTCCACCCCCACTACCACGGACCTCCCCGAATGTCCCGCCGGTTAAAACTACGGAAGGGTACTCGTATGCTTCACATCCTTCTTATCGACCCTTCCCCCCTCCACCTCCTCCAAGGTCTCTTCCTTCTCACGCTGCTGGTTCGCCTTCTAGAGTGCGGACTAACCTTGCTCCACCCTTGCCAATACATCGACGGCCGCCGGTTCCATATCTTCCAGAAGCGCCCTACCATTTTAATCCCGATGTGGGTCGCATTATAGCCCAGCCGGAGCCGTATGCAATAGAGTTGGAGCAAGGTAGAAGACGGTCCATACCGCCACCACCTCTATACCCTTTAAGTGAAGGGACAGCTGTGTCGCCAGAATCCGATTTCGCTGCGCCACGCTATGTTCAGCCAATAGGACATCTTGCAGGACAGTCCAGATCGCCCAGAGACCGTAGACTGTACGTATCATGCATCAACACCCCCTTGGGTATATATATATATATATATATATACCTATATAAGACGAATATTCGCTAACTCCTCTAATTCTTTTTTGAAAAAAAAAAAGATCTAATACACCATTGTCACAATCCCCAGGCCCAAGCTATACAACAGGAAACAAGAGAACCTTTGAAGAAACTCTTTCACCAGCACATAAGCCAGTCAGTCTTCAGAATACCCCACGAGGAAGCTTTTCAAGTGAGCTTGAGCTGCTACGCAGTATTCTCCCGCCTCGCCCAATGTATGTCTCTTTCTTTCTTTCTTTCTTTCTTTCTTTCTTTCTTTCTTTCTTTCTTCTTCTTCTTCTTCTTCCTTTTTTTTTTTCCCTTTTGATTCCCTCCTCTGTCTCCCTCTACGAACCTTCGAGTCAGTTACTAAAGTTGTGTTTTCATACTATAGGTCCGATAACCTTCAACTTATTGTAAGGCAACAACCAGTCGCAGCTAGAGCGTGCGGTTTTGGTGAAAGAGACCGTCGTGTTATCGATCCACCACCGATCGTTCAATTGGTCGCCTCTGACCCTTCAAACCCGTCGAGCGAATCCGACGTGAGGTACCCTTTCAACGTTGTCCACTGCACATTATGGAATGTAGCAGGAACAGCAGACGAAACTGCACTCGAGCAGCAGGACAAACGGCTTACAAGACGGCTCATGGGAACGCTCGTGGCGTCGCCTTTCATCGGGCAGGACGAAAATACCGAAGACGGGACGTTCTTTTGCTTCCCAGACCTCTCATGCCGCACACACGGCAAATTTCGACTGAAATTTGTGTTGATGTGCATAGACCCAATGGGACAACAAGCCAGCTTCACACCTGTTACCACTGAAGTGATGAGTGATGTGTTTACGGTCTACACTGCGAAGGAATTCCCAGGAATGAGGCCAAGTACGGGGCTGACTAAAGCGCTTAAGCAACAAGGATGCGCGATATCCGTGAAGAAAGGGAATGAGAAAGCTAGCCAGGCCTCACCACAGGAGGAAGATGAGGAGAAAAGTGGTGAGGGTGATGATTCCGACCAGGATACGGCTTCACGCGGAAAGCGTCGCAGGAAGGCATAAAAGATGGCAAAAGGTTCAAAACGACATATCAGTGATATCGTATGCATTCGATACCCCCCCCTTTCTTCTCTCTATCGGCAATATTTACTACGGATTAGAAGTTTCTCACAACCTTTCTTGATCCATTACGACAACTACCACATATACTTTTTTTTTTTGATGGGGCCTGTCCTATAGGTTCCTTGCATCGCATGCATGTTTAGAAAATCCAATCTTCTCTGAAAGAACAAAACCCTGCAATATTTTTGTTCAAAATGCTTTTTTTCTTTTTTGTATTTGATTTCTTGCCATTATAACATATATGATACCCCTCTGCGAGTTTTTGCTTATTTATTTATTTATCTTATTTTACTTTTTTTTTTCTCTTTCGATCCAAATACATTCTATATATCGTATCAGATCTTTACATGAATTCAACTTCAGCTGTCCAAATTATCCAGATTTATATTTTTACTCTTTTGATTATATTATTTGTTAAATACCTGAATACTGTTATTGGCAATAACTTAGATACCACTAAAGCCGCATCATGTACTCAAAGTATACATTTTTTCATCCATTATTGGCCATAAAGTTGCATATCTCTCGTATTTTTATTTTATTTTTTTTATATATTTTTTGTACTTTCCTCGGAAGCAGCCAATAGTTGTCGTCCCGGGTATGCCGGATTTCCAAGGTTGAGGACAAAAGGGTCCAAAAGTGATCATGAGAGATGAGATCTCGGGAGCTAATGAGATCATGAGAGCTCGGTTTGGCTGATCAGTTGCCGCAGTTAGAACTAATTTGCTATCAAATGCACATTGCATGAAGGTTCTTAAGAATTGCAAGTTGAATCGATATGTTTTTTTTTCGAAGCTAAAAGATTCTGCAACCCCCTACGTTAAGTACGTTCGTTAGTAGTGCAGGTCGACCGGGATATACCAATTAGTCGTGGAATGCATTGCAGCAAGGCCGCTTTCTTAGTAAGGGAACTAGACCAAGACCATCGAGAAAGAAAGGAAGTCACTAAAAACAAAAATAAAGGACCAGGCAAAAAAAAAAAAAAAAAAAAAAAAAGTACTTATTCTTATTAAAGAAAAGGAGCCAAGTTCAGGATAAGAAGTAGCAGCAAATGTGTTTGTGTAACGAACAGCGACCTCCTCCCTTTGCTGCAGGAGGCTGGGCCCCGTTTTCGAAGGAGATCTTGTGATGTCATTGGCTGGCCACGAGTAATGGATCTTGTGTGGAGCATGGAGTGGAGTGGAGAGTGTGGTGAGTGTTGGGCCAGCAAAAACTGCAACAGATTGGGATCTCTCCAGGCAAAAGTTGCCGGGCATGCCAGGCAAGGGTTTCCAATTTATTCGCTTCGATGGCTGCATCCAGAATCATATCCTTTCTCCACCCCACACTCCCAAAGAGTAAACTACCACCACCGCCGACGCCCTTCGGACTCGACGCTCATTCCCCGGCATCGGCTAATATCCCTGGTCAAACGCTGTCCAATACGGGAATCTTCGCGAGGGCCAACGGTGTCGTTGTCCAATTATCATCTTTGCAATTGATATCCAGCCAGCGCTTTCGCTTCAAAATTTATACCCTCTAGGTTTCTTGAAGCTGCGAAGAGACGCCAGCCGGCTGTTTCATCTTTTCCAATCTGCTTCACATTGACTTTAAAAGAAGGCTTTGGCGTATTATCCTATTTGTTAATTGGGTACGTTATCCGGGAAATCTTTTTTTTTCTTTCTTCCCTTCTTTCCTTCTTTCTGTCTTTAAAGCCATTTAATGTGTCATGGTCACAAGGGTTCTAGCGGCAACTAGTACCTGGCGGATGTATAAATATGCCAGAGTAGGCATCGAAATTAACATTTGATCTTATGTAAAGGTACAACGATCACGAGAGGGAAAGAAAGAAAGAAAAGAAAAAAGAAGAAAACACCAACCTCTCAATTGCGAAAGACATCCCATTGAAGCATCGATTATCCTTCTGCAGCCGGCTCGTATTGCCTGTAATAAAGAAATTCCTGCGCGCCTCATTCCATAAATCCTCGGGCATCAGATAGGAAGGCAAAAGGGAGAGAAGAAAAGAGAGAAAAATAAAATATAAAAAAAATTATGCTCCGTCAAGCCATCAGAACGCAGAGGCCTCTGCTACGGCAGTATTGGTACGTACATATCCTCCATATCTCTCTTCAACTAAAAGCGGTGTCGAAATTGCGACTGCATCGTTGCGCAAATGTTTCTGATAGTCAAATCATGGCGTTTCTAGCAAATCGCAGGTCCGATGCATAGCAACTTCGCAATCAAAGCAGGCCAGCGAGGCTCCAAAGGGGCTCAATCGAACCAGTCATGCTATCACGCAACCAAAATCGCAGGGTGCATCTCAAGCAATGTGTAAGCCTCTCAGAATCATACTCTTTCTATCACATTTCACTCCGACAGCGAATGAAATGAAGGGAAATATAAAGAAAGAAAGAAAAAGTGGTCACAAAGAAGACCAGATACATGCATCGGAGCGTAGCGACGGCGAATGAAATGAATTTGCATGCTGATACTTTGGCCGATTTGGATTCTGTCCAACTATAGTATATGCAACAGGACTGAAAGAACCAGACATGGATAAAGCCCAAGTCGGCATATCATCTGTGAGACTCCACGTGGACTAAGTGGAACTTTTGCCCCGACCCTTCGGGACTTGCCATCACGAAGGAGAAGAAGAAGAAACGAAGGGGTCATTTTTGCGAGAGAGAAAGGGAACTGCCTAGCTGACATGGGGGTTCGAATGGCCTGTGTCACCATGACACGGCATCCCGGTTCCTTTTTAGGTGTGGTATTCAGGTAATCCGTGTAACATGCATCTACTTGACCTTAACTACAAGGTCAAGGAAGGTGTGGAGGCTGCCGGCTTGGTGGGATATCAATTCAATACCATTGGTGTGAGGTAAGGGCATACCATTCCTTATTACGCCAGCTAATTGTAGTAGCTAAAGGGCTACACGAGCTCACTCTACTCGCAACTGATCACGATATCTGCTTCAGCGATGCGATTTCGATGGGAACATCAGGAATGCGATATTCCCTGCAATCGAGAGACTTAATTGCGGATTCAATTGAGGTATTTGCAACATGGAATATCCCACTGTGAAACCAAAAGGCAGGAAGTATAGCATTATTGTCTATTGGCTCCGTTAAGCTAATTCAAATGCCTTCTACCTTTATAGACTGTCATGGGTGGACAATGGTACGACGCCAATATTTCCATCCCTGGTTGTGACAAGAATATGCCAGGTGTCTTAATGGGTGAGATCGAATACTATCTAGCATGAAGTAAAGGTAGCTAGATAGCTAACGGTGCATATAGTCTGACCAATCCCTTCTCTACCCTGGAAGGCCCTTAACGGCCGTCTCGCGAATCGTTCTAATTTGCGAGTTCTGTAGGCAATGGGAAGAGTCAACCGGCCGTCTTTGATGGTGTACGGTGGTACAATCCGTGCAGGCCGTTCCTCATGCTTAGGCGATAAGCCTATCGATATTGTTTCAGGTAACTTTCGCCTCACGCTTGCAGCTACTTATGTAGCTACCCTAGCTGCTACCCGCATGAAATCCGGCTCAAGTCGTTCACCTCATAACCTGCCATTCTTGTGAAATTCTTGAAAATTGAAAAGCTATTTTGTTTCTAATTCACCATACCTCTTTCGTCCTTTGGGTACAAATCTATAGCATTCCAGTCGTATGGCGAATACATCACCGGCGCAATCGATGAAAAGACCAGGTTCGACATCATCAGAAACGCCTGTCCCGGTCAGGGCGCCTGCGGTGGCATGTACACCGCAAACACGATGGCTACAGCGATCGAATCAATGGGCATGTCCCTCCCCGGCTCATCCTCCAATCCAGCCGATTCGCAGGAGAAGCTTGACGAATGCATCACAGCGGGCACTGCAATCCGCAATTTGTTAGAGAAGGACATAACCCCCCGCCAGATCCTTACTCGATCAGCATTTGAGAACGCTATGGTTGTTGTGAATATCACGGGTGGTTCGACAAATGCGGTGTTACATTTGATCGCAATTGCACATTCCGTTGGCGTGGACCTTAAGATCGATGATTTCCAAAGTGTGAGTGATCGGATACCTTTCCTGGCGGATTTGAAGCCTAGTGGGAAGTATGTGATGGCGGATATTCACCGGATCGGAGGTACACCTGCTTTGTTGAAGTATCTGTTGCAGAATGATTTGATCGATGGTGGTATTATGACCGTTACCGGGAAGACGTTGGCCGAGAATTTACAGAAGGTTGAAGGTTTCCCCAAGGATCAAGATATTATCAGACCCTTGTCCAATCCGATCAAACCCACCGGTCATATCCAGATCTTGAGGGGTTCTTTGGCACCTGGTGGTGCTGTAGGGAAGATCACGGGGAAGGAAGGGTTGGTTTTCAAGGGGAAAGCGAGAGTCTACGATGCTGAGGATTTGTTCATTGAGTCCTTGGAGAGAGGAGAAATCAAGAAGGGAGAGAAGACAGTAGTTGTTATTCGATACGAAGGACCAAAGGGAGGACCTGGAATGCCTGGTACGCATATCCCCACCATTGACTCAAAAGTATATGGTATTAGTATTAACATATGAACTAGAAATGTTGAAACCAAGTTCCGCCATTATGGGAGCTGGTCTGGGCAAAGATGTTGCCTTAATCACTGACGGCAGATTCTCTGGAGGTTCTGTAAGTTATACTCGTCTCTTCCTTATTTCTAAATCTATAGCGGATCACACACCCTCAATTTAGAATTAACTAACACCCTCCCCCTCTAGCACGGTTTTTTGATCGGCCATATCGTCCCAGAAGCCCAAGAGGGTGGTCCAATCGCCTTCGTCGAAGACGGTGACGATATCATCATCGATGCCGAAACCCGTAAACTAGACCTTCTAGTCGATGAAGCAACCCTTGCCAAGCGGAAAGAGGGCTATGTCCAGAAACCATTGAAGTACAACAAAGGTACATTGTATAAATACGCAAAGTAAGTCTCCACCCACTACCCCTACACCCTTTTTAATTGCGGGAAAAAGGAGAAGACTCTAACTGTCGAAAAACGCAATAGGAACGTGGCCGATGCAAGCCATGGATGTATCACCGATTCCTGATCTGCTATTTAAATATAATTTATAATGAGCAAAGGAACCGATGATATGGTTTGAATGTTTCTTTTCTTTTCTTTCTACGGCTAAGTTGTAATGCATCAAAATACTTTGGTATATATTGTCCATGTAACTTAATTCTCACGTCCTCTTCTGTCATAAAAAAAAAGTTATGCATGCATGCGGTTGCCCAATATTTAAAGAACTAGTCCTCGCGACGTCCTATATATGGATTGTAAACTTCTAGTATCAAACCCTAAACGAAGAAAGGAAAAAAGAAGAAGAAGAAGAAGAAAAAGATACCGGTTGTAATGTTACAATACGGTATTCTTTATCGCCAATAGTACCACAGTTTTAAAAGGGTTCCTCTACCCTATATCATGAACCGGGTGAAAAGGAAGGGCAAAAAATAGAAAGAGAAAGAAAACAATATATATATATATATATATATATATAATATATAGAACCCGAATTTCCTCCAAGAATGTCCCGCTATGACGGCGCAATATATGTAATGTCATTATACAACGAACTCCGTATCTGCAACAGCGCAGACAATTCCTTCAAAAACTCCTGTTCAAAAAGTAACATCATTAGCTTCCACACTTATAGTAAATATATATATATATATGTTTTGAAAGCTGAAACCAAGGAACAAAACTAGGGAGGGCAGAGGTTATACATACCTGCAAAATCACAATATTTGTAAGTAAATGCGACATCGTCATGGTCGAAACATGGTGATCATCGCTCTCCGCCGAAAAGCTTGACATAGTCTCCGAAGCCGTCTCCCCATCACTTTCCATCTGCCCTTCCATAGCCGTGATAGCAGGAGTATTGGTCCCACCGGGACTAGTAACCGCCGGTAAACTCGGCAATGGCTTCATAGTGGCCTCGTTATATATCTCTTTCCCATTCACTAATTTGATCCTAATCTGCGTTCCCACCAGATGTGGTCCGAAGGGACTCATAACGCTGGCACTCACGTTCCTTGTATGTCCCGACGAACGTCCTCTCAAACTACCCATGCTTGGCGGCATCTTACTTGGTGATAGGTGAGAAGCGCTGAGAGCGGGGCTAGCGGATCTCCTGGGGGTTGTAGAAAAGTCTGATGTAGACCCACCAGTTGCTCCCGAAATGCTAGGTCGCGTCTTCGATACTCTACGTGGAGAACCCGACTGAATAGCATTCGTGTTAAGTAGTGCTTCATTCAGGGATTCCGTAAATTTGAAGGCATGCTTGCGTTCGAAGAGTCTGATGTCCAAATTTGGTACCTGCGTGCGGTACTTTTCTACTAATTCAACCAAGCTTCGGAGAGTCTTGAAAAATGTGGTTTCATCGATTGGTTGTGGTGGTTTTCGAGCAGCTAGGATTTTGCGGAGATGATTGGCGATGAAGTCTTCTTCTTTCTCATCATCGTCGTCATCATCGTCAGAGGCTTCAGAGGCTGGGTCGATTGGGCGGCCGAAGGGACTTTCTTCGTCAAATGGATTCTCTCCTTCTTCTTCCTCTTCTTCTTCCTCATCGTACATTCCATGATTCGCCGAGTCGTTGTGATACATTGACGCATCCATCAATAACCACTTCTCAAGACTGACGTTACAACAACTTGCCATATCAATAAGCAATGAAGTAAGCATCAAATTCGTCTCAACCGTATTCCCGAAGAACGACTCCAACAGCCGCATGCAAGCTACCAACACGGGGTCATCCGGGCGAACAATATGCTCACTAATTGAGGGTGCACAGGCATGTGTCGGCACTGCTTGATTCCTCTGGTTCAGCTTCGCAGCAAGCACATGCACCGAACACGGATGTGTCTCCACGAGCACGGACATATCGCTAACATATGTCTCATATGTCGGATCCTCCTCGTCTTCTTCAGAAATCCTAGCAATAAATCCAGTCAAGATCTCTAGCTCGTGATTTAACATCCCCGCGGTCCTGGATTTAGGACTTGCCGCCACGGGTGTAGTTTTCAGCACAGATATGGCAACGTATGGGTGAAACTTGCGGATCATAGCTGATACTAAACGGAGGGTGGATGCTATCGTCGGCTGGGATTTGGACCGCAGACCCGTCAATATCAGATCGACTAAACTATAGAGATCTGGTGTGGGTGTGCTATCTGCTTCTGGGGTTTGACTTAGGATGTCTAAGGCTTCTTTTCTTTTCACCACACTCGGCGAGTCATCTGCCGGAGTTGCTGAGCCTGTTGGTAGAGAGAGAACATATGATAGAAGGATATGTGTCATATCGGTGGAATCCAATTGTTCGAGGATAATCCGGAGATATGTCAAAACAGCAACAGACGAACCGCCGTCAACGTCTGAACTTTCCAGCAGCGATGGGTACCTAAAAAATGGTATTAGCAGTGATAACCCATCTCGGGCATCCACTAAAGGGGGCCACTTACAACAGCTGCTGAATAAATAGCACTCTAAAATGATCCAACAACGTCTGCCGAACCTCATTCGAATGACAATGCTCCAGCACATCCTGCCAAAACGCCATGTACGACAAAAATGTATCCAAATGCGTTCTAAACTCTATGGAATCCGACCTAACAGCGCCAAACGACCCATCTTGCCTATAATCCGAAAACCGTAACGCCGGCGGAATATCCTCTTCCGAATACGCAATCACCAACTTTCTACTAAGCTGACTGTATAACGCTCCAAGCCCAGATGCCATTATAGTAGCCAAATCGCTCTCCACGATCCATGTTTCCAACGCCTTTGACGACGATGCGGATTCGATAATGTATAACAACCCAGTCCTCGCAAAGTCACCCACCCTGCCATCGTGGTGCACATAATCCAATAGCAAATAAAACAGCGGGAAATCTTCTTTATTCGTTATCCCCACAAACCGTTCATTGGAATCCGCCGAAGGTCGTCTATCCCCCCTCTTCGCGAACCATAGCGGCAAAGTATCAGGGTTCTGTCTAATCTTCGTGGCCAAGCTGAACAAAAACTCCACGAATTCGGTCTCATATGTCGGATCTGCTTTTCTAGCAGTCTTTTGTAAGAAATCTGTCAGACTTTGTGCGAAGTTTGGGGCGGATAGGAATTCGTTTTCTTCATCGTCTATCAAAGTGGAGAAGAAGCGGATTACGGCGGTGATTACGATGGATGAACCGTTTTGGGCGATCCGGGAGACAGGGATGAAGATTTGTTGGTCATAAGCATAGTTGTAACAAAGACGAACGGATTGGTTTTCTTCTTCGATTAGGAGGTCGGTGAGGCGGAGAATGGGGTTTCGAAGGTTGGTTTGCAGGTGGGGGTCATTTGGGTGGCCGTTTCGCCAGGAGTGCTATCGAACGTCAGCACGGAGCTGGTACTAATCTAGCAAAGGGGTATATGGGCCTAACGAACTTGGAGAGTAAGCCATATCCTCTTGAAGTCCTGTAATCTGTTATCCGGACTCGGGATTACGACCTGCTTGCGAGCAGGAGTAGTCGTAGGACTATTTCCAATCAGACGATTCCACTGCACAAAAACACCCCAATTGTTAGTTGAATCAAGTATAGAGCATTATCCAGGAGAACCCTTGCATCCGATCCCCATCATAACTAGAATTAAAGGGAGGGCTCTTACGAAATCCATTGTCTAACAACAGCTATAGCTATTCCTCCCCCCTCAATCGGTCCGTAGAGTAGAGTAGATGTCGTTCCTTGGGTATGGTGTGTCGAATAGCTACGATGTAACCAACAGATTGATATTAAAAACTATAACACCGCCGGTATTATACGGGGAGGTCCTTGAAGTGGAAACCGCACGAGGTACAAGTTAGGTGTCCCCAGCCCAGCTTATCTAATCACCCGCGAGGTACCCATTAGCACAGGCACCAGGCCGGGTAGCTAGGCTTAGGTATCGCTTCCGAATGTTAAAAAATTGCGGCTCTGCACCGGGCTGCTTTTTTAGCTCTTCCCAATCGTGCAGGTGAGAATGGGAAAGGTCGAATTGACTGAAATGAAAGTGTATAAGAGACCACGTCGGGGCGGGTTGGGAATAAGCCCCGACAAACTCCACGCGACTTGCGAACCTTCATCGCTTGTTGGCGCTTAAATCCGACTCTGTTATAAGAACCGGGTAATTATCTCCGGCTTCAACGGCCGCGACGGTAGTTAATCACGAAAGCCCGATTGGCTCTACTCCCATTCATCATCCTTCTTTATTCTGTTTCCACCCATCTCATCCTTGAACAACATCATGCCAGTCACCGGGTAAGCTTCCTTCTTTCCTTTCTTTACTACTACTATTACTACTACCACTCTTCCAGTCCTGGATGAACTACCACTAACACTCTCATGAACGAGCTTATAACCATACAGCCTCTACTTCTGTCCTGACTCAGGCACCACCCAAAATCCCGCCGCCGCAATCATCGACCGTCTCTCCAAACGCTACCAGCCAACTTTCATCGCAAAATGGTCCTTAGAACACCGTCTCCTCCGTGAAAACGGTCCTCCTTCCTCCTCAACCGTAGTTACCCCCAGCCTACAAGCCCCAGTTACACAAACTCCACCTCAAACTAGGTACATGCAATACCTCGATCTATCCTTCCACCCCGGAAAACGGTTTTGTCTGGTTGATAGATCTATCGTCACCATCGATCCGGACTTTGAGCATATCCTTACCGCAAAGTTACAAGGACTGTGGAGTATGAGATTGACGCTCAAGGCCGAGGGAAATATCCTAGAACTCGAGGATTTTAAGATCAAAATCGCAACTCTGAGTCAGGGTAGCGTGATCAAAGGTGTGCTCATGGAGGTCGAGTACATACCTTGCGCGTATCTAGAGCAGGGCGAAGGGGTCATTCGAGACTTCATCGAGCAGCTGGAACTCCCTAATGGGCCGAATGTCAGGTATTACTTTTCACAAGCACCCGTTGTCAATCCCGATGAAAATGATGAACCAAGAGAGTTCTCGATTTTGGATACGGGGATGCAGTATATGGAACTGCTGAGGTTGAGATGACCTCTTCTCGAAACAAACCTACGGAAGGGAAAAAGAGATGGAGATTTAGATATTTGATGATATATAATAATCTTGATTGATTGTTAATACTAAGGTAAGCGATATATTACTACTAATGCCTTGCAGCGTAGCGCGCTTCTTTTTTTGTCTTCGTTCACTATCTTATATCCTTCTCTTCAAAAATTTTATCTTTTCAGTACCTCGTAAATCAAATGTCAAAAGCCTCCCCATAAACTCCTGATAAACAAACAATCCACTAAAGCATTAAATCATATATAGTTCCCTGGTATCGTCGCGAGCAGCCTATCAGGCCCAAAAACACACAAGATGGTAGCTCCACGGTAGCAATTTTTAGCTCCCGCCGGGGTTAATTACCATGTTTCCTATAATCTAGTCAGAATTTGGTTCCCAGGTAGAAGAGACGGTGGACTCCAACTTACAGTAATATATTGGAAGCTCTTTTCCTTATTTTTCCAGAAATTCTTTGCTTCTTCTCTTCGGATCTTCCCCTTCTTCATAGCAACATCAATTAATGCTTCTTCAACCCCTTCACCCATACCCTTGGAGCTGCCGCAAACAAAGACACGGCCATCGAGGGAGTTAATTACAAACCAAACAAGATCTGCTTGGTTGCGAACTTCCTCCTGGACATAACGGCCAGTGCCGACTCTAGATTGAACTACAGTCTTCACCTTCTGCTCATCGGCACCCCATTCGCCAGCGTAAAGCTCATCCAATAATGAGTCTCTAATACCTTGGATAACCCTAAACTACAGTTAGTCTTATTGTAAAACGACGATGGTCGGAGGGTATAACATACCAAACTTTATTCGCACAGTTCGCACTTTGCAACCTCCTCTGCACGAACCCACGGAACGGAGCAATACCCACACCAGCACCAATCAGAATCATTGGACCATCAGGCTGGAATTCGCGGGCAAGAGGATTTTGCATCAGTCCCCTGAACATGGGGACGTGGATGGTAGCCGAGCCACCGCTTTGGATGTACTTCAAGGCCATACGTTCGAAGAAACCGGATCCAACACCAGTACGCTGTCCACCTTGCCAATCGTCGGCCTCATGGACAGACACAGCAATTTCAACAACACGTCGATTTGCATATTTAGTAGTGTGTGGATCGCTTGAGAGAGAGTAGAACCGAGGCATAAGTGGCTGCAAGACCGTCATAAGATGGCCCAATGGTGGCTTCGAGGATGGGAAAGCACTAAGAAGCTGGTAAAGTGTGACATATGGACCAGTGCGCAGTCTGTACATAACTGTCAGTCAGCAGCTGTAGCCAATAAATATACAATGGTGGTAGTAGTTCCAAACTTACTCGCAGAAAGCAGCCTGGCCCTGTCTAGAACAAAGGTACATCAGGATCTTCTTTTCGTATTCGTCCTGAGCATACTCAGCCAGAACTCGAAGGAGGTTCTTCTTGGGCGGATAGCTCTGGACGTCGACGGTCCATGTCAACAACTCTCTCCTAGTAGTCGTCAAGAGACGACTTTCATCCTCACCCCAGATTGTCGGCCATCTACCACTCTTGGTGTGTACGTTGATGACTTCGTCACGCATCAGAATAGGAACTTCAAGGATATCAAAAAGCTGGTCGACAAGCTCTTCATCATTTGGAGCACAGACACCAATGGCGCCGCCGACAACAAAGTCGACGCCGGCTCCTTCCTCGGGGTAGTCGGTAACATCGAGGTCGAAGTGGTACGTTCGCTTTTCAGCCCCAGGCGACGTTAAACATCTAGTATGGTGGATTTTGCTAGGAAATACTTCATATGGCGGATGTGGGGTCACGAATTTCGGAGGATGCGTCTTAACGGTGGATTTGTACTCGACATCTTCGGAGAGAGGTTCCAAGGTGATGATATTGGGAGGAAGTACGAAAATTCCGCGAAGATTTGTCTTCATGTTAAGTGGGGTCAATTGCAGGTTGAGCGATCGGAAGGCGGGGTTGTTCGGAAGGACGAGTGGGTCGAGTGAAGGCGAAGGAGGAGCAGAGGAGCCATCGCCACCATTAATACGACAGCAGCCTCCACCGCAGCATTCAGCCTTGATAAGATTGGTGGCAGAGGAGTCCCCTAGCAGATTATGAATGGCTCTAGCCATATCTACTTGGTGGGTAGATGCTCTTCGAGCACGAGATCTGAGAGGAATCCTGGACCTGCCAGTACTGGTAAAATCGACTTCAAGAATCGGACTGGCCTGAGCCTTCTTGAGAATCGCATCGGTGGTCTTGGAAAGGGCGGCAACTGTGGAGGAAGGGGATTCTTCGTCACTGCTGCTACCACTGTTGTTGGAGAGGACCTTGGTTGGCTCTTCAGGAATAGACGACTCAGCAGCCCGAATGGCCTGGTATTCGTCCTCGGTGGCCGTCATTGTTGTATTAGAGAATATAGAAATAGATTTGTAATTATCAGATCTGAAAGTAGCAGAAGGACCCTGTGTAAATGAGCAATGATTCGGAATGATATCACTGCCACGGGGTCGGACCGAAGGTGTGTTGCCTCTGAGGACGAGTGGTGGCGAACTCCGGAGAATCGAGTGTGGGTAAAATGAGGAAGCCGACAAGGGGAGAAGCCGAAGCCGAATCAAAATCCGAGCCGTGATCTGATAAAAATATTTTAAATTAAAATTAAAATGTCAATTTTGGAAATTATTATTTTTCGAGATAGATCCGATATGGAGAAAAGATATATATCTCCAAATGAAATTTTGGTAGTCGGGTAGATATTATAACCGAGCAAAAGAGAAGTTCCCTAAAAGTGACCGAGGAAAATTCAAGGCAGCCAGGGTGCTAGTTCGTTGAATTTAAATTTTTAAATTTTTTTTCCTGGCTTGTGGGATTCTTCGTTATGAGACTAGTAAAAGCAATAGACGGGCTTCCAAGAACTAAAAGAGGACAGAAGAAGCAGCTGAGATCGGCTCTGGCAGAGATGGATGTATATTTGGATATGATCAATATAGATCAATGTTGAAATTCAGGAAGATTATCTGATGAGCAGATAAGATGCTCAAGATAAATTAGGCTGTGACGAGGAATGTGAAAGGTTTAAATCCAAGTAAAGAATCAACCCCCAAAAACAGAGCATTCACAGCCAATCATCCACCGAATTGGCGCTGCAGCAATGCAACTGTTTCCCCTCCAATTTAGTAATTGAATCTTCCAGGGAAAATGGCGATATCGGGCGGAATCTCTGCGGAACCCAGCTGATAAATGCAGGTTCGATATCGATTACTATTGCTAATATAATATAATACAAAAAAAACACAAAGAATACCAATCCGAGCGGAACGTGGACGGAGATGCAGATGCAGACCTCCCTGATATATAAGTACTTCTGTACCTTCAAGGATAACCTGAAAGATAAAATAAAAATAATAAAAAACGTTGAATTTTTTTTTCTTTCTTTCTTTTGTTCCGCAGGAAAAAGCCTCCGCCAGAAAGGAACAGGAACATGTCATGGACGTACCATCTGCATATTTCGGGTTCTCATTGTGGCCATGGTCGCCCCCCTGAAGCTCTAGCTCCTTCTTCTCGGTTCCGAGAGTGCGAGAAATTCTTTAAATTAAGTTGGTCAGAGATCTCATAATCGTTTTCACTTTCCCGGTCAGTTGAGCTGAGAAGTTTCTTCGATTCCGGTTAACGGTTGCTTGGTTAACTTGAGTAGGTTAGTAATTGGCTTTGCCTTGCTTTGCCTTGCTTTGCCTTGCTCTGCATATTGCACATGACATGCATGATCGAGACGACTGGCCCGAATGCGAAGCCAATTGATCAAGCTAACTGACAAATGGTACGAAAAGTATCCAAATATGTCCAATGTTTCCTGACTTGTGAGCCTACTCCAGGCAATTGTTTCTGGCCTGCATTCGAATGGGCATAATGGACATAAACTGTGTGCATATTGCGAAGGCGATGCAGTCCAGCTGTATACACCTATGCATACCTGTATATACCCAAGTATTCAAGTATTCAAGTATGTATACAGTTGCAATCGAATTGCAATGCAATCTAATGAGTGCAGTACCATGAGGCTCTGCGACTCCGACATCGACCTGGCTCTTTAGCCGGCATTCATTCGATTTCTCCCTCAAAGCTAAGGGCTCTCTCTTATCAGATCCTGTAAAAACCCGTTCTCGAGGTGCATATTTCCTGTGTAACATCCGCAGGGAAACGCCGTTATCATTGCATTGTTTCCTGGCGAGGCCTTGTCTGGCACTGTCATCCGTAGTTTAATTTAACCTGATATCATGATATCCGGAGTAATGTAGTTTAGAAACCAGGTCTGTCGGCGACGACCGTGGGTACAAAGCTGCCGGGTCCCGTGAGGATTGAAGCCGCGACGGACGTATGGCCAATGAAACCGTCCACGAGAAAGCGTCGGACTGATGCCGCTTTACCGTCCGATAGAGTCAGGAGGCTTTGATCCCTTCTTGATCCATTCTCGAAAGGTCTGCTAAATCGAGCCGACTGCCTTTTTCGTCCCCGGGGTGCTTCACAGTTACACAGAAATGCCTCCACCCATCAATGCAAGTGCAAGGTTAGTATCAGTAGAGGTCATTCAGGCATCGATTGAAAGTCTTCGAATTCTTCAAACCCCGTGACATCCCAGGATATTTTACCTTGCTTAGTCATCTCGAGAGAATTCCAGGTACGAAGGACAATATTAGAATAGAGTGAAGCTTGGCGGTTTATTTGTTCAGGGTAAAGGAAGAGGAGGAGTCAAAGGTAGCTTGGTCAGCTTAGTGTGCATGTAGACGAGAGTCATCACGGCAGACATCATGTCATAAGCATCCCCACCATCATGTTAAACTTCACCATATAAACCTCACTAACACTCCACAATCGCAGTCGCTCTTATTTTCTCCCACTAGCATCACAATCGCGCACTGATCTCCTTCGTATTCCATAATTTACCTTATCCTAACAATATCCTTCATACCCGGTAGCTCGATGCCCAAGAGCCGCCAACCATACAACTATACTTACAAGCCCTCCTATCAAACCTCCTCGAATTCCCCGCGTCCAACGTCGGGTTCATTCGCATCAGGTTCAAGATCTTCAACAGCCAACACCGCCGGCCCAACATCCCTCTCCACTGCTCCAGAGCCCGCTCTAGAACGAGTAGGCCCGTCCGGCAGCGTAAACGAACTCCTAAGTCACTTACGGCTGACCCAACAGCCAGCCCAAAACACTCGCGATGAACACACCGAAGGTCGCTTCAATACCTTTGCGCCGGCCCCAACTGTACATCCTTCCCTCCAAGCTATCTTGGGCGTAGACCAAGCCTTACCACCACAACCAAGAGCTAGGGGCTTCGTTACTCCAAATTCATGGCGTACAAGGAATGGTTTCGACCCTTATCGACGGCTGCAGGATGGGGAATCTACCACATCATCCGCGAGCGGATTTGAAGCTCGAGGGAGCTCTATGTATCCAAACTATGAAGTTGGATCGGCGTTTGATTTGGAGACGATAGCAGGTGTGGATCACGATCCGGCCTTGTCACTCGTCAATCTATGTCTAAGAGCCGTGGCGAGAAATTGGGCTTTTCATCGTGTTTATGACAAGTACTATCTGAGGGATCTACGGCCGGTTCATAAGAGTCTTTTGCTGGCGCATTTAGCGGCTTGTACAATATCTCGACGGCAACAATATGTGGATGAGGGAGATGTGCTCATCGGATCGATAGACAAAGCTGGCTTTGAACTATTGTTCCGTGCTCCGTTTCCAGCGGATACCTACGACGGAAACGACGAAAGTGTTGCCGGTGAAATTGACAAGTCTCTTCCTCTGGCTGGGATGGAATTTGTCACTCATCTCAACTTTGCTGGATCAATCGGTTATAGTATTTCCTTAAGAGATTTGAATCGATTGTTCAGCAAGAAGGTTTCGACTCCTGCTCCAACTGAGTCTGCAGGGAAATCACCTGAGAAACAGAAGCAGGCGGTCATATTTGATAGTTGGGAAGACATCGTTGACCATGAAGAGGAAGCTGCTGGTCTAAGCTTGCTCGGCCCCGATCTACGAATTCGTCACTTCCCCAATCTAACCCACCTCTCTCTCGCATATCCGAGGAACAGCGCGATCTCCTTTTCAGACCTCCTAAAACTCACTAAAGATAGTGTTCCCACAATAACTCACCTCTCCCTCGCCGGCTGGCCAACCCCTACATCTGGTGCTTCATCTCTCCCCCTAGAAACTAGAGTTTCTACAAACATAAGGCATTTGTCCCAAAGCCTTATCTGTCTTCGATACCTTGATGTTTCAGATTGTGATTCAGATATGTACAAAGGCCTAGAGGGAGCGGATTGGGCTGAATGTTGGAAAAAAGTAGATGATGTGATTGCAAGGCAAGGACGTGCACTTTCAGCAAAGGGAGAGAGGGTGCTCAGTAAGAGAAATCAGACAATCATGGATACTGAGCAGGCGGTGAAGGCATTGAGGAGGGCTTGTAAAGGAGAGATGTGTAGGTTTGTGTACAGTCAGAAAGAAGAAGTTTAAGGGTCCATATTGCGAGTTTGGCCAAACTATCAGCAAGCGGAGTTTATAGCGTTAGAGTACCACTGTATGACTAAGAAGTATAATTTAATCATGAACGCGGCGAATTCGAAGAGGTATCACCATGCATTTTTAAGAAGTGTACATGATAAGACATAATATTCGTATGTGACTCAGACTTCAGATGCATCATGCTGATTAAACACTATTGTTCTTCCAAGCCCCTCCAATCTATAGGTATCATTTCATTACTAATAACCACTGCACCAATTACCTTCTCCAAACTCGCTGTCATGACATATCGCTAGAAAAAAGATATAGAGAGCCCCGCCCCCACTTCACTTCTTCTTCCTACCTTGTGCCTTCCACGCATTCCAGAACCCAATCTTCTCTTTAACACCCAATCCTACCCTTCGTATCCTTCCCACTCTTACAAGTATCTCACCTACCCTCTCTTCCAATGCTCCCACTCTAGGCACCCTCCCGTTCGCATCGTCGCCACTACTGCTCCTTGCGACTGTCTTCTCTGTGATTGTTTCGCTACTTGAAGTAGCTACCAACGTATCCGACATCTCCAAATCTCTAATTTTTACAGCCTCTCCGATTCTAACTTTAATAGTATGACTCGGTTGCCCTAACAATCTCCAGAGGAAGACACCGTAAGAACCTGGTAGCGGCGTAGTGGTATTCGACGGCAAGTATCTTAACGAAATTGGGAATATCTTGTTCTTGGGAATTGTCCCATTCCCGTGTCCATTTTCTCCAGATTGTTTATACTGTGTGGCGAAGCTATCGAGTGCCGGTGCGAACCGGAGAAGTGCACGGCCGTTGGATGTTGTGCCTTCTGGGAAGATGACGATTATGCGGTGTGGGTTTTTCGAGATTACTTCGGCGAGGGTGGTAGGTTTCGAAGAGTATGGTTTCGAGGTTGGTGGGGCGAAGGTGTAGAGGAGGGTTTGGAATAGGGTTAGTTGGAAGACGTATGGGGTATCGAACGAAGGGAAGAGGAAGATCGGGTCGAAGGTTGCAGCTAGGTATAATGCATCCAACGGCGAACTGAACGTCGAAGCTATAATTGATCCCGGTGAAGGCAGTTTATCCGGATACCTCGACAAGGTGCTGGGCCTTCGTCAGTAAACATATGATATATCACTAAGAGGATATTAAAAGACTGAGATTGGAACGGTGGTGGTGCATACCCTCTTTTCACGCCCTCAACTTGTAAATCCACCCACCAGACCCCGGCTACAAGCATGCATATCCATAGTATTCCTTTCTGAAATAGAGAACCCAGCGGCATGAACTGTAAGAACAGGAAGTAGCTAATGCTGATTGTCAGTAGCACTGGTGCCCTGAGTGCGAATAACACGGCGGCGAGCGGGAGATGGAAGCTGCTTGTCGCTGATGTTATTGGTATGAACGGAGCGATCCCGGTTCCTATATTACATTGAACGTAACAGAATTAGTCTTCGAACTGTTTCTTTATGGCCTTAGATCAAAGATAGAGAAGCCGTATGAACATCATATGGGACACTCGAGTTGCCAATAGCTGGTACTGGTTGTGCTTTTATGAACTTACCACGGTCGCGATACTGCGTGTACTTCTCCATCGTAAGCCAATGAGGCGATTACCACGGCTTGCCAGTGGTATCCAACAGCGGTATTAATCTTGGTGTATTCGAGGACATAAAATGTGCCCTGTGTATAGGTATGTCTGGGTCGAGTCGAGTCGAGTCTGAGAGGTCGTCTCACATGTGATATCACCGTTTTTCAGAGGCTGACTAAGCCCAGAGCCTCCCATCTTGGCTCTCACCACGTTTCGAAAAGAAACGATAACATGACATTTGCTGGATTTACTTTTTTCCGAAATCCCTGCACGGGCCACATCGTCGGGTCCCGGCAGGAATTCCACCAACAGAATTTGCAGGATTGACATATAACATTGTCTACTTATACGTCCTTTTTTGGGAGAGTTTTTTGAATTCTTGTTTTTTGCAATTTTACATGGTTCTTTGATTATATTCGCGATGTGTCGGCGCTTAGGGTAATAGCCGATGCGCTTTTAGTTTAATTGCATTGCATTTGCGACTTCGACTTCTTGCCTTCCAGACTTTCTACTTTGGAAAAAACAACAACATCGTCCCACATAAGGCGCGCTTAAACCTTAAGCTTCAAGGGTGTTCGAGCTTATATAAGCTCATCAAGCTATCGATAATATACGGCCGGGATCCCGTCGTTCGAGATGGTGATGGAGGCCATATTGCCCGGCCCGGGCTCGACTTTGGTCATGACGGCGTGTACGCTGTTGACCAAGGGCTTCCTATTCGGTCTGAATACAACAAAGGTTCACAACCTCGACAATTTGACTCGGATTCTGGACTTGCGACTGAAGCCTGGCACACCCGAGTCCCAGAATGCTTTGATCACGGGTTAGTTATCATTCCTCTCTTCCTTTCTTTCTATTATAGTTATCTATTTCATATTAGATAAGAGAATTGGTTTTTTTTTATTATCAATTGGGATCAATCATGGCTAAGGTGGATTCCATCATGTCGGTAAGGACTCGCATGAACGATATAGTTTCAAATCATACTTGTGTGTATGTGGATTATTCCTTCCGAAATTCTTGTGAACTTCCATATGCAGTCGCATCTGCACCTTGGTCATTTGATCATATTGTTATCGTATCAATTCAGACACATTTTCGCAAAATGGATCTCATGATCAATCGGGCTGAATGTAACGAATGTCATGAATAAATCGAATCTATGCTTACGAATCACAAACAGCATGGACGATCCTATAATCTGGGGAATCCTACCATTCAAATATTTTCTTACCCCGGAGAATCTCAGATGGACGCTAGGTAGTCATGATATATGCTTCAAGAATCGGTAAGGCCGAACTTCAAAACTTTTCATACTTTTTCGGAATATCATTACTAAGATTCCGATTCACGGCCGCTATTAGCTTCACGACTGCTTTCTTCTCAAGCGGCCAAGTGCTCCCGACCTACCGACTCCGGCATTCTCCTAATGGCGGCCTATTCCAACCAGTCATGGAAAAGACGCTACTCATGCTCACTCACCCCACTCTCAGAGGTAGTCTAGCCTCAAGCAACTTAATCACCAGAGTATCACCATCTCCAACAAGCGGAGACGGTTCCACATCCCCAGATAGCATCATATCCAAACCACCAGCTTTGTCAGACAAAGTTTCAGCGGCAGCGGATGCATCTCAATCCAAACCTCCAATATGGTTACATATCTTCCCAGAGGGTCAAATCTACCAACACCCCACCTTTCAGATGAGATACTTCAAATGGGGCATCGCGCGCTACATCCTCGAACTGCCCCAACCACCCATCGTCCTTCCCATGTTCTTCACGGGCATGCAAAACGTCATGCATGAGAAACGTTCCTTCCCGCGTTTCCTCCCTCGTCCCGGAAATACAATCTCAATCACATTCGGCTCTGCTATCCCATTGGATAGGTGGGATAAAGTTCGTCAGAAATGGCGCCAGATCCGTGAGTCTTGTCGTGCGATTGGTGGTGAAGAAGGGGAGAGACTATTAAGGGAAGGCCCTGAAGCGGTCAAATTACGTGTCGAAGTTGCATTGATGGTACGAGATGAGGTGGAGAAACTTAGGATCGAGTGTGGATACCCGCCTGCGCAACCCGAGAGCGCTTTGGCTGAGACCTTTAAGGATAAGAACAGTTATCTGCATGAGTTTGAGGCTGATCCGGAGAAGCATGTCAATAGCTAGCTACACCTACTTCCTTGGCTACGGCATGATATTCCTTTTTTCCTCCTTCTTTTTCTTTTCTTTTCTCTCTTTTTCCCCTAAGACCCCATGTGGGCTTGGGTATGGAGTACATAGTCTTACATTACTCACGTACATACATACCTTACATACTGACATACCGTAGATACATGAAATACATACATACGATATAGATGCATTAGCGTTTGCGGGCTTTTGGTATGGGTATGGGTATGGGTTATAGACATGGGGGGCATGGGAGGTTCTGGCGATTCGATTTGTTACCTTGTATTTGCCTTGCCTTTGCCGTGGTCTTTGCCTTTGCCTTTTAGTCTAGCTTTTTGATTGCCGTGCGCCTTAGCTTAAACCCCTCTAAACTACTCCATGTCTCCGCCTCCGAATGTTATATCAAAACTCTTCGGGAGACTACGATTCGTAATACTTCAGGTAGTTAACTTCCCTACCCGGGATAGTACGATACAAAGGTTTTAGTGTTCGGATAGCCGAGATGAGACGAGTACGATTACGATACGCATATTCCGTAGTAGGATGCATAGGTATCATCCCAATATAATTTTTTTATTTTTTTTTATCAAAACCACGCATTCAACAAAAAAATTAAAAAAATACTAAGAAACTAAAAAAAACTTGGAACTTTGACAGATTTCGCCATTCCAAAATTGCAAAAGCCTGCTTTTTTCTTTTCTTTCTTTAAGCGATCACGATGTGCCTGTGCGTCCTTTTTCTCTTTCTGGTTTCCATTTAATTCCTCACATTTTTTTTTTATGCAGTTAATTTCTTGCATGTGGGAGGGAGGGAAGGGAAGGGAAAAAGAAGGGAAAAAATAGGTCACGGTGGCTGACTGGGTTGGGATTATTCTGTCTTGGGTGGTGAAATCAATATACCCTCCCCTACATATGCATATACGTCTGCTGCATCTCCAAACGCTTTGTATCACAGTAAGAAAAAGAACAAGCCAAGTCGAGTAACTGGTTATAGAAGGACAAGAAGGTGGGAACGAGTGGAAAAAAAAAAAAAAAGAGGGTGATGGAAAAGTCTGGGGTGCAGGAAATCCTGCATATTCGTTAAGGATTTGGGAAGGGTTGGGAAGGGTTGGATCCTCGTTCGTACATACATACAACATACATGAGATACGATGGTTGAATTTACAGGATTTGGCTATAATCAATCAATCAATCAATCAATCAAATCTCTGGCCCGCGCTCACAGTTCAGCGCACGGCCCGTGTCGTGGGTACTTCTTTTTTTAGGGGAAGAAAAAGATTTTTAATCAAATAATACATATGTACACAGTATGTATGTATTCTCTTCGATAGAATAGGTGTGTGTGTATTATAATTATCTCGCGAGCTCTTCTCCCAAGACTGAAGTCGAGCCGTGGTTGTTGCAATTTTGAAACTCTTTCGCCACAAAACTGTAATGTAATGTAGTGTGAAAGCGAGTGCACATCCGTTGAATATCAAAAAAGAAGATCTGATGTTAGGCATTTTTCACCATCCCGTGCCGAAATTACCACCGAAGCCGTAACTACTCCGTACCCGTTACCGTATTGTCTGGTATGTAGGAAGGAAGGTAACTCCGTACGGAGCACGGCAAGCCCTTCTTCCCAAATGTCAGCCCGGATACGAACTTGATCTCCTTTCGCTATCTTTTCACCGGGTCCCCCATAAGGTCGTAATCTGCACATTCGTACCGAATGGGTTTCAACCCGTTTCGGGGTCTGGGCATGTACCGCACCTGGATACCCTTCTGAATTTTTCTCTCTCTTTCTTCTCGGTAGTACCCGCCTATATTTTCCATTCTCCATACAGTATGGTAAGCGTGATATAGTCATTTATAGTCAATTTATAGATAGGAGTTTATAGCCAGTTTTTTTACATAAGATATTCATGGGTTCTGGTATGTATTTCACGCAAAAAGTTTAGGCTTTTTTTTTTTTTTTTTCGTTTGTGTAGTCAAAAATCAAGTGCTTGGCCCTTTAGACGGCCGTGTATCGGAAGCCGAAGGAGGCGGTATTTTAGATCGGTATGATGGCTGCCGAAATATTTCTCTCTCTCTCTGTCTGACTACGGAGTAACACGATAGTATGTATGTATGTATGTATGTATGTAAGAGTCAAAGGAATTCTTGCTGATACCGGTTTGACAACCCGACGGGAAAGCTTATTACGGTATATTGATCGAATACGGTTTAAACCTGTGAGATGTTGGACCGATGCGATGAGGCAGCAGGGAATAAGGGCTTGGGCTTTTACTGTGTAGGGTGACCCCATGGCGTGATAATGGCAAATGAGAGCGAAAGGCGAAAGGCGAAAGGAATGAATGGCAAAGAATGGCGACTTTGACTTAACCAAAAAGAACCGCTTGATTCGAATCGATAGTGTTAATTAGTACTTACTTAATTACTTGCTTACTATGTAACTAGGCGAGTGCAAGGAGCTGGGTTCAGTTACATAGTTAGTTAGTTAGTTAGCTAGTCGGTGAATAAAGCACGAGTGAGCCTTGCCTTGGTGGATCCCCAAGGTCTTCTGAAGTCTGGTTTGCACGTTCTCGGAACGGAAGCTACCGATTGACATATCTTTGATACGAACGGAGTAGTAGCGCTATAGCATATCCATACTATGGATGTAAGTAAATATGTAAGGAAGTAGGCAGGTATCATGTATTATGTAGATGAGGAGGGGAAGGGGTGGGTGGTTTTGACGCCTGCGAGCCGGGCTTCCCGTGAATATCGCCTTCCAGATTAAAGATTTCCTGCAGTGGACGGCCGGGTGGAGAAGGGAAGTTCGATGTCGGAACTTAGGCATTCCGTGTAACGGTTTTTTTCTTATTTTTTCTTCTTTTCTTTTATCGAGAAGATTATAATATTAGGTTTATATTTCCCAAAGTGGAAATTTTGGTTATCGATTTCAAGGAAAACCCACAGGTCGGTTATCAAGGAATTAAGCTAAAGCACAGACGTTAATCGGCTAGGTATGTTTGTATTTATGTATTATCTTTCTTTCTTTCTTTCTTTTCTTTAACGGATGGATGGATGGGTGGATGTATCAGAATTATGTAAAGCGAGGGGCAGACAGATGGCCAGGAAAGCGGTTCCGACGATACCGATTGATTTGATTCCTTGTGCAACCTCAGAATTAATTTGGGCACAAATTGTACAAGGTTTCTTCTGTTCCTTTTTTTTTATTTTTTTATTTTTATTCTTTTTATTCTTTTTCTTGTTCGTTTGATGGTTATTATTTGTTAACATGCTAATAAGATGACATGTGAGATTTTCAACCATGGCAAGTTAACTTAGCTTCGAAAAATGCCCAAGTTTGAAACGGTCTGTGTAGCACCAAACGTTACTTCCAAGCTCCACCTTTTCTTTATTTTCGCCGATAACCTTTTCCAGAGCGAGAAGCCTAATTCGTCTAAGTCTGGGCGAACTCCTACGCTAAAAAGACGTCCTAATATGTAGTACTCCACTGTCTGATCACTATCAGGGCCCCGAACAAGCTCTGACTAAGAGGTCCGATATCATGATATGACCTGACTTGACGAAAATTATACCAAACTTCCAATCTTGGCTGTTTTAAACTTCTTCGAGTATGATAGGGTAGGATAGAATAATAGTAAGTGCAGCTGCTTAGCTAGCTCAGCTCCGGCGGCCGGAAAACTCGCAAATGTTTTTCTTTCTTTCTTGACTTTCCATTACGTTTACATTCCTACAGCTCCGATATCGATAGATCGCCTGTCTGAGATTTACAATATAGGGAAGCCAGTGCACATACAGACACACACACGACGGCAAGTAATCAGCATTCTACCATCAGATCAGGAAAGCGGCACATCGAAAAGAAAAGAAAGTTTGACATGTCAGTGCAGTACCGGTGGGGGGGAGAGGGAGATCTGAGGGAGGGAGAGAAATGTAGTAAGCTAGTATTAGACGCGCGCAATTGATACGAATAGGAATCTTAACCTGAAACATAAAAAAAAAATGGTGAAAAAAAAACAAAAGGAACTGACTTCTATTAAACAAAGACAAGGGGGCCGGGTTGTTGAATTTGAAGTCGTAGGAGCTCGAGAAGATAGTTCCCGCTTACCTCCTATTTCGCTATTTTTTGCTTTGATAGCTCGCGAGTTTTATTGACGAGGGTGATTGGAGGGTGGTGTGTGGTCTCTTTTTTTTTTTTGACTCAACCTCCTTACTGAAGTAGCTTCCTCAACCATGAGCTTTTTATTTTATTTTATTTTATTTTTTTTGTGATAAGAAATTTGAAGGGAAGGGAAGGGAGAGCAAGAAGGAGAAGGAAGGGCTGATTAAACCTGGATTTCTTTCTTTCCTTCCCTGAGACTCGACTAACGTTAACTAGGTCTCTGGGACCGGGTTGACAGATGCGGCCTGAGCCCCCCTTCGCTTCACCATTTACAGCTTCGACTTCATATTCGTCCGCCGGCTGGGTCCATGCTATGCTATGCTTTGCTACGTATACCTACATTGAAATTAATGGCACTATCCTTATTTGAAAAAAAAAAAGAGAAAAGTAGAAAAACTGTTGAGGCCATAGAGAAGTGGTCGGGGACGAGGGTCTATATACTAAATGGTAATAAAAATTCCAAATGGGTTTACGATACGATACTCCTAGCTACTATAAGATTTCCGAGATAAGTAGGAATTTATGAAGTGTTTCGTGGTGTTGATAAGGAATCTGCGCTTTGAGGTTTGAGGACGTTGACACACCCTTGTAACCATTTAATCGACGGGTCGAAACAAATATCAATCCCAAGAAGCAAAACGGGAGAGTCAGAAGAAAGAAAGAAAGAAAAGAAAGAAAAGAAAGAAAGGAGCATGTCAAAAAAAAAAAAGATTGAAAAAGAAAAAAGAAAAAAGGAAAGAAGAAAAGGATGCTGGGAACGAGTAGGCTCAATTCCAAGCATTTCCAGCATCTTCAACCTCGAAGGCAAACCACTTGCTAACAGTAAGAGAGTCCTGAGCCCGGCA